AATTCAGAATGTCAGTGTCGAACTAATAACTATATATGGTCTCCTTTGGGTTACATGTCAATGGAAACTATTGTAAAAAAGCCAAAACGTGAGGTGAATGGTAGAGAGATTACTTGAGGAAGAACGGAGAGTCCACCAACAGTGATAAAGTCTTCCCACAGTCGCCACAGAGTTGTGCTAAGCTTACCGAAATAGTACAAACAGTTCAATATGAGACCGATCGTGACAACAACAGAAGTAGCAACAAAATACTGCAGAGGCATAGCTTCAGCCATTGTGAGCTGCGCAAGCACGACGTAGGTGGAGATCACTCCCAGTGTTTGCACCACAGCTGCTTCTTTTTCTCTCTTCTTTGCAAAATATGAAAGCAACGAAAGGTTTCCTAATAGACCAGTCAACATCCCCTGTATTCAAATTGAGCAGTCTCAGATTCCCCTAAACAAAGAGAATGATCTTTTGCATTCTAGCATATGCTTCATTGAAAAATCTGGGAATTTCACAAATTAGAGAATGCAAAATGTGTAAAAGATGATTAGAGTGAGAGTTTTGGCATCACCATCCATGGGACAGCCGAAAGTGCGGTGTTGTTTCCCGCCAAAAGATTCTGGGCATTGAGGATGATTTGTGGCAATTGAAGCATCAGAAATGGAACGTTTGCTGCACCGGAGAACTTGGCCGTCCACGAATCCCATTCTTCGTATTCCTTAATTTTCCCCAAACCTGAAGATCCCTATGAGGAAAAACCCCAAAATCAAATCAACGCAGCAACAAAAATTGTGAGAGCAGTTCGACGAAGATAAAAGAGAAATGATAACAAATTTTTCTTGGGACTAAAATAGTAAGAAGCCTTCACTTGGCAAATGCAATCATATGCTCAAATTTCAAACCTCACCTGATGAATCGGATGAGGAAGGTCCGAGTCAATTGCACGAACGGGGACGAGTCGGTGGCGAGTCGAATCAATCGGATTCCACCGAGTGCGAGCCAAGCCACGGTAGCCATCGACGCCGGAACCAGAGGCAACACCACCTATGCACGCACGCTTCAGCGGCAGGCGGGAGAACCGGGCCGGAGAAACGAAGGAAGAGCGAGGAGAAGTCGGGAGAATCAATAAGCGGTCACCACTGAGAGACATTGCGATGGTTTTAGCTTCCATGGGAGTGGGAGAAGCAAAATTATTGTACTTGCCTTGGAACAGAGACGACGAAGAAAGGGTCCTTCGAGTGAAATCATGGAGCGTACTTGGGAAAAAGGAACAGATGCCACGTGGATGGTTTTTATCGTAAATTGTAGCTACTTTGTAGTGATCCTAGATTTTCCTTTCTTCAAGCTTCGATTTCCACTTTAAAAATTGAAACTTTTCTTTTAGTATGAAAAAACAGATAACTTTGAATTCGGAAAAAAGCCCATAACGTAGCCCAATTTTGTCAAACAATGTATTTGTCACAAAACATTTTGCTCTAAAGTGTCAGCCTTGAGCTCATTTTCCAATCTTCAAAGAAAAGACTCATATATCGTCGCCTGATTTGGTGAGCTCTTTAGCGTCTCCAATGGAAGGTAGATTTTCGAAAGTGATTTGCTTTAATAATTTTCAGTCTTCGTAAGTCGATATTGTGTATTGTGTACTTGTGTTACCTCCTACTCATATCGTCGCCCTCTCCCTTGCCGGTTTTGGAGTCGCGCTTCCAAAGTTGGATACTTTAAATTCCCTACTGTTTTTGCTTTTGTCAGAGTTTGATTCGGTTCGAATGATTAAAACTCAATTCAGAATGAATTTAGAATGGGCCTAGTAATGGGAAATTATCTGTAAAAAGGTTGACTTTGTTCTGCAGTAATCATTTGATGAATTTAGTTTTCCTTTTGCATCACAACGATGATCATACCTGGTTGCTTTTTACAGAATATTTCACCTTTTATCCATCAACTGTGCATTTGTTGACTTGGATAAATTCCGGCAAGCTTTATGTTTCAAATTCAGAAACAGAAAAAGAAAAAGAAAAGGGGCTAATATAAGAAGTGTGAATTTCTTATGCTGCGGTTTTTTTCAGGCAAGGTTTTCCAAAAGTTTAATGTAGAACAATGCTGCTACCTACAAAATAAGCAGTTTAAGACACGATACCAAAGAGAACCGAACCCATACATGTCTGCTCTACTTCCCTGTCCAAGAGGGAAGCTGGCATGGAACCTCAACTCTTCCTTGCGTGCCCACACTTTGTTCAAATACCAGAATACTGCTATTTCCAAGCAAACAACATTTTACTGCAATGGTCCGTTCTAGACTCTTAATATTAAGGTTTAGATAAAGGAACAAGGCTTCACCTTTGCCACGGATTCGTGCTTTTGCTTTGCTTTTTTTTTTTACGGCATCGACATTTTTATGGCCCTTGCATTTGTGTATTGTTTTTCCCCATGTTGCTTGGCAAAGAGATGTAGTGTTTCTTACATAATATGGGTGCCTTACTTTGGATCTCCATTTGCAGCTGCTTTGTCAAGTGCTAGTGTGCCATCTCTTGACAAAACTGATTTTCTGAAGCTTCAGAACGGCAGGTGGACTGTACATCATTTTCCAGCTAAATCATCATTTCTAATAATTCACTGTTCAATGACATTCAGAAAGAGTTCTATAGCATTCACATCTTGGAACGGTTCCATGTCGTCTTTTCAAAAAATTAAATCATGTAATTCTTCTTCTTTACCTTAGTTGACTCACGTTACGTTTAATTGTTCTCTCCCCAGCGATATTCGAGGTGTAGCGGTCCCTGGGGTTGAGGGGGAACCTGTAAGCCTTCATGAACCAGTGACTGAAGCCATAGCTGCTGCTTTTGGGCAATGGCTGTTACACAAGAAGAAAGCTGAATCCCGGCGGTTAAGAGTATCTGTTGGCCATGACTCTCGCATATCTGCACAAACCTTGCTGGTGTGTATCTAATTCCTTGATTTATTGATTTTTTTTTACCTCTAAGTGATTGTTGTACAAAGCTCTCTACTCTCAATTTTACCCCAAGACGTTATTTCACTTCTGGAAACACCATCTCTTTATGCAATGTGGTAAGTAACTTTTCCACTGGCAATTCCGTTTTTTATTTTGTAGGAGGCGGTTTCTCGAGGTCTTGGTGTTTCTGGATTAGACGTGGTTCAGTTCGGGTGAGTGATGACTAACCTCTGCTGTTCTGAAATAATCAATTTATGCTCATTCCTTAATAGACGTAGATGAAATTATATTGGCACTTGTAACTGGAAGCAATGTGACAATCAATAATTTTTATAACTTTCTTGAGTGTAGTGCTTCTGTGTCATATGGTTGTTTCAGTCACATTTCCCATATAACTTACTGAAGCACATCTCCCGAATATCGGTTCCTGTTTGTTTTGTAGATTAGCGTCAACACCAGCAATGTTTAATAGCACATTGACTGAAGATGAATCATTCTTATGCCCAGCTGATGGGGCTATCATGATAACAGGTATTTTAGTGTACTCGATTTTGTATTTTTTCTCTTAATAGCAGTCATCTCTTAGTGATACGCTTCTATTTTGTACTTCATATGGTATTATACTTTTATTTTGAGCAGCAAGCCATCTTCCTTACAACAGGAACGGTTTCAAGTTCTTTACCAGTGATGGAGGGCTTGGGAAGGTTGATATCAAAAACATTTTGGAGCGAGCTGCAGATATTTACAAGAACATTTCTGATGAAAATCTCAGGAAATCACAAACAGGAAATTCTTCTACTAAAAAGGTTGACTACATGGCGGTATATACCTCTGGTCTTGTAAAGGCAGTTCGGAGAGCAGCAGGAGACTTAGGTATTACTCCTTTCAAATATTTTTTTTTCCAGGAATTCTTGTAGCATAATCAGTAAAGTTGTGAACTTCCGTTTATCTGCTTCTAATATATCAAGCTTAATTTATGGCGTTTCTGACTCTTAGAGAAGCCTCTAGTGGGATTCCATATAGTCGTTGATGCTGGAAATGGAGCTGGAGGATTTTTTGCTGTAAGTCCAGTGCTCGCTTTTTTACTCTCAGTTGTTGTCCGTTCAGGCAGTTTGTTGTTTTGTCCCAACTATGTTATAGACCTGTCCGCAGCTGATTTTTCTTCATCTGAAACCTGACAGGCCAAGGTGCTTGAGCCTTTAGGAGCAATTACTACTGGCAGTCAATTTTTGGAACCAGATGGTAATATCTGTGCCAATGAGTATATATTGGTCTATTTTGATTAATAGTTGACCAAACCTTGTGGATATCAGGTATGTTTCCAAATCATATCCCTAATCCGGAAGATAAGACAGCAATGGAAGCAATAACCAAGGCTGTTCTGGATAATAAGGCCGATTTGGGTATCATCTTTGATACTGATGTTGATAGGTAGTCACTGCAGCTATCTCTGTTACTCTAGGAGAAATTGTTAGACCGCCTCTCACAGACAATTTTATGAAGGTCTGCTGCTGTGGATTCAACTGGCCGTGAGTTCAACCGTAATCGTCTTATTGCCTTGCTTTCAGCCATTGTTCTCGAGGAAGTGAGACATGCTCTTAACCATTTCACCACTTACGTGACTAAGTATCACATATATTGTATATTAACGGATTTTTTTGTCCTGATGTTCTTTCCATGTCCATCCAGCACCCTGGCACAACTATTGTCACGGACAGCGTCACTTCGGACGGTTTGACCTCGTTCATTGAGAAGAAGCTCGGTATGCCAACAGTTTACCACTATCTTGTTTTATTTTTCTGTGAGTTTTCCACTGAACCAAACTTGTTTCAGGGGGAAAGCATCACAGGTTCAAAAGAGGCTACAAGAATGTCATCGATGAAGCTATTCGCTTGGTAATAATTCTAAATGATCATATCTTGTGAGATCTCATGCTTTGGTGCTAGACTTGATACAGTGTCTAAGAGTGTTGAATATAGAAAAGGGTATATAATCAAGTTGCACTAGAGTTAGATAGAGCTATAGATTCTGGCAGAAAAAGCTTACTCCTCCATATGGATCACTTGATATTCTTATCTGAAACACAAGTTGTGATGTGATTGGCAGAACTCCAGTGGAGAAGAAACACATCTGGCTATAGAAACCAGTGGTCATGGAGCTCTAAAAGAAAACCATTGGCTCGATGATGGGGCCTATCTCATGGTTAGCCTTAATTTCTCAGTTAAATATGATTGCCGTTGGTTTGAAGAAAAGAGAAAAAAGAAACTGAGGTTTGCCATTTGCAGGTGAAAATCTTGAATAAACTAGCGTCGGCCCGAGCTGCTGGTAGCGGAAGTGGCAGCGAAGTTTTAACAGATCTTGTTGAAGGTCTGGAGGAGCCCAAAGTGGCTTTAGAACTGAGGCTTAAAATCGACAAGAATCATCCAGACCTTGAAGGAAAGTACGATCAATGACTTACTTCAGTTCTTGACTAGTTGCTTTTGTTTGTTGCATTTCACTAACCAACCACTGAAAATTGTAGAGATTTCCGGGAGTATGGAGAGACGGTCCTGCAACACTTGTCGAACTCAATAGAAACAAACCCAAATCTCAAAAGAGCTCCGGTTAACTATGAAGGAGTGAGTGTTAGATTGCTCTCTCCCTGAAATCTCCCTACACTGCATAGTGTTTAACCTTTCCATCTCTTTTTGTAGATCCGAGTTTCGGGCTTTGGTGGATGGTTTCTTCTCAGGCTTTCTCTCCACGATCCTGTTCTTCCCCTTAACATCGAGGTAAACATACATACACATGTATATAAAGCTTGAAACTTAGTTCTGGTTTAACCAAACTCTAACTCGAATTCTCCGATTGGACGCTGCAGGCGCAGAGTGAGGATGATGCTGTGAAGTTAGGCCTTGTGGTTGCTAATGCAGTGAAGGAGTTCAATGCTTTGGACACCTCTGCCTTGTCCAAACTCACTCACTCCTCTTAAGACCAGTGCTCGTGTGCTGCTTTCTATCTCTCTTTGTGAAACTACAATCAGCTCAACTATTTCAAACTGATTTTTATACTATAAGGAGGGCAAAGTACAAAGTTTTACATTGACCACCAAGATACTTTGTAAAACAGAGATTCTATTCTAGCTTTTTTTTTTTTTACAGAGAAGACATAATCAATTTATCAGGGATTTTGCTTCTTCCATTTAATTCTAGTTGACCGTTAAAAACGCCGTCGAGCTCTTCCACGAACCTCTTCATCGCCTTCTCCGGCAAGCAAACAGGTACAACGATCCCTCTCTCACCTTTACTATTCTCAAACGAAACGTAGAAGCTAGACCCCGGAAAATCCACAACTCCGGCCGTACCGATTCCTCCATAAACCGGTTTGCCCCAAACTCCGAATTGGATGTCTGCGAAATTTCTCACATCCGATATCAAGTAGGCTCCGTCTATCGAGAATCTTGGTCTTCCCTTTGTCACCATCAAATCCGCAAGCGATCTCATGTATTCCTCCGTCACGCTCCATTTCGCTTCTTTCACCAGCCTCAGAGCAAACTCTAACGGCTTCTCGGTCAGTTCTCTAACGGTTGCGATTGCGACTGGAAACGCAAACGCGTTTCCGTAGTATCCTGGAGGTAGCGGTGGGTTTCTGAACTTGGAACGCGCGTTCACGATGAATATAACCCGCATCTCCTTGTTCGGGTCCGTTCTTAGAGCGGCGGTGCGATAACGCCACAAGAATGCGGTCAGCGTTTCCAAATCGGTGCTGCGGTTGGCGAGATTCTGCGGGAGGAGCCTCCGTATGACGGACATCTCAGCGCCGCCGAAGAAGAAGGACCGGCTGACCAGAGCGCCTCCGTCTACGGTGGCGGATTCTGTGTCCTGTTCGTCGTACTCGCGGTGCACGTGCGTAACACTCGCCGGGACCCTGGCGCTCAGAAGATGACGTTCCCACACCGGAGCAACGGTAGGCACGTGAGATCCACGTGCGAACTCGCCAATCGTTTTCAGGAAGAGGGAGAGACCGGCGGCGTCGGAGATTGCGTGGTTGATACGGACGGCGAAGATAAAACCGCCGCATTTCAGTCGCGTGACCTACACGGAGTTAATATGACCGTAATTATTCACTCCTTTTTTTACCGCCATATTTTGAAAAAAAAAATACTCTGAATGTATAATTGAAAAAGAAATTGACCTGGATGAGAATCATAGGTGCGTTGAGCACTTCACTAGAACCTTCTATGTCGAAGAGAAGCTCTTCAAAACAAGGGAAAGGAGGCCGAAGAACATCCTTTTTTTCAAACTCAACAAGTGTAACGTCAGCATCTGCCTCGATGAACAACACGCCTTCGCCGGAACAGTCCACGGCGAGTTTCCGGTTTGGTCCTTCCCGGAGCCTACCGGCCAATGGGTAGTAGTAAACCAGCGTCTCGGCGAGGGCTCTCCTGATCACTGCGACCGGATCAGAGTAAGCGGTGGGGTTGTTTCTGTAGAAAAAGATAGAGGGAATGTGGAATCTTAGTCCTTCCTGGTCGTCGATGTCGGAGAGAAGTTTGAGCTCTCTCGGTGTTGCCTTCGCCGGAGTTACTAACTCCGGCTCCCGTCGGTGCACCTTGAACATGAGTGAGTCGGAGGTCACCGGTGGAGGAATTTGCAGCTCCATGTTTCAAGTATTTCTGGTGATAGAACATCTCTTATTTATAGGGAAAGACGGAGAGAGACTTGGAAGGTTTTGGAGAATTTTAGCACGTGTTGGAAGTTGCAACTACATTTAGTTATCTAATGTTGGAATATTAATTGATGTACATTAGTTATTTAATGTTTAGCGTACCTTTTTTGAATTTTTCTGATCGAATTTCATTAACAGTTAATTTCACTGTTTGTTATTTAATCAAACTTGTTAGGCATATGAAATTCATTTACATTACTCATGAATTTGAAGATGGCTATAAATGAAGACGTTGCAAGCACTCAAGAGCTGCAAACTTGCTCAGCCAATCGCATTTGTATTAATATAATTATAGGCTCATCATCATCTTTGACAAATGACAACACTAATCCAAACTAGCAATCTTTTAAGAGAGGAAAACGATAAATTTCTGAGTGAAATACAAGTGTATTATGAATGTATATATAGATTAAAAACAGTGTTCAAAAGAAGGAGAAAAAAAAAAAAACAGTTTTCAAATTGCATCCTATATTGATACGACCTTTAAGACTGAGCGACAAATTTATTAGCATATCCTCCGGTTCTACGCTTTACATTTCGAGAAAACGCAGAGATTGATCTGCTAAAACGTATAAGAAAGATCTCTGCGGTCGTCAGATTCTGTGAAATTGACTGACGTCGTTACAGTTCCGTGACTGTACAGACTCACCGATGAATTATTTTCATTGATGTAAATTATGATAACGTCGTACCTCGTAATTCTAATACCACCATATCCATATGTAGTCTTTGTCATCACGATTGACCTCTCATTTAACTTTATCGTAACGTGACCTTTCAAACGTTTTACAAGATAAGGAACCATGTCCAATCCAATTTTAATTTTTTTATTGGAGTGTTTGGCCCCCTCAAGTTTTTGGCTTTTCAAAATTATTCAGTACTTCAGTTTATGAAATAGGGAAATTGAAAGTAATTTTAACTTTGTTTCGGTTAATATTGGACACATGGCTCCAATTCTGGAATATTAGGTTTTTTTTTTCTTCTTCTTAGAATAATTATATTTAGTTGGAAAGATTTCCAATAAATAGTTTTATTCAAATTTGTTAACACTGCTCAAATTAATGTAAGCTTTGAAATAAATTTGCTTCGGTTCAGTTAAACAGTTTCGACACATCTATTTCACGACAAACATCCCATGTGTGTTTCTTGATTATTCTTTCTTTAACAAAAATAGCTGATCACATGTTTTTTTCACATATTTAAAACCCACCAAGGCAAAAATGTAAAATGTGGTACACCCGATTCTTTTTGGACCACAATGCCTATTGTCTAGTCGTACGATGATTATATCCACTAAGAAGAAAAGAACCATACAATATATTTGTTATATATATATATATATATGTCTTCTTCTATCATCTATGATTAGACGTTACAAACCTCACATAGTCATTGGACACTTTTTTTATTGAACACACGTACGAATTGAATCGGATGATAACCACTTAAATTTTGACATGAACTGGATGAAGAGTAGAAAGAGTTCAGATATTTTATTAAGAATTTTGTAACTAGATTTCGTATATCATCTGTATTTCGTATATAATTCAATATCAGCGAGTTTTTGTATTTGATCTAGGTATTGCGACTTCGCATTGACCATTACATAGATGTTTTCAGAATTCGTATATTATGGAGAAATAACAAATCCATGTATACTTCAAGTTTTTACACATTTTCCCAGCAGTAACTAAGAAAATCAAATTTACTACTTGTGTCATATAGTAGTTTGATTTCTCGAAACGAATTAAAACCAAACGGACAACTAATTTCGGTTTCAATAAAGTAACATTATTCCCAAACTCAACTAACGAAAAGAACCTAAACCAAACCCAATAAAGACTTACACTTTCGTATTAAAGTAAGAAGAAAAAAAAAAGATTTCCATTGTACAATGCACAAGGGAAAAGTAAAAGTAAAACATGGTCTGCAGTGGCGGGACCAGGCCAAAGACTTCTAAAACCCTCTGTTTCTTCCTTCACATCACACAGCAATTTGGTGAAGACTCAAGCATATCCGGAGACCTGTGAACATACATATATACGAAACTCAGTCCCATTGGTCGTTAAAGATGATAGAGATTTCAATGAGGAAGAAGACTTACATTTGTCCTAGACTTGCGAAATCAAAGCCAGGATCCATCTCTTGCACTATGTCACTCGGTGGCTGACCACACTCTTGCATCTTCTGCATAATTTCCATTATCTTTGTCGAATTGTTTGGTTCGTTCTCGTACACCAAATTGAGTTCTTTTATTAGTTCATATTGGTGTGAATAACGTTCGTATTCTTCTTTCTTTAGACTGCTTTCATGCTCTTCTAGCCATTTCGGGTATCTTGCGCCGATCTCTTTCATAGGTTCGTGAAGAATATCCTTTGATAATAGCTGTTGCATCATCGTGTCCACTATCGACTCCAAGTCCTAAACATGGAAAATGTGAGATTCAAAATCGTTAACAAAAACTTCTCTTAACCATGACATCTTTTTAAGTGGTTCTGCAAATAATTTTCATCTTCAGATGCGGCTTTCCCATATTTTTATCACAATCCATCCAATGAGCACAGCCTTTGAAGCTACTCTGCAGCATGTGGTACTACTCTACACTTAACCTTAACTAGATGAAACAGATGCATTAAAAAATAAAAATTTACATCTCCTCTCAGCTCAATGATTAATTTGGGATGATAATTAGAAGCATGCCAAACGATCATAACATATCTCAGCTCACAGAATGCATTAGTCTCAAAAATGAAATAGAATGGAGAACCAAATTATATACCAAACAATCACCACTTGATGATAACTAATAAATCTCAAATCAAACTGCCAATGGGTAATGGCAAACGGATCCAATTTTAAAGATGAAATGAAGAATAGAAGAACAGAAGCAGGAACCTAACAAACCTTAAGGTACACAAGAAAAACGCTAACCAGAAATCGGATTTACTGAACCACATCCACCACATACGAACTAGTAGAGATCAACCTAATATTTATCCCAAGAGAGGGTATCAACCAAAATCTAATCTAATCTAATCAGAGCACTAAAACTAGATAAGTATAACAGGATAGAGAGAACAACAAGTAACAAATCAGTTAGTGTATATTTTACCTGAGATCCAGTAAGATCCTCGAATTGCTTGATCCAATCTTCGACCATAGCATCATCAGAACCTGGCGGCTGATGCTGCTTCGATGACAAGGACTCAAGCCCCTTGACAGTTTCTCTGGTTTGTTCCCTGAGTTTATCAAGAGCCTCTGCAACATGGTCCTCTTTTGCAACCTTCTGCTTTCCTTTCTTCTTGCTCCTCATATCTGGTAAACCCATTCCAAGACCTTGAACCCCACTCGGCAATGACTCGGTCTCTTTTTTACCACCATCTTCTTTTTTCCCACCTCCACTCCTACAACACCCCAAAGCTAATCAACATCCCAATTATCCAACAAAAACATAATCAAAAGCCTAGAATCTCTAAGCCCAAATTCTCTTGGCAAACTTAAGAGCTAAACCACATGGCATAGTTACAATTAGAGAGATAAGAGTAAGAAAAGGAGTAACCTTTGAGTAAGATTGAGATCTTTGAAATCATCCAAAGCGCCTGAGAAAGCCACACAGAAAACCCAGAATTCTAAGTTTTAGAAATGAACCCACAAATGAATTTCAGAAGACAGAACGTTTCACCAAACACTATATACACAAAGAATTCGTGAACATGCGAGGAAATCAATTAAAATCGAAGGGAAATTACTATCGAGAAGCTCGTCTAAGTCATCGGTGTGAGTATCGTTGGCCATTTTGAGCGCTCTCTTCCTCTCGCTGTAGAAAAAAAAAAAAGTAGATGTGGAGGAGGAAGAGAGAAAATATCGTACGACGAGAGAAAGGAATTCCCAAAAGACGGTGTTCGATTTTGATAACTTCGATACGCCGACGGTTGATGAGCCACGGTGCAGTTTAACGATCGATCCAACGGCTGACATTGTTTCTCCATATTATTTTATTTGTTATTTTTTAAAACGAAAATTACTAAAAAGGCCTTCATATTTATAAAGTTCTTTGAAATCGTTCGTTATACTTGTACGTAGGCTTTCTTTTTCTACTTTTACTCAAAAACATCTATTGAGGATAAGATTAATATTTAATTTCAGTATATGATAATTATTGTTTATTATATTGGTGTGGATATATATTCATGAGACAACCGTGCGAGAACAATAACAACAAACATATAAATCACATTAAAATCTTACAATATTGGTCATCAGCTATAACAATGTTGATGATACGTACAGTTTTATTGGAATCAAGAAAACACACAACATAACACACTTCACACTTCACACTCAAAGATAAATAAAAACACAGTTACATGTATTTGATTTGGTGTATGGTTTAACAAGGTTTGTAGCAGTGACAGTGAACCACCGGTGAACCTTCACATTTTCCAATCCAGGTTGGATTGATTGACTTGCAAAAAGCATCACAAGCTGCATGCACCTCAGGAGAAGTACATGTACCCGCATCACCTTCATCTGCAAAACACTGACCATTTGCCTTTGATAACCCTGTTCAACCATTTGTTTATAAACGTTTGTTAGAAGTTGTAACATTGCAATTGATTTTGAGATCAAATCACATACGTTTACATATATTGCTCACCAAGATGGAGAATAAATTATCGTTTGTATAGAAAAAAAATGAAGAAGATAAACGTTGATTAAAAGTACCATTTGAAACCAACAAGAGGACCATCAAGAGAGTAGAAAAGTAGATGGAGTTGCTGAGGTTCTTTGCCATTTTTTCGTTTTATGCCTTTTGATTTTGCTTTCTCTTGCACTGTTTATAATTGAGTTCGTTGTAAATTATGTGAAGGCATGGGTACATTTTTATAGGGCAACTTCGTTGACTTTCTGTGTTTGTGATGATGCACAAGAAGATAGGTTTTATTAGTTTTTCTTTTTTCCTCTTATAGTATATGTATATAAATATCAATAATGTATGTTGATTCAATCATTTGATTGATTCTATGAAACCATAATGTCGCCATAATTTGGATTAAATTTTATGATTTAACAATTCAAACTTGAAAAAACCCTATTCGATGCAAAACGAAGGGAACATTTTTAATTTAACTAAATTTGAAATATTTCAAAGATCAGTTAAAATTAAGATATAGAAATGTCTAGTTATCTCTGAAAATAACTCTGTGTTGTTATCTAGAATGTTTACATTTGTATTACCATTAAATGGCCAGTAGCTGGCAGGTGTGCCCCTAAAAAATGATTTGTGCATCCTTTTTTTGGTAAATGGAAACACTATTATTAGACATAACTAATGAGTTTATATAGTTTTAAGCTGAAATAATTAAAAATCATAAAATATAGGGTCCTTAGCCATTTTTTTGTGTTGCTTATGCCACCGCCCGGCATAACTTTATATTACATGTTAATTAATATGCTGAATAACCCTAAGTGAAAGCACAATGTCGCCATAATTTAGATCCATAGAAGAAATGAATTGGTAGTTGGTACGATAACGATATATCTGTCTAGTTTTTTTTTTTTGCCACAATTTCTGAATATACTTGTTTCATATAATATTAGCTTCAAAAAATTAATACAATACAGCTTGCCAAGCTTTTTGTAAGAACTAATATGAAAGGAAATGAAACAAGAAAATGACGTCAATATGCTGAATGATTATGTTTGTATAAATAGCTTTACATAAGAATATTACTTATATACAATTTATATCTTTTCATAATGTTCCAGTTATCCTGATGCGTTATTTATATATATGTAACCTTCTTTATACAAAGATACCGGTCTGGAGTTTTATATGAAATTATGAATGTGAATATGTGACGGAGAATGTGATGCATCAAGGTATCTAGAACAACACGAGATGGTAAAAATTTAGAAATCAATTACTTTAGAGAAGCTCGTCTACGTCATCGGTGTGAGTGTTGTTGGCCATCTCCTGGAACCACTCTATTTCTTTCAATTGTTGAAGAAGAAACGCAGATTGTAAAGAGGAACAGAGAAAGGGAATTTGGAATGGCGGTGTTCAATTGATAATTTAGATACCTCGATGAGAAAGAGTTCAATCCAAAGGCTGACATCTTTTTATTTTTATTTTCTTTGTTATTTTTCATGTTTTTGGTCACTCTTTTTTAATATAACAAATCCCAAATTAGAATTTTATGACGTCAAAAAAATATTTCGAAATCTAGAGTCATGTGAAGAAAAAGTGTATGAAATCAAATATTTGCAAAAAATTTGAGTTTCGATGAGTTCTTGGATGATTTTGGGTGATTTATAGAAGTTGTTGTGATTTGTTATTGAAAAAAAAATAGAGTATCATCTACACTACAAAATCTATCAAACTAAAAACTTACATCAAAATACCTTAAAATTACTAATTTTCTTTTTAAATCCACTATTAAGAAAATATGTACAATCGATTTTTCAAAGAATTTTTTTCAGTGTTTTTGAAGTTGATTAGGATCGTGAATTGTTTAATAATGTGATATACATGTCAAGGAAAAACCAAAGAAAAAAAAATCGTTAGACATTCATAGTAACATCTTTCAATCGTTTAATCATCAGCTATAAGCCTATAACAATGCTGATTCAAGTTTTAGAAGCTTGTAAAATATAGAACAAACACACACACACATGCACACTCTTCACACTGAAAGATAAATAAAAAAGAAAACACATTTTATTATTTTATTTGTGATGTTCTAAAGGCAAATTACTAAAAAGGCCTTCATTTTTTAAAAGTGTTTCTTTGAAATCGTTTTACGTAAGCGTTTTTTTGTTATTGGTTACTCAAAAACATTTATTGAGGATAAGATTAATATTTAATTTCAGTATACATGAAAATTATTGTTTTATTATATTATTGTATATATATTGCTGTGGATATATTCATGAGACAGCCGTGCGAGAACAATAACAACAAACATAGATCACATTAAAATCTTACAAGAATGACCATCAGCTATAACAATGCTGACGATACAGTTTTATTGGAATCAAGAAAATAACACACACACACACACACTTCACCGTGAAAGATAAATAGAAACACATTTATATGTATTTGAATTGGAGTATGGTTTAACAAGGTTTGTAGCAGTGACAGTGAACCGGTGAACCTTCACATCTTCCAATCCAGATTGCATTGACTGTCTTGCAATAAGTATCACAAGCTCCATTCACCCCAGCAGTTGTACATTTAGTCGAATCACCTTCATCTGCAAAACAATACGTCTGACCATTTGCCTTCGATAACCCTGTTCAACCATTTGTTAAACGTTTGTTAGAAGTTTGTACATTGCAGTTGATTTTGAGATCAAATCACATACGTTTACATATTGTTCACCAAGATATGGAGAATACATTATCGTTTGTATAGAAAAAAAAAATGGAGAAGATAACGTTAATTAAAAGTACCATTTGAAACCAACAAGAGGACCATCAAGAGAGTAGAAAAGTAGATGGAGTTGCTGAGGTTCTTTGCCATTTCTGCGTTTTATGCCTTTTGATTTTGCTTTCTCTTGCACTGTTTATAATTGAGTTTGTTGTAAATTATGTGAAGGCATGGGTACATTTTTATAGGGCAATTTCGTTGACTCTGTGCTTGTGATGATGCACAAGAAGATAGGTTTTCTTAGTTTTTCTTTTATCCTCTTATAGTATATGTATATAAATATCAATATTGTATGTTTATTCAATCATTTGATTGATTCTATGAAACCATAATGTCGCCATAATTTGGATTAAATTTTATGATTTAACAATTCACAAGCTTGAAAAAACCCTATTCGATGCAAAACGAAGGGGAACATTTTAACTTAACTAAATTTGAATAGTTCTAAGATCAGTTATAATTAAGATATAGAAATGTTTAGTTGTCTCTGAAAATAACTGTGTGTTGTATCTAAAATGTTTAAATTTGTATTACCATTAAATGGCCAGTAGGTGGCAGGTGTGCCCCCAAAAAATGCTTTTTGCATCCCTTTTCTGGTAAATAGAAAAACTATTAGACATAACTCATGGCTCATGAGGATGAGGTTATAGTTTTAAGCTCAGAAATAAATAAAAATATAGTTTGGACCATAAAATATAGGGTATCCTGCAGCCATTGTTTGTCTTGCTTATGCCACCGTCCGGCATAACTTTATATTACATGTTAATTAATGTGCTGAATAATCCTAAGTGAAAGCACAATGTCGCCATAATTTAGATCCATAAAAGAAATGAATTGGTAGTTGGTACGATAACGATATATATAGTTGTCTAGTTGGCACGGGATATATAATATTAGCTTAAAAAAATCATACAGTATTTATTAGCTTGCCAACAAGCTTTTTGTAAGAACTCAAATGAAAGGAAATGAATTAAGAAAATGACGTCAATATGCTGAATGATTATGTTTGGATAAATAGCTTAACACAAGAATATTACTTATATACACTATATATCTTTTCATAATGTCCCAGTTATCCTGATGCGTTATTTATGTATATGTAACCTTCTTTATACAAAGATACCGGTCTGGAATTTATATGAAATTATGAATGTGAATATGTGACAGAGAATGTGATGCATTGTGGTATTTAGAACAACACGAGAGGGTAGAATTAAGAAATCAAATACTATCGAGAAGTTCGTCTAAGTCATTGGTGTGAGTGTCGTTGGCCATTTCCTAGAACCACTCTCTCAACTGTTGAAGAAGAAACGCAGATTGTAAAGGGGAACAGAGAAAGAGATTTGGAATGGCGGTGTTCAATATTGATAATTTAGATACCTCGATGAGAAAGAGTTCAATCCAACGGCGGACATCTTTTCACTTTTTTTTTCCATTTTTATTTTGGTTGTCACTCTTTTAAAATATAACAACATTCCAATTTAGGATCTTATGACGACCCAAAAAAAATAAATCCCAAATTAGGATTTCAAAATCTGGAGTCATGTGAAGAAAAAGTGTATTAAATCAAATATTTGGAAAAGTTTGAGTTTCAATGAGTTTTTGAATGATTTTGGGTGATTTATAGAAGTTACGTTGTTGCGATTTGCTCTTAAAGTTCTTTAGAATCATCAAAACACCTTAAATATCACATACACTGCAAGATATTTTAAACCAAAAAATTTCATCAGAACACCTTAAAATCAGTTATTTTCTTTTTAAAATCCACTGTTAAGAAAAGATCCATCGATTTCCAAAGAATTGTTTTTTCAGTGTTTTTGAAGTTTAGGGTTGTGGATCGTTTAATAATGTGATATACTAATGTCAAGGAAAAAAGAAACAAAATTAATAAAGAAAATCGTTAGACATTCACAGTAAAATCTTTCAATCGTTTGATCATCAGCTACAACAATGCTGATCCAAGTTTTATTGATGATAGAATTGCAAACACACAAACATAGAACAAACACTCACACACACACTTCACACTGAAAGATAAATAAAACACATTTATATATTTGATTTGGTGTATGGTTTAAACACAAAGTTTGTAGCAGTGACAGTGAACCTCTGTTGAACCTTCGCATATTCCAGTGTAGGTTGCATTGAGTTTCTTGCAACTTTGATCACATAGAAGATTCACCCCAGCAGTAGTACATGCAGTCTCATCACCTTCAGCCGCAAAACATAAGGCCTGACCATTTGCCTTCGAAAATCCTGTTCAACCATTCGTTAAACGTTTGTTAGAAGTTGTACATTGCAATTAATTTTGAGATCAAATTACGTTTACATTGTTTACCAAGATCAAAAATAAATGATCGTTTGTGTAGAAAAAAATAAAATAGATAACGTTAATTGGAAATACCATTTGAAACCAACAAGAGGACCATCAAGAGAGCAGAAAAGTAAATGGAGTTGATGAGGTTCTTTGCCATTTTTGGGGTTTATGCTTTTAATTTGATTTCTCTTGCAAAGTTTGTTATTGAGATTGTTGTAAATTATGTGAAAGCATGGTACATTTTTATAGGGCAACCTCGTTGACTTTCTGTGTTTGTGATGAAGTACAAGTAAGATAGGTTTTTAATTAGTTTATTTTTCTTTTATACTCTTACAATATATGTATATAAATATCAATATGTTGATTATATCATTTGATTGATTCTATGAAATCATAATGTCGCCATAATTTGGATTAAAATTTTGATTTAATTGCTGCTATCGTTGACATGGGTAATAATGAGTTCTAAGTTTGTGGTATTCGACTTTTTAATTTGTCCGAATAATTTTCAAGCAAATGTTAGAATTTTTAGATCAACTCAGAGAAATGTATAAGGGGAGTTAGATTTTTTTTTTTTTTTTGAAAGAAATAAAAAATAGAAATTTGTTGTGGGCTACGACACAATTAAGTTATGGGCTTTTTTCGCGAAAAAATATTAGCCCGTTTTCTCAAGAACGTATTTCCAAAAGCTTTAGCTCTCGACAACGTCTCAGCAAATGGCAAATACCTTAATGGCGACAACTCGTCCATACGTTCTTCTCTCCTCCACAAGAGCGAGCCTTCATATCTTTCTCCGGTCTCCGAAGAAACCCTTTCAGTCTTCATTTTTATCAACTCTCTCATCTTCCGCCGTGAGAAGCAGCAACTTAAGATGCATCAGCGCCGTTTTGTCTCGTGGAGAGACTGCTGCGCCGTCGTCGATTTACGGCAACGGAGTTTCTAGGGTTTCTGGGTTTGGCGTTGTGGGCATTCGCAGCCGTAATTTCAGTACTAGATCCTCTCAAATCAACGATGCTGGGTCTATTGATCAAACACTTATGCAATCCATGGAACAAAAGGTTAGATTTTTTTGTTTTGTTTTTCTTCTCATAATCTAATTTGAATTGTCAGTGGAATCTAATCTTTTTGTTTGCGGTTTCACTTATTTGTGATTATGTCTCGTTTAGAGGTTAAATTATAAAATCTGAAGGAATTGATTGGATACTTTGGCATAAATTCCGTTGCTCACTGGGGACATATGTCTTGTTGATGATTACTCTCACTCTCTCTGTAGCTCAAATGATCAAGATTAGGTTATATTATATCACTGAAGAGCAACCATGTCTCAGAAGGCATCTGACCTTTTTTTGTAAATGTGATTAAAGCGCGATTCTTTTTCCGTTTGATGAACAAAAATGTGGTTTTTGCTGTGCAGATCAAAGAACAATTGAATGCAGAGTCAGTTTCTGTGATGGATATGTCTGGAGATGGGCGCCATGTTTGGTATTTACTCTGTATAACTCATTTTATCTTCCAAGTTTATTGAAGTTTGTGGAATAGAAAATGATTTCACATTTTTTCCTTCCTTTTCCTTCCTTTTTTTGTCTCGTTTCATCGAACAAAAACCAGAAAAGGAGTTATATAGTAAAAACAGAATCAAGTTGCTTGTATCGGGTGGAAAACAGAATTACAAAACTTTCAAATTCAACCATCAGCATCCATCTTTACTTCGTAGAATCATCAAAGTTGATGCTTAAGTTAGATTTTTAATCCATTTTCTGCTCCTGATCTAAGCTGGATTGTTGTATTAGCAAAAACAGATAAATGTCCTGCAAGAATCTTTACTTGTACTTGTCATATTAGATGAATCTATTACTTAACATCACAGTTGCCTAATGTATGTCTGTTATTGTAGCATCAATGTGGTATCATCGGCCTTTGAGGGACAATCTGCTGTGAACAGGCAAAGAATGGTCTACAAAGCCATTTGGGAGGAGCTTCAGAATGTAGTTCATGCCGTTGATCAAATGACAACAAAGACTCCTTCAGAAGTTTGAAGCTTCAAGTTTTTCTAGACACTAAAACCATCCTTATCTATTGTTTGATTAGCGGACAAAGCTATTTGTTTTATCAGAAACAGATTTGAAATAAAGCTTTTGGCTGCTTATTGTTGTTTGTTGATGTTCTAAGGATTTGGTTTGTTCTCACGCAACCGTTCGTAAACGTTATTTTTGAGGGTGGTTGCATTAACATGCGATCTAAATCGCCCGAAATACTCCTCGGATCTTTATTTTTTAATTTAAAAACGCACATATTAAAAAAACAAATAAAATCTGATTATTAAATGTATTATGTTTTTGTGATTGACAATTTTCTATAATTTTAAACCAATACTATCTCAATAAATCCATAAGTTTTTATGAAGTATACAATTTATCATCATTAACTAATAAAAACTCCATTGAAAACTAAAAAAAAAACAAATTTTAAATAAACTGTTTTTTAGAAAATCTGTTAATAAGGATGGTTATCTTTATCATTAAACATTATTGTATCATATTTTTATATATTCACAAATAATAATTAAAACAATATATTTTGGTACTATACAATATTTGTGCTTATATAAAATTTTGAATGTTTTTTTTAAATGTATGTAATTATTTAATTATACATGTGATATTTTTCTTTTTTTTGTCACTCTTTTTAAATTTAACAAATCCCAAATTCGGATCTTATAACGGCCAAAAAAAATCCCAAAATAGGATTTCGTAACCTAGAGTCATGTAAAGAAAAGTGTAAAAATTAAATATTTATCAAATTTTGAGTTTCAGTGAATTTTTGAATGATTTTTTGGGTGATTTATAGAAGTTGTTGTGATTTGGTATTTAAACTCTTTATAATTTTCACATACACTATATTACAAGTTATCTTAAACTAATTTTTTTTTTATCAAAACACCTTAAAATCATTAGTTTTCTTTTTAAAATCTACTTTAAGAAAAGATGCACCTTCGAGTTTTAAAGAATAGTTTTCAATGTTTTTGAAGTTAATTTGGGTCGTGGATTGTTTAATAATGTGATATACTAATGTCAAGAAAAATACAAACAAAATAAATAAAGAAAATCGTTAAGACAGTTATAGTAAAATCTTTCAATCGTTTTTGATCATCAGCTACAACAATGCTGATTCAAATTTTATTGATGATAGAAGAATCTTGCAAACACACAAACATAAAACAAAAACACACACACACTTCACACTGAAAGATAAAAATACAATACAGTTATATATTTGATTTGGTGTATGGTTTAAACACACGGTTTGTAGCAGTGACAGTGAACCTCTGTTGAACCTTCGCATATTCCAGTGTAGGTTGGATTGATTTTCTTGCAACTGCCATCACAACATAGATTCACCCCAGCAGTAGTACATGCAGCCTCATTACCTTCAGCCGCAAAACATAAGGCCTGACCATTTGCCTTTGAAAATCCTGTTCAACCATTAGTTAAACGTTTGTTAGAAGTTGTACATTGCAATTGATTTTGAGATCAAATCACATTTACATTGTTCACCAAGATAAAAAAAAAAATTATCGTTTGTGTAGAAAAAAAATAAAGAACATAACGTTGATTATAACTTAGAAGTACCATTTGAGACCAACAAGAGGACCATCAAGAGAGCAGAAAAGTAGATGGAGTTGATGAAGTTCTTTGCCATTTTTGGGTTTTGTGCTTTTGATTTGATTTCTCTTGCAAAGTTTATAATTGAGATTGTTGTAAATTATGTGAAAGCATGGGTACATTTTTATAGGGCAACCTCGTTGACTTTCTGTGTTTGTGATGAAGTACAAGAAGGTAAGTTTTTTATTAGTTTTTTTTTCTTTTATTCTCTTACAGTATATGTATATAAATATCTATATGTTGGTTATATATTATTTGATTGATTCCATGAAATCATAATGTCGCCATAATTTGGATTAAAATTTTGATTTAATTGCTGCCATCGTTGACATGGGTAATAATGAGTTCTAAGTTTGTGGTATTCGACTTTAATTTGTCCGAATAATTTTCAAGCTAATGTATATTCTAATAAATTTGTTTTTTTTTAATAAACTTTTATAATTTTCTCGAAAAAAAACCATAACTTAATTATGTCGTTTACTCAAAAATGTATTCCCAAAACTTTTATCTCTCGACTCTCAACTTTCAGCAAATGGCAAATATCTGTAATTATACATGTGAATTTTTTTTGTCGTTTACAATTCACATAAATACATTACAAATTTTAAATTTAAATTACGCCGTCAAAATAAAAACATCGATTATATATGGTATAACGACAATATTCGTCTTTTTTGTCGTTCCAGTATATTTTAACTAATTTGAAATAAGAATTTTGACATTTTATTATGCTAATATAATTTTTATCGTTTTCAAAAATTATTTTTATATATTATGTTTATTTTGATAATATTTATGTTTAACTATCCCACTCCTAATAATATAATAAAAAATATCTCTCTAAAACACTTGTTTATGACCAGTTTTATAACCGTTTAATAAACTAAATGCAACTGTTTATTTACTCAAATTGGCTAGCCCTAAGTAACATCCACAACATTTAAATCATTCAAGTTTTCAATAATGTTTTGGAATTAAAAAAATTCTTAACAATTTGGGACAATATAAGCTCATAACTCCTATTACAAGGAGACTATTTTTGGGACACAATGTTGTTAAGGAATACATCACAAAGAAAACACAAAAACTTGTTAAAGATACGACAAACACACCACCTTTTGCATCAGATTTATAAAAGGAAAAATATAATACACGATAATTGGAAATTTGGAACTTTACAAAGCCACTCTTGAAGTGAAGGGAGAAAATGAAAGAGTGAACAGTGTGTGAACACAAACTATGTTCATGCTTTCATTTTCTCTCCGAATTGAACATATATATAAATATTCGTGTAGAAAATCACTACATGAATATTCTAAAAACGTAACAGCACTGTTTCATCTTGGAATTAACTCCGGCGGCAACGGCGGTGAGAAAGTCCCGGCGGGTTTTCAGAGGAAAGTTGTTGAGCTATCTTTGGCAAGTTATGCCTTCTTGATGGACCTGAAGGAGGAACCAGAAATACTCGAAGACTCTGGTCAGGTTTCTCGCTCGCAGTGTTTGCATTACTCTGAAAACAGTTCAGGTACCGGAATGTTGCTCCGGCGGTTTTCTCCGGCAGAAGGAGAAGGAGAAGAAGTAATAGTTGTGAAAGAGACATTAGAGAAACTTTTTTGTTTTTGTGAATAATTTCTGTCTCTTGTTGCACCAGAAGTGTGTATATATACACATATGACTACGATATCTTTGTGAATTTTATTTTTAAATCTTTTGTAACGCTCATTACTTTGGGAAGAGTTTTGGTGTTTTCTTGGGGTTACAAGTGTTTATGTAACAAGAAAAGCAACCTCTAATTAATGAGTGACTTCATTTGCTTCACTTTTTCATCCTCGAATTGAACCTTTTTTGACTTCTTGTTCATCAATTATATAAACAAGATTATTACAATCATTAGTATGTTTTTTTTTCTTATTTTTTTGTGAACATTTTGTAAATCCAGTTTATTCAGATTGATCATCCCTGCATTTTACTAACATTTTACCATTTTCTATTTTAATATTAAATCAAAGTTTTGTGGGTATTATTAATAAATATATAGTGTCGGGGTCAATCTATAATTTATGCCAAAATTACACGGCAGAAATAGAGAAAAAAAAAAAAAAAAACAAATACTTGGAAGAAGAACTCAGAAGATCCTGAAACATGAAACTGTTCGACGCGCACTGTCACCTTCAAGACGCGAGGATTATCAGCAAAGCTCCTCAGCTAATCTCCTCCGCCGTAGCTTCCGGAGTCTCTGCCTTCGCCGTCAATGGAGTCTCCGAGGTTTGATATTGTCAGAGAATGCAAAATTGATAGCTTTAACAGTTTACGACTTTAGATAGCTAATTGAATATGAGTTTCGTTTGATTTGGTCTAGAAAGATTGGAATTTGGTTAAAGAGATGGGAGCGCAATACCCTTCTGTTGTTCCCTGCTTTGGGATCCATCCATGGTACGAAATTGTATCTATATATACCTTCATTACTGGTAACAAAAGTTAAGGTCTTTTTGGGTGTTTTTGGTTGAGTTCAGGTATGTAGCAGAGAGGAGTCCTCATTGGTTTGAGACATTGAAGAGTTTGTTTGAGACCACTCCTACTGCTGCTGTTGGAGAAGTCTGTCTCTTGTCTCTTTTTAGTTATTTTTCTTAATGTATTTTTGTTTTTCTTGAAAATTCTGTTGAATTTCATCATATTGAATTGAAGAAACTCTCTTCATAGAATCCATAGTTATTGTTGGTTGAAGCTGCTTTTGTTTGTACAGATTGGCTTGGACAAAGGTTCTAAAGGAAGGGAGATTGATTTCTCAGACCAGGTTTCAGGATTGAAAAAACCATTAAAAAAAAATACTTCTGCTCAAATAGGTTGTGTTCTTTTAAGATTGATGGTCTTCTGAAGACGGCATGTATCACATTTCAGGTTAGTGTGTTTCGTCAACAACTTGAACTTGCAAAGGAACTGAATAAACCTGCGTCAGTTCACTGTGTCCGTGCATTCGGAGATCTGCTCGAGATAACAAAGTATGCTCTTTTTCTTCCTATATCATGTGTCAGTGTCTCTTTAGAAAATGTAGTGGGGGAGTGATACAGTAATATGCAGATCTGTGGGGCCTTTTCCTGCTGGGGTCATCCTTCACTCGTATTTAGGTTCTGCTGAGATGGTTCCTGAATTTGCTAAGCTCGGCGCATATTTCTCCTTCTCTGGCTTTCTTATGTCAATGAGTGAGAAAAAAGCCAAAAAGATGTTGAAAGCGGTAAGATTTCAATATTTCTCTTACACCAAAAATCCAGTTTTTAGAAGGTGGAATGGAATCTTGATCTCAGTTCTTGGTAGGTCCCTTCTGATAGGATCTTATTGGAAACTGATTCACCCGATGCATTACCAAAGGCAGAGACAGACTGTCTCTACTTTGTAGAAGGAGATCCTTCTCTAACCGAAGAAGGAAAGCCAGCTCAGGATCCAAATGATAAGTCTAATGCGTCTAGTGACTCGATGAAGTTGCCAAAGGAAACACTTAATCACCCGGCTAATATTCTTACCGTATGTTTTTGCTTCTCGTGAATGTTTAATCAATCTTCTTTCCCGTTGGATCCATGGAAAATTAAGACCATAATCAATTACGGGTTACAGGTACTTGGGTATGTAGCGCGGTTATTGGACATGAAGAAGGAAGAACTCGCGGAGCTAAGCTATGAGAACGCTGTTCGGTTATTCTCTTATGCAGGTTCAAAGTTGCTTCTTGAGACAGGTAACTGATGGTTTTTTGGTCATCATTTTCGATTCTGAAGCAAGTTTTTGATAGTACATAGAATGGGTTTGTGTGTTTAGGTGGTGGTGGTGATGTTTCTGGTCTTACTCAAAACCATTCAACAACACATGCATCATGAGTTCTCAAGACACTATGGTTGTGTTGTCATCACTATGTTACGAGACTTTGAAGTTGGACTTGTTAAGTTGTACCAGTGTTATAGACTCAATACTTTCTTTGTATGAAAGGTTATTAAAACTTCTGATTTTGTGTGATATGGGAGAAGACAAGGCCTCTTATAAGTTTGTGAGAAGAAAGACTATAAATAGATGCATATGTTGACTCTTAGCAAAATTTTAGAATGATTTAGTGGAAATCTCAGAATATCAGATGACTTCACGAAAGTTGAATTACAAAGATTTACAAAAGTGAGATGAAGATTAGAGGTATATAACCTGTTATTATTTATTTTATTTTACTTGGACCTATGTAATTCAGTTTTAATGATGTGATACGAGTCATTTCTGTACAATTTCTCTAGTGTACAGAGAAAACGAATTATATTAATTGGTAATAATATAAAAAATGTTTCAAATTTTCTTATTACCTTTTAATTTTCACTGTAATCCTGGTTACAATTTCTCGGAGAATCCTAACGTCTTCCTATATCTCGGGAAGAGTCATACTTTCCTTGATAACCTTTCTTTTTTCTTTGTTTTGAAATTATCGACTTGAATTTTGAAGCTAGATTTTGTATCTGAAAATTTTGTTTTTTGCCTTTGGTTCTCTGTTTTCTTCCATTATTGCAGAACACATGAGTACTCTGTTTCTTGGAAGCTAATATTCAGACCAACTCACAAATCTACCATTCTGCTACTAAACAAAATGTCAGATTTAGAGTGGAAGAACAACAACGAGAACCGGTAAGATTTCTTAATCTTCTTATTTAATTGAAATTAATGTCATCATTCCGATTTAAGCCCATAAAATCCTTATGTTCATTTGCTTGAAGAAATTGGAAGTTGATGACGGCATCTTGCTCCCCCGATCTTCATATCCACGTAAAGGGTGTTCCATTTCATCTTCACAAAGTAAGTTTCTTTCGATTCTCCCTAAAATTCATCGCAAAAATCCGAGACTTTAATTTTGTTTCTTAATTTTTGTTTGTGTGGCTTGTAAAGGAAGTGTTAGCAAAGAGATCGGCGAAAGTGAGCATATTACTTGAGCGAAACGAGATCGATGAGCTGCGTTATATTCTACGAGATTTAGAAGCTGAACCAGCAACCTTCGAGCTCATTGCTGGATTCTGTTATGGCGACGAAGTCAAGTTCTCGTCTGATAACATCGTCTCTGTCCTCTGCGTCGCGTATTACTTAGGGATGAACGAAGAACACAGCTCTGATAACTTGTTGAGTAAGGCATCTAAGTTCTTAGAAACACGAGTTTTGCCCTGCTGGAACGAGACCGTAAATGCTCTTCGTTCAGGGGACAAGAGTCTCGACAAACTAGCCGATGTTGGACTCGTGGATCTCTTCTTCGACTCTCTCATCGGTAAAGCTTCCTACGATCCAAGAATCCTCGGTGAACCAATCAAGAACGGAGAGGAAACCAATGACTATAGACCTAACCCTAGGAGAAGATTGTTCACTATCGATTGGAAATCTGAAGATTTGATCACAGTCCCTCTTCGTCTATACGAACCTTTGATGATCAGAGCAATGAAATCACGCAGCATTCCTATAGAATACATCGTTTCATCAAGCTTCAAATACGCGAAGAAGTGGGTTTTCGACGGAGAAGAAAGCATTTCAGGGCAAAGGAGAAAAGCTATTGAAGCGGTTGAGAGGCTTTTGCCTCATCAGAGAGGGCTAGTCTCTTGCGAGTTCTTATTCGAATCGCTAAAACATTCAATCTGGTTAGAAGCTAGCTCTCAGTGTCGAAATGGATTCGAGATCAGAATCAGCAAACAGCTCGACTTGGCTAAACCAACGGATCTCAAGATTCTATCCCGAGGCTACGGAGAAAAAGGTGAGAGTTTCGAAGATATCGAGCTTGTGAAAACCGTCGTCAAGAGCTTTTACGGTAACTACACCAGTGAAGACACTGAAGATGTTTCCCATTTCTTGAGAGTAGCGAAACTGCTAGAAGAGTTTCTGTTCTTGGCTGCGTGTGAGGATTCTCTGAAGCTCGAGGCATTTGTGGAGTTAGCGGAGATCACAGTGGCTACTTCGCAAGGTGTTTTGAGATATTCAGATGGGATTTATAAAGCCATTGATGTTTTCTTGAAGAGCCATAGATACTTGACTGAATCTGAGAAGATGGAAGCTTGTAAAGTTCTTGATTGTAAGAAACTCTCTCAAGAAGGATGCGAGCGAGCCGCGAAAAACCAGAGGCTTCCTCTGAGAATTGTTGTTCAGGTTTTGTTTGTTTCTCAGCTTCAGATACGCGATACAGTGGCTAAAGAGATTAAGGGTATTGAAGAAACAGAAGAACAAGAAGAAGAAATTGGGGTTTCGAGCGACGAGGATGAGATGGAGAAGATGAGTAATAAGCTGTTAGGGCTTGAGATTGAGAATCATGAATGTGTTGTTCATCGTTGGAAGAAGACAAAGAAGAAGTCAAGTGTGTGGAGAGAAGTGAAGAGGAAATTTGGTTGCTTGACTTCTTCTTCTTCTTCTTCAGCTGATGCTTGCACCTGTGATGTCAAGAGGAAGAAGAAGAAGAAGTTTCATCATCCATACAAATAAATAAATTAAATCATATCAAATCACTCTGTTTTTTTTTTGGTTTATTGCATTCGGTCGAGGCTCTGTTCTTGTTGTTCCACTGTTTCTGACATTGGAGAAGATTTCTTGCAGGTGCTTTTTTTTTTTGGTTTCTGATTTTTTTTTTTTTAATTCATCCAAACCATAAGAACAACAAAAATAAAGCTACAACAAAAATAAAGCTACAACAAAACAAATTCTTCTGTGGAGTCTTTCACATGGTTTTTAGTTCTTACTGTAAGAACAACATTCCTTGTCTCACACGTCAATGAGAGTTGGCTTTTTCAAAGCCTCTCTCTCTCTGATCAGTTCCTGATCCGCGCGTTATAAACTGATCGGTAAGTATCGAATCATTTGTTTCCGATAGATAATCTCAATGGAGTTCTATCGCAATCCTCATCAACGCTAGTATCATCATCATCGCTTCTTGAATTCAATCTACCAGTTTCTTGATTTTCTTGTTCTCTGTCTTCGTCTTCGTCTTCCATTCTCGTATGGTTCTGCATCAGATTATTAGAACTGCCCTCGTTTCGATCTTCCTCATCTTCTTCTTTTCTTCCTTCTTCATCCCCAAGAACCACCACATTCCCGAATTGCACGTGCTTCTCACCTTCCCTCGGCGAAGCCATCGGCTCAGCCGCAGCCACGGGATCTGAAGCTGACATGGCGTTTTCTTGGATAATGTTCTTGTTGTTCTTCTCCTCGCCTTTCTCTGGATCGAAATTGGCGACGCTCTTGCTCACGGAAACGGTACAAGGCTTGAGGACGCAAGAGTAAACGTAAGCCAAGAACCAGAAGAGCCAAGGGACACCAACTAAGAACATACCCGCTTGTAGAAACAGAGGATTTGAATCAGGGAGGAGGAGGTAGAGTCCGAGAAGGACTCCTCCTGAGACGATACATGAAAGAAACAGAAGAGTGACGATGTATATTCTTGGATCACCTTTTCTTTGATCCATTCGATTTCGAACCACTGGATCTGAAACACGATGAGAAAGACCAGAGAGATCGTGTTGTTTCTTCTTCTTTTGTTTCTGTGTGTGTTCTTTGAATCAGACTTTTCGATTTTTTTTTTGTTTTTTTTTTTGTTCCCTTCTCTGTCTTTTTTTTTCTTTCTCGGGACAATTGTGAGAACGAAAAAGTGGGTGTAACAGAAAACTGAAAAGACCGCTAAATGTGGACTTGGTTTTTTTTATATATATAAATATTATTTTTTTGCCTTTTTCGTTAAATTACTGTAAAGAGTTAATTAGTAGTGTCGTTGTGAAGTTGTTCGAGACTTTTACGCAATAAGAGTGAAAATAGGAAATGTAAAACTTATATTCATGGTGAGATACTAACAATTTTTCCGGGAATTTTTTAAAAACTAGTAGCATGGTTGCGGTTAGATTAATTAGCCTTAGTCATTTTGCTATTTCATGTTGAACAACTTTACTGCTGGTCATATACGTATTAATATATCAGAAGACCACGTAATACATACATATATTAATATATATATATATATATATATAAACTAAGACTACAGGATACTAGCATATATATATATATATATTGTTATCGTGCTATCAACCAAGATACGACGAACATTCACGATCTTTAATACATGAGCTCCACTTTTTTAAAACTTCTCTACTAAATTTTTGTGTGTGTACGCAACCCTGATATTTTGCACATTTTCTCATGATCACATCTTTAGTCAGTTAGCCACAATCGTTCTTTTCCATTTTCACATTGAAATGAATCCAAAAACAGATAGTCATTAAAATGCTCACACTATCAATCACCAATTGGACGTACAATTTCCAGACTGTAAAATTACCGCAAAGTAAAAAAACAAAAAATAACAACCTAATATTATTAAAAGAACAGAGATGCTTACAACACCAATTGAAAAGGCTAGATCGATCGTTTCTTGAAGATGATATGCTTCTCTCATCACGTTAGCTATGATCAGATTAATGCTAAATAAATTATCCATATTAAGATTGTAGTTTATATTGATTTTTTATGATCGTTTTTCATGTGCAAAAACTCTTTCTGAAGTTAAAAGATCATTATTTGAATCTCATCTACTGGTCCGAAGTCAGCGATGAAACAATTGTGTCTTACCAAGGCAACATGTCCCTTTTCAGAAGCATATATTCTCTTTCTCCTAGCTTAATTTAGCCAAATTTCTACCTAAAGTCTGGATTGGACCATAGAGTTTGTTTGTTTTCTTCTCTTTGCGATAGGCATTGTGTGTCACTGTATTGGTATATGTTTTTTCATGTCACGATGTGTAGTTCAATTCGTCTGCGTAAGTGTAATATTGTAGACATTGAATTAAGCATTGCATATATTTGCATATCAGCTATTTGGAAAACTGGTTAAGATCACTCTAAAGCTTTCAATGAGTTATCATACTAATAATTAAAAAGAAAAGAGTTACCATATGTAATAATAAAATGTAGCTCTTCACACTATATCTTTGATTTAAAAGTTTTTTTTTCATATATTGTACGTATCATGTTTCTCTGGCTTATTTGGAGTTGTACATATTTATTTTAGTTGTCGTTCTAGCTCATGTTTACTTTTACGTCCTCAAGGTAAATCTAAAGTTTCAGCGCATATTTATACTCAGCCAAGTTTATGCAAGGTATATATTAAGGTAATATTACCAGTGTATTAGGTTTATTATGGTACGGTATCCTGTCATCTATTCGTGCTATGCCATATATGTTTACGCGCTCGGGAAAAACCCAACAAAATTCAAACACAACGAGAAAGAGAACACATGCAAGCTCACAAAAAGAGAACATGATTCAAACAATACCACACAAATAAAGGTTGTGTGATTTAATTGCTTGTACGATTAATTAGTTTGCTTCTTGCGTGATTAAACTGCCTGTGTTAAAGCTTGTGCGGTTAATTTGCTTGTTTAAAGTTTGTTAGCTATACATTCTCCCGTGTCTTGATTTTTTTTTTATAGTTTTATGTGGAGGAGATTCTTTTTCATAGATGATTCCTAGTCATAGACCAAGAAGATCATTAAACTAAATAGTTTATCTTTTCTTAACTCGTGTAATATTTACGTGTGGTTAATTACTTAATTTGAATTGGATCCCAAGCAGAGCCGTGCCCAGAGATACAAGCAGAGCCGTGCCCAGAAATACAGAGCCCATAAGTAGATTTAAAAAAAAATATTCTAATTAATTCCGTTTTTTATGTTAAAAGCTTTAGTTAATTATCTTCATCTTATATTCATATAAAATCAATCCAATTTATATAAAACAAACTAATAATATTATTATTTCAAATTCATATAAACCAGTAATAACAATTATTATCGTTAACAAAATAAATACAAATTAAAATAACAAATCACAAATAAAACTAAATCTGATATTAGATGAAACAAAATTATAATTAAAAAATTTAACAATTGACAAATAGCTTTTGATTATGTGATATCCAGAAAGAATAAAAGGAAAGTAAGAAGTTTCCAAAACTTTAATAAAGAAATAAGAAATTGAAATGATAATTTTAATTTTAATTTGTCTAATTATTTAGGTGGCTATGTATGTTGTCTAATATTGTATTGTATTATTAATTTAGTTGCTAATTTTACCAAAGAAAATATTTTATTTTCAAACTAAATCTTAATTTAAATAATTAATAAAGTTAACAATTAATTTAAATTAGACCCTTCCGTTTTGGCCCGTAAGCCAATGTTTTTATTATTTGTTCATAGGTACGGATCTGATCCCAAGGACCAATACCCGTACACAATGAACATTCTTCAGAATGGCGTTAGTTAAAATCTCGCCACTCTTTTTAATTTGCATTGTAATAAAAAGATTCTTCTCTGATATGCAACTTTTCTTCTGTCAACATGTTCTTTTTGGATCATATGTGAAGGTCAACGTGTTCACATTTACCCCCTTGATTTAGGTATTTTATATGAAAATGAAATGGTGTGTGCATGTTTGGGAACCCTGTGTTTTAATATTTATATACACGCTTAACGCTTTTGATTGTAAGCAAGAACTGTGCAAGTCTGCAAATGCTAGCAAGAAAACTGGAAAATATAGTAAATTTTCGTAAATCCGTTATTTTTTTATAGTAATTGATAATCCAATAAAATGGAAAATGGGTAAAATAACGATACTGGCGACACGACAAGATGGCCGCTGATGGAGTTGGAGAAGAAAAGCTGTTTTATATTCCTCTCTTTTACTTTCTTCCCAAGAATCTTTTTTTTTATAAAAATTTCTTTTTAAGAACCTTATTAAGGTTTGTTTTGTGATCATTAAACTGGTATAAATAATATTTTGATCTATTAATAAAGAGCAATGTCAAATGAAAAAAAAGAAGTTCCAGGGTTTCCTGTTCAAAACGCTAATAAAGAAAAAATAAAAAATAAACCACATTTCTTTTGTACTGGATGTTCCATAAATTCAGGAGGGAACAGATTACTTAAAATAATGATCAAAAAGTGATCACTATAAGTGAACTGTGTAAAATTTATCATCACTAAACACTAAAATAGTAACTACAGTAAAAAGTGGAAGAGAAATTCTGTTTCATAAACATTTCTTAGAAAAGAAAGAAAAAAATGAAGGTATTTAATTGGGTAAACTGTAATTTCGTGACCGGTCGTACCTGGAGAAGATGAATCTTCCCGTCGACACGGATCTCTTCATCGCCACTGAACTCCGTATCAGAAAACTCGATACTCCACTTCTTTGATCCACCGCCGGTGGAGGCGTCTTCGACTCGCCGTGTTCATCTTCCCCTTCCTCTCGCCGCGGCCGCGAAGTTCCTACTCCGGCGGATTCTTCGTCTCCCTCCTCGTCTTCGATCTCTCGTAGCACATCAGCGATCGACAACACTGTCCCTGAGTTCAAGGATACCGATCTCCGAATCGGCAGCGAATCTTCATCATCATCCTTTGTTTCCCGTTGCTCTTCCAGTGACTGTGACTGCAATCTCCTGCTAATGTTCCGAGATCCGGTTTCCAGATCTTCAATCACGACGACGGAATCTCCGGTTCGATGCTGGTAACCGGAAATAACCGAGCTGATCTCCAAATTTCCTCCGCCGCGGTTACCGGATTCCGTGGCGATTGGATGAACGGAGCTCGATTGGGTAACGACGGTGGTGGGATTAATTCCGGTGACGAAAGCGCGGCAGAGAGGGCAATTGGAGTGAGATTTCAACCAAGTATCGATACAAGGAAGATGAAACGCGTGATTGCATTTCGGCAACAACCGTAAGCTCTCGTTCTCTTCGAATTCACTCAAACAAACAGAGCAATCGGAACAATCGACGAATCCATCGTTCTTTCTGTACTTGTAAACCGTAATCGATTTGATCAGAGTGTCGTTGAGGCCGTCGCTAGCCGCCGCATTCGAGTTTCCTTGCCTGGATTCGACGGCGGAGGAGGAGAACAGACCGCCGCGATCACGGGTTTCGGAGGAGGAGGTTTCGCGGCGGCGATGGCAGTATTTTGAGATGAGAGTGTAGTAGCTGACGAGGATGAAAGCGCTGGCGAGGAGTCCGATTAGGGCGATGAGGAGAGGGGAGAAGTTGGAGGAGGAAGAAGAGTCGTCGTCTTCGTCGAGGAAGAAAGAAGGAGGAGGAGGAGGGAAGATGAGGTAACACCATTGAGGACAGTAGATGTTGCAGACTCCCTGTGAACAGTCGTTGTAGGAATCATATGGAGTCCATGGATTAGGGTTTGACGTAGAACCCATTGATTGGTGGTGTTGCTGTTCGAGAAGACAAAGAGAGAGCAAGAAAAAGAAGAAGCAGAGAGAGAGAGAGAGGGGAAGGAGATGGTGAGAGGTGAAGTATCGCTCTCTCTCTCTATGTCCTTATCATGTGGGACTCTCTGCGATAAAGAGTGTATTTTTCTCTGTGTCTGGATTAATATCTTTGGACAAATCATAATTAATCTGTTTTTAAAGAAAACTATTGTGTTTTGCGCGGACCGAAAGGTTTTAAAATCAAAAAATAAAGTTTTATGCTATAAATTAAAAAAATTAAAACAATTAATTTAAGACATAAAAAATCAAAATAAAATTAATTAAAAAATTAAACACAACCCAAAATTAATTACTTAAAAAAATACTGAATAATCCATAAACTGATTTAATTAAGATAAATTCTAGCTTTTCGTTTCCAATTTTTTCTTCTTCGTTATTTTTTTATTTTTTTTCTTTATCGTTTTTTTCTTATTTTTCTTTCGTCCATATTTTTTTTCCATGTCTTATTCTTTATTTTTTTCTCCCTCCCATATTTCTTATTCAAATTTATTATTCTTTATTATTTTTTCTTCTTTATCGTTTTTTTCTTATTCTTCTTCCGTCCATATTTTTTTTCCATATCTTATTCTTTATTTTTTTCTCCCTCCCATATTTCTTATTCAAATTTATTATTCGCATCTTTTTTTATTATTCAACACCTTCGTTTCTTCGTCTTCTTCTTCTTTGTTTTTACGATTTATTTTTCTTCTCCTTCTGATATTTTTTTCATATTACATACTCTTCATACTTTTTATGACTCTATATCTTTTGAGGCTGAGAAAAAAGATAAATACACACTTCAAACTTAAAACTCTCCTTAAAAGTATGTTATATTATTGTTAGATGAGAAAACTGCATTAACTTTTATAGTTTGCTCCTTTTTTAACAATCAAAACTGTTTATGGGTAATCAACTTTAAAAAAGAGCTTAAACATATATACCAAAAAAGAAATTTTCAAAATTTCTTAATTACGCTAATAATTAACAAAAATATCAAAAATTAAAGCAAATATCAAAATAAGAATTTAAGTAAAATGGAGTCTCCACAAAAGGGTTGTGACAATTTCACGGTCCCAAGATTCGCAGATTTTTATATGTTATTTATCATCAATTTCTTCCTCATTGTTGTGTTAGAATATTTATTTGTTACTCTATTAAATAATTTTAAAAAATGAAGAAAAGACAAAATTAGATGGAATTGAATCCTTCCAACATACAAACTTAAGAAAACCTAGAGTTTTAGCTACTTAAACATAAATTTTACATCTTTTGTGAAACTTAAGCAAGAAAAGCTTTACTCTTATCCAAAAACAACATTTTATAATTAACAGTTCAAGCTCAACTGGAAACACAAGAGATGAAAACACTCCACACGGAAAAGATTTCAGTTGGAGAAACATGCAAAAAATCAAAGTACAAATAGTTACCTTTTTTTTTTCTTTTTTCACCTGTCTTTGCCCATAAATAAAATAAAAAAAACAGAAACCAATATCAAAAATATATCCCAACACTGGACATAAGAGACAAAAACACACAAAACTCATTCAAATAAAGTGATGTTCGAATAAAAAATAGTAATTTTGTTCATGTATCATCATTATTATCAATAGAACTAACTTTGAGAGTAAAAAAATGTCAAGTGGACTAACATTTGTGCTGGAACTAAACTCCTTGTTAGCTTGTTTTCTTTTGTTCTCGGCAGCGGCGGATGGGGTCTTGGATAAAACATGGACCACCATGTTCTGCACCTCGTTCACCAAAGCTTCTTTTGAACGGTTATAAATTTAGGATTCATCAGATCAAGTAATAATCCACAATCAGATGATTAAACCTGTGTTTTTGTACGTGTTCTTTAAAGTTCCATGTACCTTCCCAAAAGTTCAATCAGCTTGGCAACCTTCACAAGAACCAGGTGAACTCACATTTTATTGCCATGAGGGATTTCAACACTGTATGTCCTATAAACCATTCTGAATCGTCACCAAGAACCTACACCACAAAACAGAATACATGATATTTTTGTAATAATTTTTTAAAACATATAAAACGCTCATAACTGACTCCGAGAACTGGTTAAGTTCATGATCATAATCTCGATCTTCATCACCAGCAAATGAAATCTGTTGCATCGCGAGATGAAACAATAAAACGCGAGCACCTAAGAAAGAAAAAACAAAAGCAATCAAAAATTAAAACAGATAAGAATCAATAAACAAAAGAAGGCTCGACTCAGCCCCAACTAATAAAAGAGAAAAAAAAGTTCACCAAAACTGGCTAATATATAAAACATAAATATGATAGATAATAAAAAAAAATCACAAATCTAAACCTAAAGCACAAAAAAATAAAATAAAATGTTACCCTTCGGTATAGCAGTAAAACTAAACAATCAACGATAAAGAAATTCCGGCTAAAACACCACTTCCTAAACAGGAAAAAACATCAAACGCTATTATTAGTAAGAAGAATTTATAAAATATAAATAGAATCCAACTTCTAATATAAATCAGAACGAAATATATTTCTAAAAGTTACAAAAGGGAAGACACAAGGTATCACCTAACATATATAAAAAAAATGTAGATCTACATGAGCTAACAGAAACGAATATAAAGCAAAAATAACAACCGAATAGAAAATTAAACAGCAGAAAAACTATTTTTTAAGAAGTCACAAGATCACTAATGTAAAATACATGAAATATATAGCTTACATGATCACCAAACATTACAACCGTGCAAGTGAAGAAAAAAAATTGGTTGAAAAATCTTTAAGATTTATGCAAATCAGATAATTTGTATATATATTTTTTATTAAAAAACAATATCTAAGTATTTATCAAGACTTACGTAAAGATTAATGGAGTAACATAACTATATGATGATTTTCAATTTTTAATGTTTTTTTATAATTCATATAAATATTTTTTTTTTAAAATAATATCTAAGTATTTATTAAGTAAAATTTACTTAAAAAATTATGGAGTAACATAATTATATATGATGATTTTTGATTTTTAATATTTTTTTTATAAAATTTAATTGAAATAAATTTTAGGAGGGACAAAGGGTAATTAACCACCCTAAGATTGAATGAGAGAGCTTAAAACTAAATTTTTACTTTGCATTTACTATATGTGATATAACGATTTTTTATTCTCTTAAAATTTGACATGTATTTTTTAAGTAATAACTATACTAGTCTATGTTTTAAAAAATACATGTTTTTACAACTAAATTTCTTTAAATTATACCCAAAACCTCAATATGTTTTTATGAATTTTTAATAGAGGCGTAGTTAGATGGTCTCGCTTTTCGTGAAGAGAATCATTTTGCGGTAAGCTGCAACACATCATTTTTTTTTGTGGACAACAGCATTTTTTAGAGAAATCACCTTATAGAATTTTAAGCTAGTTTAATGGATGACAGAAAAAAAACGGATAAAGTAGATACATTAGGATATGGAATCAACCCAAGTGCTGTTATTTTTTTTTTTTTTTGGCTTTAGCTTTATCTTTATATTCGTTTCTTTTCTTTTGAAGTGTATTCTAGATAAGTAACTAACATTGTGAGCATTGTGTGTCTAGAAATAAACGAATTTACCGAGCGAAGTATTTCTACAATATTTGAAATTAGGAGTAGATAATACGTTTTGCGTGTGTATATATCTTTAAGCGTTGTTGAGGGTGTTTTGAGAATGATGTATAGATAATAAGATAGGTTTGATACTTATCAGTTTTACTATAGTTTGGTAATGGGAAAGTTACATATAGAGGTTAAGTACCTTTCACATAAAGCACAAAATTAGTTGGTAAATTGCTGGTGAAGAGGACTACCTAAAGGAGTCTTGAGTCTTGAGTCTTGAACATGGGCCATCCACGTGGAGCTGCAAATAATTCATGTATATGTTAATATGTGAGGTAGCGCATCTGATGCTTGATTTTACAAAGTCCAATAATTTGCATACGACAGAAAATGATATCCAGATTGTCAATAATATATTGATCAACTGTTGGGTCAACAACACTTTCAATTTTGCGCGCAAATTAGTGAAGTTTGTTTTTATTTAAACTTAAATCGTTTGGTTATATTAGGCACTCACTCTTTGATTCATATTAGTTACGTATAGAATGATATAAATGATTGATAATAGCATATGGTTGCAAATGGCTAAACGTATATATGTCTTATCTCGTATTGGAAGAAGAAAAAAACCATTTATTTCAAACCAACCAAAAGATCAGATAGCTAAACAAACTTCTTTAATTTGATTTCTAACCAAAACTGTAAGTATTCAACGGTAAGCAAGTGCCTTTTTTCATGGTTTTGAATTTGACTTTTTAGTCTTTGGGAACGAATGTTAATCAACATTTTATATTAGAAGAAAATCCATGGAAAATAACGAATTAGGGTACAAGAAAGAGAATATATCCTTGTATGCTTGTGTTTGAAACGCAATGTTGTAAAAACAAATAAAGTAATGTAGTGACCCCAAAAAAAATAGTAATGTAAAGAACAAGATAACTTTGTGAGTTCAATAAGAATTGGTAACTTAGCATAGAATCTTGTAAGTGCGTAAATAACAAACACTCAATATATAATTACTACTACCATGTGGTCACGAATTCCAAGGAGCTCAATCTATTACTATTATAAAGGTAATGAAAAAAAAAAAAAAATGAGATTCTGATGCTTCAGCTTGAGTCCAAAGTTACTGTCTGTCACCATTCTATTGCAAAACAACATACTTAACTTTAAAAGAAAAAAAAGAGACCTAATAAACACTATGATATGAATTCGTCTGTTTGTTTTTTTTCTTCTTTCTTTGCTTGACAGCCGTTTGTCTACTATTTAATAGAAGACTTTATTTTTTTAAAAGGGTTTAGTATAATTAGATTTAAGAAAAGTGAGGACTGAAGTGAGGAGGCTGAAGAATCTGATATGCTGTTACTCACATCGAGGAGGTGGTGGAGTTAAGGCGACATTTGACTTTGTCTATTTATATATGCTGTGTCTGTCGACATTTCATCGATCCTCCTCACCCATCAGACTCGGCCAGAATGCGTAACAAAGAGGAATCACCACAAGGTGTGAACATGTTTCTCACCGCTTGGTTTAATAGCGACACGTTCATTTGCAGTCTGCATGGATTGGCTATTTTAGATATTATTCCCATTTCCAAAAAACATGTTTTTCTTTGGGCCACGAAACATGTTTGTTTCATGATCTGTTTTCTATTTACAAAACATGCTAATATAAAGCCAGCCTCAAACTTATATGAAACTACTAACGCCTTCTAAGAAGTTACCTTGAAAAGATCTAAATCTGATTTTGTTTTATAAAATCATTAATAAATATTTTTAGTTTGGAATTAGATTTTAAAATTTTTAGTGTAACTATCATGAGTACATAGACTACATACATGTGCTTACTTTTCACTATTCGTATTTGATATGAGAGTCTGAGACAATAGATTCAGATAATTTTGTTCACTCTGAAAATATGAAACAAATTAGAACGGATCTCAGATAATTTGCTCACTCTGAACAATAATGGTTGGTTTTACAAGTCAATTCAAAAAAAAAAAATGGTTGGTTTTACAAGAGTAAAAATAATTCATATTATGATTATTTTTTTTGGGCCAAGATTTTGTTCTTTTATTTTAATATTATGCTGATCGTTTAGCAAATAAACGAAATACAAGCCCACTACAAAACAACAGAATAGACCGGTTCGGTTTACTCGAGGATTCCAGAGCTGGTACTAGTCAAAACCGTTCTTCTTTAATCGAAGCAGCGACTGCGATCGGAGAAGAAGAACTCGAGAGAGGCCAGGCCATGGAAACTTTCCGAGCTCGTTCAAGCATCGTTTGTATTCTTCTGTTACTGTCACTGTGTCTTGTACCCTGTGTTCTTTCCAAATCTCCTCGTCCCATCTCCGTAAGTCTCGCCTATATCTCTGTGCTCGACTCAGCTGATATGTGAGTGTTGATTTCATGAATTTTTTTTTTTTTTTTTGTGGAAAAAATCAAATTTTTAGGATGTGGAGATCAGGCAGAAGAAGAGTGAATGCTATGCTGATATTGAGAGGTGAGTACATGGGGCTTTGTACACTCATCATCTGCAATTTCTATTACGGTTTGGTTTCGAGCCTCTCTTGGTCAGTGGGTTTAGATCATTAAGTTAAAGACGTTAGAGACGATCCCGGAATAGCTTTGTCATGTTGAGAAAAATTCTTGATTTTTTACTGATATGAACATCATATGTGTTATCAGTGGGGACACTTTACGAAACTTGATTGCTCTATGTGTTATCCTGAGATTGGGAATGTTTCTTAGCTTGACTCTTGGTTAATATCCTTAGAGATTGAGCAATTTTTTAGCTTGATTTTTGGTTGGATAATCTGGCCTAAACTTGCTATTCCCAAATTGAAAGTTTATACATTAGTTAGCAAATTCTTGGCTCTGTTTTTTTTTTCTCTTCGTGGCTCACTCACTATTGTGTTATCTATTGTGGAAAACAAACAAACAGTGGGTTATGGGGATGGCGATGCAAATCTTCTCCAATAGCAAAAGAGAATTGTGCGCTGCGATGCGTTTCTCCAGCTTGCTATGAACTCATTTATGAGAGCGATCCGGTGAGGCTTGTGAAACGATGATGATGAGTTTTCTTTAAATCTTGTCTCCTCTCTTTATGAATTGTCTTGTTTTTGTTAAACAGCTTGAAGAAGGCGAGAAAGATTTGGTTAGGAGCCAAGAATACAAATATTGTTTGTACAAGTAAGTTTAAAACTACAATTCTCTTTCTGGTTCTTACGTTTTTCCGGAACTTGAAAATCATTTTAATCTCAGCTAGTTGAAGACAATACGAATGATCAGTGATATGTAAAGTTCCCTTATTGCTCATTCAATCCACATGGAATCATCTGTACCTATTGATGTGTTTTGCAGGTCATCGCTCGGGGAAAGCCTAGATGGTGTCCGCGGCAGCTTTTGATTGAACCAAACAAAGAGCTTCTTCAAACTGCTCTCCTTCTCAATCTAAACTTTGTTATTCTTTGATCTTTACCAAAAGCTAAGCTCTTGACCTTGAGATCGATAGTATATTTGCTTTTGTCACGTTTGGAGATGTATAGAGCTGTATAATACTTGGATTCTTTCAAACGCCAATTGTGTTTACTTTCCCATGTGAAATATTATGACTTCTGCGTAAACTTATGCTTTTGTAACTTTTAGAATGGATTTTGATTAAGCAAACTTGGCAACACAAGCAAATTGTTTAAAATTATTGACATCATAAAACACCCCTAAAATGATTTCTAACAACACAATTCATCACTTTAATCGAGTAAAAAAAACCTATTTTTTAAGTAATGATTCGTAACAGTTATAGACGCTCTCCTTGCTCACGAGCAATAGAAGCCGAGAGGATTCCAAGGTCTCGATTGAGAACAGTTAATGCGGCTTCACACTCGGATACAATTCTGGTTACAGAAGACGGCTCTCCCGCGACTGTTCCCGATGATCCAATCGAAAGTGCTGCATGTGAGTCTCTTAGGTTCTTCAAGTTCCCTAGGAACTGTCACCAAACAAACACAAACCTCATTTCTTTTTTTCATCGTGTTACCAGAAGCAAAGTATATCCGGAGAAAGCTTCTGAATTTAGACGATATGATGAAATACTAAGATAGGAGACATTTGTGGTACCTTCAGAAGCATATTATATGCCTCCAGTAAACGGTTTGCAGCAGGACCAAACCCATGAAGCTGAGGCACTTCCATCATGTGAGTCCATGGACGGATTTCCTGCAACATCCATGCATAACGATAAGGATACGACGGTTCATTTTCCAATTTCAGTAAAAGCAAGTCAAATCATAAGAAATAGCTATGTTGATTGAAGCTCTTAGCAGATTTTCATATCTATGAAAATCCTTAACTTTAAAATTTTTACTGTCAGCTGATCTAGGTTGAGAAGGAGAAAGAATGAAAACACAGTACCTTTGTGTAAATTGTGTTGAACGCCCTAGCAGTTTCAAGAAACGATTCTAAACGAGCCCTTAGTTGAGATTCCACTTCTGCATATTCTTCGTCGGGGTTGTAGGCATGCTAAAAAGAAGAAACCAAGGAGAACAAGACATGTTTAGAAAGCGCAGAAATTGGAAAAAAGAGAAAGAAAAAGACTGTTAAGTCAATACATGACGAACAGTATGGAATTCATATTACGTATTAAGTAGACTATGAAGGTGAAGTCTTGGCTACATCAGAACCAGAAGCTAACTCATAACATTTTCAGGTAGAGGAATATGAGCTATATCTTAAGCAAATGGTATCTGGAGTTAACAGGTAAAGGTGTGTTAAGCAATAAGTTGAGTGAGATAATAAAAGATGTAACATCACAATGAATATATCGACTCTGATGAAACAGCATATTGGTCCAGTGAGTCATCCAGTTCACAGTCAAAACTTAAGTTTTCTATATGGAGCAACTAAAACACACCTTTGCTGCCAAGTCATCGACTTTTTGCTGAAGATTAGATAGAATTTTCGCCTGTTCTGAGAGTTTAGTCTCCAGTTCTGAAACTTCTGGTCTGCAAATAAACTTTCATTTAGGTACATAATGCCACTACATCTGCTAAAATATGAAGCGAGAAGTTAAGGAGTAAGGTTTGCACATACATTAGTAGTATAACTTAAAGCTAGAAATCAAATTGAAACCTCTGAGGCCAGCTAGATCTGGAAGCTTAAGTCCAGGAAAATTGAAATAACTAACTGGCTCCAAGCGAATAAATCACACTGTGAGCCATCTATCTATCGGGATACATAGTAGCAAAATTTCATATGTTGGTTTGGAAAAAATAGTTCATATCTTCAATTCATCTGAAGCAATCCATAACCCACAATCAATAAATATTTACAAAAGGTGGTATAACTTGGAGATAACAGGAGACATTAGTTCTTACAGTGGATATATAGACTGGATCTGCACATCAGCAGGGAACAGTTTGCATTCCTCAGAAAATATCAGAGACTGTCTCTCGGCAATAGCATCTATGAGCTGAATATCTTTGGCAACCTGCTCATCAATACTGAAGAATAAGCAAAATCATTGTTACGCTCAAACAAAGAAACAAACAAGAATGTAGACAAGAATCAAGAAGATGAAAGACTACAAAACGCTAAACTAATGATACAAATTGCGGAAGATATCAGATATCAGTGTCATATCAACCTCCATTCTGGATTATCTGAGAAAAGGCTTGCCTCCACTAAATCAACAATATTGCGAAGCATTTCCATCCGGTCCTCATAGGTTCCATGTCCCTGAAACAATGATAGTATTATTGCATCTTCAAAGTTGAAATTTAAAAAACAAAAGAAAATTCAGTCGTGTATAACTTAAACCATACTTGCACTTTGACAAATCATAATTTCAGTAAAATGCAAAGGCTAGATGAACAAAGATGGTCTAACAATTTAAAAAAGCTTACTTGAATGGCTTCTATATCTACGGTTGGTGTAATCCCCAGAAACTTTGCGATCTCTGCCAAATCTGAAAACGAGAAGTCACTTACTCATCAAAACTAGACCATCTTTGTCCAAAGGCCAACACGATCAAAGAAACGCTTACACTGAATTCGAACAGTTTCTTCATCACGAACTCCAGCGTCTCCTTGGAGATTTTGCTGTGAGAAAGGAGATTTATCACCTAATAGCCTTCAAGATAAGCCAAAGAAGAACAATAAGGAAACGCCATATAAATTTTAATCAATACTTTGAATATGTTTTACACACAAACAAAAACCTAACTTTCCAGATTAATCAAGCAATTCAAACAGACCCAATTCTACATTGGACCCTGATCAAACACTAAGTCAACTTCCTCACTGCGAAAACCAAACCCACAAAACAATTCGAAGTTTTTGATTAGACTCGAAACTCAAAATGTGCGAGTTCAAATTAATGATCTACAAATCAAGAGAATTCGCCGCATTTCTCTGGATTAAGCAGACAGTATAAAGTTGGAGAGAAAGAGATTTACTTGAAAAAGAGCCATTCGAGAAGAGCATAACGTTCCATGCCGGCGAAGAGGAGAGACTGAGCAGGAGCATTTGCCCTAGGGTAACTAAGCAGCGCCAGCTTCTTCTGTATCTCTTCCATCTGCTTCGCCGCCATTTTGCTCCCCACAGATTCCGGCGACGGCTTCAACACCGATCAAATCTCGAGATCTGACACTAGCCTCGTGTCGTTGGTTTCTCTCAAAAACTCAAAAAGCCTATTTTACCAAATTGGCCTCATTCATCTCCAGCGTGTAAAATAGTAAAAACAACTTTAGCAACCAAAAGTGCGAATCTTGTAGTAATTTCTAATCAAAATATGTTTGGCGGAAAAAATATCTATCTATATTTATAATTTTAGATCGACTGAAACTCTAATAAAAATGACTGATGATGATTCATCATTAGCAAAAGAATACAACGAAAACAACAAATTTAATCATTCTTTGACCCCAAAAAATTAACTATTTCAATTTTATTGCACAAATTGTTTCTTATTGAATTATTTTTACTATAGTTTAGATTATTTTAGATTGGGTTATGGGTAACTATTGGTATTTTGTTGCATTTCGCTTCATGATCATGTAAACTGTGTTTGGGTGATTTAACATTTAACCCCCCAAAAAAACTATGTTTGGGTGACAAAGAAAATGTTATGAAATGAGTTTGATGTTAAAACAAAGAGTACCAAAAAAGATTACTTTAGAATGTGAGTACAATCACTGGAATAAAAAATAAGGTGGGTACAATATTCGAAGGAGACGCAAAGTCCAAGAACAGAGCTTTCAAAAATTTTGTATTTCCCAACGGATCTCTGACGTTTGGTCCAGAGCCGACGACGACCTCTAGCCAAGAAAAAGCTATCTCTTTTCTCTCTCTCTCTCTGTCTCTCTGTGTTCGTGAGCAATGATCTCCCTGAATCTATCTGCTTCCCTAAACCCGGGTCTTCTCCACAAGACCCGGCAAAACCCGACCCGTCTATCTGCTCTTCTCGTCACCGGCGATAAACCCTTCAGCTGCAGATACCCTCTAGGGCTTTCACCGATCCCCAATCTTCAGATTCGCGATTCCGCCGCTAAAAAATCCTTACTTTCACTCACTAACCCGAAAACCCCAGCTGGGTCGTTCTCGAGAAGACCCAGATCCATCGCTGCAGCTGGGTCATCTGACCCGAGTCCAGACTCCGATTCCGGCGAAGCTGAGAAGAAGGAGAAGAAAGCGAAGAATCTTCAGCTAGGGATCGTGTTCGGCCTTTGGTATTTCCAGAACATCGTCTTCAACATCTTCAACAAAAAGGCACTCAATGTCTTCCCTTATCCATGGCTTCTCGCTTCGTTTCAGCTCTTCGCAGGTTCTATCTGGATGCTCGTCTTATGGTCCTTCAAGCTTTACCCTTGCCCTAAAATCTCCAAACCTTTCATCATCGCTCTACTCGGCCCTGCATTGTTCCACACAATCGGACACATCTCAGCTTGTGTCTCCTTCTCCAAAGTCGCTGTTTCTTTCACTCATGTCATCAAATCAGCAGAGCCTGTCTTCTCAGTCATTTTCTCGTCTTTCCTCGGCGATTCGTACCCGTTAGCCGTCTGGTTATCCATTCTCCCAATCGTTATGGGTTGTTCTTTGGCTGCAGTCACTGAGGTCTCTTTCAATTTAGGTGGCTTATCAGGAGCTATGATCAGTAACGTTGGTTTCGTCTTACGAAACATTTACTCTAAGCGAAGTCTTCAGAGTTTCAAAGAGATTGATGGACTGAATCTTTACGGCTGGATCAGTATCCTCTCTCTGGTTTATCTGTTTCCTGTGGCGATTTTCGTTGAAGGATCACAATGGGTTCAGGGTTACCATAAAGCCATTGCATCTGTTGGGAAACCGTCAACGTTTTACATTTGGGTTTTGCTCTCTGGTGTCTTCTACCATTTGTACAACCAATCTTCTTATCAGGCGCTCGACGAGATCAGTCCATTGACTTTCTCTGTAGGGAACACGATGAAGAGAGTCGTGGTGATTGTCTCCACGGTTATTGTTTTTAGGAATCCTGTTAGGCCTCTGAATGCTCTTGGATCAGCCATTGCGATTTTCGGTACCTTCTTGTATTCTCAAGCCACGGCGAAGAAGAAGAAGATTGATGTTGGAGACGATAAGAAGAACTAAGGGTTTAGTTAAAGCCTTTTCATTATCCCTCAGTTTTGTTGTTTTTCATCTTTTTATGATACTAGAATCTTCACTTCTGTTTTAGTTGCTTTAAAGACTTTTATCTACTCAGTTCTTGTCTGATTCCTTTGATATTATGAATTTGGTTTGATTCTGAGAAGAGTTAAAATTTCTTAATCTTAAGCCAGTTTCTTCCTAATACAATGACTTGGGTCAAATTCAAAAACTGTACAATGAAAAAACCCACAAAAAGAAACTTCCTTTTAATCACCATGAGTAATGCCGGAACCTTCTCCGGCTCGTCCTCCTGAACGGTTTACAAGCCAGAATACTAAGATCAACAGCTGCAGCAAGCGCCATGAAAATGGCTGCATCTTCTACACAGGTTACATGCCGCATAGCCAATTGCACAACAGGCTTGCTGCTTTTCCCTTCCCCTTGCACTCTCGAGCTCATCACAAACCCGCCTCCGGAGACACACTGTCCCAAACCCGAGTAGTCTCCGCTACTCTGTGGGCTAGGAATTGGGGTAGCTGCAACCGTTAGCATCTGTTTATCCGTGTCGATTAAAAATTCGCCGCCTTTCTCAGCGCTGATGAGAATTTCCGACATTAAAACATCTCCAACTTCTTGCCCGTTTGACAGGAGATGGAACCTGCAACATACAGAGTCTCTGATCCCGCGTTCCCGCCAAGCTTCGAGCTTTCCCCATGGCTGCCAGCTATTGGGTCGGCATGGGTCAGGCCTGACCACAAGCCAAGCACCAGGGTTGGACTTGGCGACCCAATCACAGCCAGTGGATGGCACAAAAGGAGTTGTTATGAAAGCAGCAGCAACTGCAGAGCCAGAGAGATCATGTATCTTCACCTTCCATCCTTTTCTCTCACGTCTCTCACTCTCAAGCTCGGTTCCATCGCCTGAACTTGACCAGTATCCATTCAACGGATCAACCTGTGACACCCTAAAGAAATCAAAAGCCCATCAGTAACTAAGTTGATAAAGCACAGAGAGACGAGTATGTACAATTAAGGAGAAACCAAATGTCACCTGTCTCGGCTAAATTTGCAACTGAAGATAGGTTGCTTGACCGAGCCACGAAGCTGAACTATCTGAGGGCTCAAAGTAGTAACATCCTCGAACTGGAATACATATCGAGGATCAGGATCAAGCTTCACTCTCAAATGAAGCTCTGCACCACCATCTCTCTTGTTCTTTCCAATACCAATCCAGCCATTGAAGAGAATCATTGGTTTTCCTTGTCCCCATTCCGGACTGACCTCCAACTTAAATATCCCAATCTGCTGTCTTTTAGCACCAACCCCACAATGCGAACTCTTTTTACCCGTAAAAACCGAAATTTCCAAGTGAGCATTAGGTTGATAGAAGCATCCAGGGGTCAGGAGAGCTCTTAAATCAGATTCTTCAAGATAAAAGCTTGTGGAAATGCTGTGATGGTCAGGAGCTGCATCTAGGGACGGCATCAAAGGGATAGACGTTGTCTGAACAGGAAAGCCTCTGAGTTTTATTTCGCAAGAGCATTGGGAAGAAAAGTTCTTCTTCTCGTCAGATCTTGAAGAAGAGTTTAAGAGGACCTTGGGGATTCTTAAGGCAAGAGAGCCTACTGAAAGGCGGATAAAAGCTTGGGGATCCATTGAATGTCAGAAATGTTTCCCCATAGTGGTATGATCAATCAACCTGACAAGTCAACACCAGAGACAAAAGAGATTAAGATAAAGTTAGTTTCATCCAATCCAATATTAACAGAAACTGAAAACACAATGAAAATATGAAATTCCTTAAAGTGGAATTCCTTAGCCAGCAGAAGCAGATAGAGACAGGATTAAAATAGCTATTACTTGCACCAAAATCAAGTCCTTAAGTAACCAGATTTGAATTGGTCCTCACTGAATGATGGTCAATGTTGTTCTTTTACCAGTCTTGAGCTAAGCTCCAAGAACAAAAAACCACACGACTTTACCATTTGTAAACTCAAGCTACAGCTCTAAGAGATCGAATTACTTAAAATTAAACAACAACAGACGACGAACTTCATTAAATTAGCAGAAACTCAAGCTGTATATAAGCTAGTGTCATCAAAGAACAAGCCAAAACCAATTGAAGTCAAGATAAAAACAAATAAGCGGAGAGAGAACAAAATCAAATGAAAAGAGCTAAAATTTAATATGGCAATGAATCGTAGCAGAAGAAAGCTACAAACTATATGGAATTAGGAGTTACCAAAATGAGCAAAAGAGAAAGAAACAAAATAGTAAGTTTGATACAAACCTGTTTAAACCCGTAAACATTATTTTCAACACAATCTGATGGATCCCAAGAAAGCTAGACCCTTCAAAATCCTGTTTCCTCTCGCAAACCAAAAACTTTTAAAAAGTTTACCAAACTGGGGAAGAAAAAATGCGAAATAGTGAAATGGTGGAATCAAGAGAGAGGAAACGTAATTCGTAGAAAAAACGGAGATTTATGATTACGATGGGATTTCAATTTTGGTTTCACAGAGCACAAAGAGAGAAACTTTTCTTCTCTTCTCTTTTCTCTCTCGTTCGCTGTGTAAGTAAATATTCTACCCCGGAAGAAAATTGTGATATTCGCTACGAAATTGACGGGGAGAATATAAACGCAAAAAGGGTTTCTATTTTTGTTCCTAAATGCAATTATCTTTCTCTTTTATCCTTTTAGCGTCTACGTACAACAATAATTTTGGCTTTTCATTGGTCCTAAGTCTTAACTCCAAAATATGTAATGTATTTTATTCGACTATAATCTGTAAAATAAAGGATTAAGGGAAAAAATCAATTTTTTGTATTAAAGAAGTTTATAAAGTGATAAGTTTTCTTACAGTAAGCTCATAATTCTCATAATTTGAGAATAATTCTACTTATTATTTAACATAAAAATATACTAAGATTCGAAAAAGGTTAACAAACAATATGTTAGTGTATATAGTTAAGATTGTAATATGTAATCAATTATAAAAACCAACTTATTTTTTTTTCAGTATTTAAAAGAAAATTTTTAGATATATTTTAGTGCCAAAGTTTTTATGGGAAATAATACTTAAAAAATGTCCACTCATATTCTATCACATCATTTTAAAAAAAAATCATCGGTCAAAAATAAACTAATGATTCTATATCTTCGTATATTTCAGAAAAGTATGATTTATGTTTTTAACTTCTACATATTTAAACTAATCAAATATATTGAAACTGTTATCAATTGTATATATATGTTCAACAGTCAACATGATCCAAATCATCCAATATTTATACCTAATTTTTAGCAGAATAATAGACCCATCCTCCAAAATATTAAGTAATAAGTAAGAAGAAGAGTAATCTCTTAAATAAATAGCTGTCCATTATTTTTATCAACAATAACTTCACGCAGTCGAATTATTGAACTAGAGGTAGGTTCATAGTGTTTGGTGGAAAACAAATAATAATAATGCGATGGAAGTCAATTTGGAGTATAATAAATTTATAACAAAACAATATACCATCTGAATATTTTACAATTTTCGTATTTTGAATGAAATCACAAAAATTAAGAAATTTATGAATAGACAAAATTTATAAACTAGAGAGGGATGGGTACGTGAATACAGCTGGAGCCATGTTTCTCCTCTTCTTTTCCATTCAATATTTACAACAAATAAGAAGAAATGACGAAAAGCAAAAAATAATCTAATCACTTTCAGACACATAAGCCTGACTTCATATCCCAACTGTCCACTCTATTTTATTAGATTTGTTTTAAGAATGCAACTACAAGCTGTTCAAACAAAAAAAAAAGAATGCAACTACAATTATTTTCATCTCATATTACAAGTATTTGATGAATAATGCAGTAGTAGTCCAGTAGAGGTGGACATCGAATTTTTAAAATTATTATATGAATACTTAAAAGTTAAATCTTGAATGTTGTTTTTTTAAAAAAAAAATATTAACAATTTAGTCAGAATAATCAAGTTATATCTACATGTATATGTAAACATATCTCAAGAAATGAAATATCTAAAAACCATAAAATATCTTATGTTCAATTTTTTTCCCGTCATTTTCATCATCACTACAAAGTATTTTAATCTTTTATTTATATTCATAATAAACAAATTTACTTCTTCGCACGACAAATAGTAATTGATGGAAAAAAGAAACATCCAAGTTTCTCTAAATAGGAAAATGAAATAAAAATCATAGTAACTGATTAAAAAATATTAAAAAAGAGCCGCAAAGAAGGAAAGGGATAGAGATGGGTTTTCGAGGAGCTGACATCTTCGACATGTGCCTCTTCCTGTCATCTACTTCATCAATCTCACACTTCTTTTGCCCTCTTTCTCTTTTAAATTACTACTATATTACCTTCTTCTTCATTTTTTATGAAAGAAAACCAACCATGTCTAGATTCTCTGAATTATAATACTTTTAAAACATTTCTAGAGAGTATCCAATCTTATTCTCGTGTTTTTTTTTTTTCAGTGAAATGCATGGATATCGCAAATAAAAATGTTTCCGATTGTCATGTATTTTGCACCATTTAAAACTTTTATTTGATAACTGTTTTTTGTTGTTGCCTCGGTCTAAATATTCGTCGAATCTATAATTCTGTTTAATTATTACAGACTTACAGTGGTGAAAAGAAGAAGATGCATCCGAAAGTAATCATTTTTGATATTTTTGATTAATAGGAAGTCAAAATCATGTCTGCGAGTTTGTCAATTATCTTTGTTTTTTCTCGTTATATATAAGCCCTTCTTTTCATGATTCTCCCTCAAATAGCATTTTATGCACTAAATGCTCTTCTTTTTTGCTTTAAAAGGTTTGTTTGCATCATCTTCGGGCAGGCCATTCTAGATTATTAGGACACTTGATTATGAAAACACAAATCGTAATTAATACGCTTTGTTCGTCTTGAATTGTTTTTTCTTCTTCTGTGTGTTCTTGAACGACTTTGGAGCTGACAAATATAGAATCTAGTCGTTTTGTAGTTTCTTGTCCTTCCATTGATCTGAATTCGAAAGACTTCCAAAATTGGATATTTCTCTTTAACGTCTTTTTTTGGAATTTCTGTAAACGTTCCTTAAGACAATTCATTCTAAATAAAAAAATTCTCAAGACTGTTTTAGACAAATACATTTACAAGTCTACAAGAGATGGTGTAATTCTAAGAGTTCAGAGCTAAAATACAATAATTTTCCTCATTTTCTATATCTCCCGAATATTTTTCTTAAATTATTTTGTTTTGATATATTCGTTACAAATCCAAACTCTTAACGTTCAAGAAGCTGTTAATATATACATAGATATTGTCAGCAAGCATCCATGGAAGTTTAGATAAATGAACAAGGTCAAATTTTGGTTCAACTAATTTTTTGTCATGTTCAATTTGTGTATTGTGTAACAACTACATAATTTAGATAGGGACCAAACGCTAAGAAATGTCATCATCGTAATAAAATTTCATTTAAATTCAGAATGTAGTGGCCATAGGAGTGAAACTTAACATTTACAACGATACCTCAGTCAACTAAACAATAGTAGTATATCATTAGACTAAATAACCTAATCCAATTCAAAGTTTGTGTACTAGCCTTATCTTTTTGTTTTATAATTTAATAGTCCTATGCATCTGATTATCGTGACAAATTATAGAGTCATCAAGTATCGCAATGCATATAGAGAAATTATTGAGTCATTTTTGTCATATAAAATTAGTAGCTAAAAGTAAAATTAAAACTAGCTGGCAGGTTGGGGGGATAATGTTCTCTTCTGCCCATCTTTTGGCATTTTTATCTTTCTACTTTGTTATTTCCTAAGTTGGCAGCAAACTCAAAAGCATCTAATACTCTCTCTATATATATAAATCAAGATTACTTAATAGAATATCTTCAACCAAACCAAGAAACAATTTACCCAATAGACAGAAAGTGGATAAGTATTAACGAAACCAATCTTAATCATGCTTCACTACAAAAGAAAAGGGAAGAAAAGAAAAAAAAAAGGTTTAGTGAAGATACTCCATAAATATCTAAGAGTCGGTCGTTTTCAAACAAGTGGTTCTCAGTTTCTGACTACCAAAAGGAGCAAACTTTATACATGCTAATGTAAAAACAAAAGCTTCATGAAACCAAACCAAGAAAGAACGATCATGACTTTCTAACCTCCAAGGCTCACAATAACTAAGTAATTTTTTACAGAGACTTAATATTTATTGTTAGGTAATGATAATGTTATAGCCTCTGAATTGGATCAATCTTTTGGAAAACAAAAGAATCACTTCCATTTCTTGAAGAACTTGCCCTTGTGCTTCCCAAAGATGCCATGTTTCCAGCGTTTTCCGAATTTTCCGTGCTTGAATTTGCCGTGTTTGAACTTACCGTGACCGTGATAGCCGTAGCCATAACCGTGACCGTGATGGTGACCATAGTGTCCGTGGTGAGACATATGGTGTGCAGCTGCCGCAGCCACACCACCTGCTATAATCCCTCCTATACCTCCATGGTGATGTCCTGTACCATTAAGTTGCTTTTTCCTCATCTTTAGGTCTTAAAAATGCCATCTTTTGCGTTTAAAGATTCTAAAATATGTTGGCTCATTTGGAAAAAGAAAACAGAATACACACTAAACATATATAGAACTAGAAGCAAACACGAACAAAACAATCCAAAGCCTAAATGTGGAGGAATTATGCAAATGTTGAGATTGAAATTACCAGAGTGATGAGATGGACCGGGATAACCGTGAGGAGGATAACCGGGTGGAGGATAACCAGCTGGAGGATAACCGGCTGGAGGGTAACCACCGTGTGGAGGATAAGCAACTGGTGGGTAGCCATGAGGAGGAGGAGGAGGAGGGTATGGATAAGGAGCTCCATAACCGTGACCATGATGACCATAACCGTGACCGTGAGGTGGGTAGTGTCCCCCTGCAAATCCTGCTAAGTGGTGGAAGAATCCTCTGTCATTGTGATTATGCTGATCTTTTCCCATTTTTTTCACACTTCAGTTTTAAAGAAAACGGTTACTACACTGTAAAGAATAAAACACCTTGGCGTTAGATTATGAAGCAAAACAGATACTTTGAAGCACAGCTCCGAGTGACAATTAGATGTGTTTGGCAAAGAAAAAAAGTTGTGTGAGCACTAATAAGGGGCTAAGTGAAAGTTGGTATCTATTCTAATTACCAATTACCAAGCTAAATGCCAGTAAAAGAAGACTTAACCTCAGGAGAGAATGAATCAAGAGACAAATCGAAAATGATGTGATGTTAAAGAAGGAAAACTGGATAGAACATGTTCATAGTACTTCTTTTTTTTTCTTCTATCAATATAATATGGAGAGTACAAGTCGTTCACAACAACGTTCAAATCCAGTTTCTCAATTCCACACATAAAAATACTTCTTTTAACGAACAAAAAGAATCAAAAACTTTGAAACATTCGAGGTTAAGAGCACTGGTTTCTAGGATTTCATAAAGTCCCATAACCAAACTTCATTATCTGTTTCGTTTGAGGCTCGAAGAAACATACATGTTCCACATGGACATAACAAAAGTATATTTCAATGTAAAACAACACAAAGAAAATTCCCATATCACAAGATTGAAAAACAAAAAAAAAGATCAAAGATGTGCGTACCAAGCTTGAGGGTTTTCTGATTCTCGCGAACTGCCCAGAAACGAAAGAAAGAGAGTTGATTTGATTTCGAAATTCTCAAGAAGTGCGAAATCGCCACTTAAGATGACGACGTCGTCGTCTGCATATAATACTTTCTCGAAGCGAGGAAACGCCTGAGACGCTGCTGATCGTGATCGAGATCGAACCGTAGTTTCCACGCTACGCGCTTCCTTTTATTTATCCCTTCTATTTTCCACAAAATTCTTCAAGATAATATATTTATTACAATATCTTGAAATCATATGCCCTTTATAATGTTTTTTTTCTTTTCAACCAATTATAAATATTTAAAATCTGTATTGGATTACCTGATTGGCTGATTCTAGTCAAAACACACTAATCCATTACAGATTTATGATATCATTTAAAAGTCACGTGACGTGACTTTTAAAACAACTGAAAATACCAAACCGAATTAAACCAAACCAAAACTAATTTGGATAACCCTCAACGATCAAATTGGATGGAAACTGTTGTTTGAATCATGTATATAAGCTAAACTTTCTGGTATAGTCTTCTGTAGATTCTTGCACCTTCCAATTCTGCGTGAATCTCTCGTTCGGTTCGTATACCCATCGGGTTTGCCATTAACCAACCTTCCTCTGTGTCGACTGTGTCCACGTGTCGAAGAACCTTTGCTTCCTCGTCTAACTGATCTCTCATGTCTTGAGCTACTTCCAGCACATCTGATTGCACAAAGATCTGTTGCAGAGCCCAAAAACGAAGAATATATTTCGTTTTAGAATCGAAACTGCAGCAAATAAAGCTTTGAAAGTTTAAAAAACTTTTTATAGCTAGGCAAACACTTTTACCTTCCCGCCTGGTTTTAAGTTTTGCAGAATGGAATTCACCAAAGGCTTTTGGACAACACGTCTCTTTTGATGCCGTTTCTTGAAATGAGGATCCGGACACTGCAAATTCAAACCCCACAAAAGAAGAAGTTGGATCAGGACAGGATACATTATAGGTTTTTAGATGTTTACAAATTTTCACACTTACCAAGATTGAGACAAGCTCCAACGGTCCAGGATAGCTTGATATAAGTTGTTCAAAGGAAACCATAGCATTTGCAAATATGAAGTGTCTGAAACCCATCCACAAGAGATATTTATCAAAGAACTGAGTATAACATAGGCGTATTCTAAAGATCTTCCTAAGGTTTCCAGAGATTACACGTTTGAAAGCCCGAGCTCATTCACCCAAAAGTTGGCTCGCTTAACCAGCTGCAAAGAAATGTCAGAAATTGAACTTCTTTAGGCCAACGTAACCGGAAATGCATTAACCAAAGCAAATGCAAAGTGGAAACTGAAAAAAGGAGCTCAAACCATACTTTCTGGCGTATCTCCAACCCCAAGTAATTTCCTGACTCAGCATTCTTTTTGGCTAGCCATAAGAGAAATCTGCCACTACCTGAAATCCAAATCCTAAACCATTAATACAAGGCACAGGCAAGAACGGAAATCGAATACGAAAGTTTTGGTTTTTAAAATTGAAACAAACTTCAAGCATGAAAGAGGCGCAAGACCAGGAACAAATGTAAAGGAGAGAGTTTTTTTTTCTTTTTTAAATCAATTTCAAATTCCATAGAAAGATGCCAACTTTTCCACCAGAAGTGTCCAAGAGAACTAGTGTGCAATATAGCTCAACTAAGAGAACAGAATATGCATAAGCATATATAAACTCTCGGAAGAATACAATGACCAGGCTTGGAGTAGAGAGAAACAAAAGTCCCTCAAGTCTAAAGTAAGCTCACAAGTTACCACTTCCAATATCCACCATAAGAGGCAGCGACGGATCCTTGTAAACTTCATCCCAAGCAGGAACTGGAGCTGGCGTCTATCAGGAAGAAGAAACAGTGTCAGTCAGTTATGCAGTTTCAAGTATCAAGGAAAAAGCTTTCACATGTTTGCAAAACAAAAATATAGACATCATCAGCTTACAGAGAAAGAGGAACTGAGCGGATTAACATGCTGTCTGATTCTTACATGACCTAATTCCTGCAAACAAAACAAAGAAACACAAATGATTACTTAATCATATCCAAAATCTAGAGATAGTGATAGACCAGCTCGTTAGTAGAAGAGTCAATGAAGATGAGAAGCTCTCTAATTCGAACAAACATTGGACCAGAAGAGAAACATTATCCGAGATTAGAGCAATCCCCAGAAACCAAATACTGGAAAATGAGAGGAAATTCAACAAAGATCAAGAGAGGATGGAGAGAAGATACCTCAGATATCTTGTACTTGAGGTTTAGTTCTGCATACTCCAAGTTCACCAAATCAGTGCTTCTCACCTCCTTTAAATCGACACAAACTGAAGTAGACGCAGACGCAGACGCAGACGCGGAGGTGGATGCTCTGAAGCTGCTATAATGGCGAGGGATGTTGTGCCCGCTCGTGAAGATAAACGGCGATGAAGCTAAGGAAAACACCCTTTTCGCCAGAAGCAATGGCGTAGCCGAAGAAGAAGAGCACGCTTGAAAAAGAGAAGCCATTTTTGTTAAGGGAATAAGAATTAAGAAAGGAGGATTTTGATTCAATTGGAAAAATGTTTTTCTTTTCAGTGTTCTTCTTTTGCCTGCTTCTTAAAAACCCATGAGGAAGAGAAAGTTGCCTCAAGAGTTTTGTACTTAAATGTGATAAAAATTAAAATTATCGGGGGCCTTCTGTAAATAAATAAAAATACTCAAGAACATGTGGATTTTAAGCTCCAGCTTTCTCCGCTTGAGCTCACATCCACTGAACAAAAGGATGGCCTCGGCGATTGTTCCATCGCTCAGGCTGAGGCCAAGCTTCTCCGTCGCCACATCACCATCCTCCTCCTCCTCTTCCGACGGCGACGTCAAATCCCGTCCCGCCGTCATTCTCCCGGTAATTCACCTCCTTCGTCTCTTCTGTTTGAGAAAACTATGGCGAAAAGTGTGTGGTTCCACCATCAAAGATTTTTTTTTTTTTTAATCGTGGATCAATTCTCTGTTTCTTACTACTCTTTACGTGCTTACCGACTTTTTGCATTTTCCTCTTGTAATTCTTTAAAGTCTAAAACTTGGTTATGTGTTATTTGTTTTCATTATGGGTTTCATGTGAGTACTTTGTGGAATTGGTTTTGTAGGGTCTAGGGAACAATTCAGGAGACTACAACAAGCTGAAGGTAACATTGGGTGAGTACGGTGTTCCTGCAATGATTGCAGCTGTATCAAGGCCCGATTGGTTTAGAAATGCTGCTGGTTTGGTTGATCCAGCCTACTGGCGCGGCACTCTCCGACCTCGTCCTGTTCTTGATTGGTATGGATTGCTCTATGCATGTATCACTTGTTCGTGACTGGTTTCAAATGATGATGAGTCTGGTTTTGTGGATGATCAGGTACTTGAAGAGAATTGATGATGCAGTCCGTGAAGCCAAGGAGTTAGCTCAAGGTAAATCTCAGTACGTACAATTACAATAGGATAGCTAACCAACTGCTGCTTTGTGTTCCTGGATCAGACTTACCTCCTAGTTTAGCTGTGAATCGCGGAAACCATAAACACGGTAGTTTTTCATCACTTACAGGTCAAGGATTGTCTTTGATTGGACACTCAGCTGGAGGATGGCTTGCTCGAGTTTACATGGAAGAATTCGGAAACTCTGATATCTCCTTGTTGTTGACACTTGGTACGCCTCACTTGTAGGTAACAAAAATGCCAATTACTCTTTTAGACCTTTCAAGAGGTGTTGCTTCTATTGTTTTTTATAACCACATGCCGCATGGTTTTGTATCTCGTTTAGGCCACCACCGAGAGGACAGTCAGGGGTAATAGATCAAACAAGAGGTCTTCTCTATTATGTCGAAGAGAATTGTGCAAAAGCTGTTTACACTCCTGAGCTGAGATATGTCTGCATCGCCGGGAGGTAATGTTTCTTCTAAACCCATTAATGTACGAAAGCTATGCGTTAAGTTAGAATACTGAATTGGTAGTTCATATGTAGATACATTCGTGGAGCTCCTTTGGTGAACAATGCAAATGTGGATGTTGATTCCGATGTGACTGTTGGAATCGACGGTGGTGAAGCGATTTCAGAGCTTGCTATAGCAAGCAACAAGACGGGAGATTCACAGGTTTCTTCAGGGCCTAGTTTGCGTGCTCGGTTTGTAGGGCAAGGATACAAGCAAGTATGTGGAAGAGCTGATGTGTGGGGTGATGGAGTGGTCCCTGAGGTTTCAGCTCATCTTGAAGGTGCACTTAATATTAGCTTCGACGGTGTTTACCACTCGCCTGTTGGTTCAGACGACCAAACCATACCTTGGTATGGTTCACCGGTTATTGTAAAGGACTGGATTCACCACCTTCTTGAGTGATTTTACAACATTGGTTAAAACTTCCCGCAAGAACTTGTGTACCATTGTTTCTATTTCGCTACCCAAAATCCAAACTTTAAATCACATTATGTATTTAGATTTCCTACTTTTGTCAAATGCCATAAAATACATTCTTTAACAATTTTGGCGATTTTGCGGAAAGTCTTTGGGGAATGGTATGATTTGAATGTTGGAAACATTTTTTGGAGTAAAAATGATATTTCAAGGTTCCAGAATCGGGAGGATCACTAGATGATGATATTTTACCGTTTAGGTGTGTACGCTGCCATAGCAATGAAGACAAAAGGCTTTGATTTTTGACTCTTGACTCTGCCACGCGTCGTTATAAAGTTGGAACCTTTGACTTCTGAGCTCTGAATATCGTTTTCATGGTTTCCAGGTTTTCAGAATCACTGGAAGATATTAGAAACCTGTTTATACTAATGTAGTAAGGAGGACAAAAAAACTGTCGACTTTATTTGAAAGGTTATCTTTTAAGATGATGGATTGGCTTCTCTGGTGGTAGAGCTCAGAGAGAGTCCATGGCTAATCATTCTTCTTCAGCCGTCGGGAAAGCCGACGTTTTCGTGAGTTTTCGAGGAGAAGATGTGCGTAAAACATTCGTGAGCCATCTATTCTGCGAGCTTGATCGGATGGGGATCAACGCGTTCAGAGACGATTTGGATCTGGAGAAAGGAAAATCAGTCTCCCCAGAGCTTGTAGATGCGATCAGGGGCTCCAGATTCGCCATCGTCGTGGTCTCTAGAAACTACGCAGCTTCAAGCTGGTGCTTAGACGAGCTCTTGAAGATCATGGAATGTAAAGATACGTTTGATCAGACAGTCGTACCCATTTTCTACGAGGTTGATCCTTCGGTTGTGAGAAGACAGACTGAGAGTTTCGGTAAGGATGTTGAGAGTCACAGTGACAAGGAGAAAGTGAGGAAATGGAAAGAAGCTTTGACGAAATTAGCTGCAATCTCTGGTGAAGATTCTCGGAATTGGTAAGTTTTTAAGATATTTGTTTAGCAGCCTAATTGGTGTGTTCAAACTTCTAAAGTGGTGAATTTTCTTTTTTTATGGTATAGGAGGGATGAGTCAAAGCTGATTAAGAAGATTGTTAAAGACATTTCTGATAAATTGGTTTCCGCTTCAATGGATGATTCAAAAGGGTTGATTGAAATGAGTCCCCATATGGACTTTCTGCAGTCTATGATGTCTATAGAAGACGAAGATGTTCGAATGGTAGGGATCTGGGGAATGGGTGGAGTCGGGAAAACCACGATTGCTAAATACTTATACAATCAACTCTCATGTCGTTTTCAAGCTCATTGCTTCATGGAGAATGTGAAGGAAGTCTGTAACAGACATGGAGTTAGGCGTTTACAAGGGGAGTTTTTAGGCAGAATGTTTCGAGAGAGAGATAAAGAAGCGTGGAGCTCGGTTTCATGTTCCAGCATAATAAAGGAAAGGTTCAGACACAAAAGGGTTCTGATTGTTCTCGATGGTGTAGATAGATCTGAGCAACTGAATGAATTGGTGAAGGAGATTGATTGGTTTGGCCCGGGAAGCAGAATTATCGTGACAACACGGGATAAACATGTGCTAGTTTCTCATGGAATAGATTTGGTGTATAAAGTGAAGTGTTTACCCAAAAAAGAAGCTCTTCAGCTCTTTTCTCACTATGCTTTCAGGAATGAGACTACAACACATGGGTTTGGGGGATTATCAGTTCAAGCTATTAACTATGCTTCTGGTCTTCCACTGGCTTTAAGAGTGTTAGGCTCTTTCCTCTATCGAAGAAGCCAAAGAGAATGGGAAAGCACTCTTGCTAGGCTTAAAATTTACCCTCATAGTGATATCATGGAAGTTCTGAGAGTTAGCTACGACGGATTGGATGAGCAAGAGAAGGCTATTTTTCTCTACATATCATGTTTCTATAACATGAAGCATGTTGGTTATGTCACAAGACTTCTGAGTGTTTGTGGCTATGCCGCTGAAATCGGTATCACAGTTCTCACCGAGAAGTCTTTGATAGTCATATCAAATGGATGCATTAAGATGCATGATTTGCTTGCACAGATGGGTAGAGAACTTGTTCGTCAACTAGCAGTTAACAAACCGGCTGAACGGTTGCTCTTATGGGATCCTGAAGATATCTGTGATTTGCTGTTAGAAAATTCTGTAAGTTATCTGCTTATGCTTCTCTTCTCCTCCTATCCTTTTCAGAATCTTCATGTAAAGGGTTTTGATAGCTTCTTCGTTTCTATTTTATAGGGAACACAACTTGTTGAAGCAATGTCCCTGAACCTGTCAGGAATTTCTGAGGTAATTGCTAGTGATCGAGCTTTCGAGGGATTGTCTAATCTCAAGCTTCTCAACTTCTATGACATTTCATATGATGGAGAGACCAGGATGAAGCTACCTAATGGTCTCAGTTATCTCCCACGCAAGCTTCGTTATCTACGCTGGGATGGATATCCTTTAAAGACTATGCCTTCAAGATTTCATCCGGAGTTTCTTGTTGAGCTTTGTATGAATAATAGCCATCTCGAAAAACTTTGGAATGGAATCCAGGTAAAGTCTCCACAGAAACTGCAGATCATTTTTTTTTGTTTGGGGCTACTTGCTATTGAACTAAATCATTTGATGTAAATTTTTTCAGCCTCTTGGGAAATTGAAGAAGATAGATCTTTCTCGTTGCAAATACCTAATGGAAATTCCAGATCTCTCTAAAGCCACAAATCTTGAGAAACTAAACCTTTCCTACTGCCAAAGCTTGGCTGCGGTTACTCCATCTATCAAAAATCTTCAGAAACTTTATTCTTTGTACTTGACTAATTGCATGCAACTCAAGAACATTCCAAGTGGAATCGCTTTGAAGTCGCTTAAAACAGTTGGAATGAGTGGATGCGCAAGCCTAATGCAGTTCCCAGAAATTTCTTGGAATACTAGAAGACTCTACCTGAGCAGTACAAAGATAGAGGAACTGCCATCATCGATCAGCCGTCTCTCTTGTCTGGTTGAATTGGATATGTCAAATTGCCAGAGTATCAGGACTCTTCCAAGCTCTGTAAGGCACTTGGTCTCACTTAAATCCATGGATTTGAACGGTTGCAAACATCTTGAGAACCTCCCAGATACATTACATAACCTCACATCTCTTGAAACTCTTGAAGTGTCTGGTTGCCTTAATATTAACGAGTTCCCTCGTGTTGCCACAAACATAGAAGTTCTGCGTATATCTGAGACATCAGTTGAAGAAATTCCGGCAAGGATCTGTAATCTCTCTCAGGTTAGGTCCTTGGATATTTCAGGAAATAAAAGACTGAAATCTCTTCCGGTAAGCATTTCTGAGCTAAGATCACTTGAAAAGCTCAAGCTTTCTGGCTGTTCTGTACTTGAGAGCTTTCCACCAGAAATCTGTCAGACAATGAGTTGCTTGAGGTGGCTTGATTTAGATAGGACCAGCATTAAGGAACTGCCTGAAAATATTGGTAATTTAACAGCTCTCGAGGTGCTTCAAGCCAGAGGAACAGCTATAAAAAGAGTTCCGTGGTCTATTGCACGACTTACCCGTCTTCAAGTTTTAGCAATTGGGAATCGCTTCTATAATCCAGAAGGTTTGCATTCTCTATGTCCTCACTTATCAAGGTTTGATGAGTTGAGAGCTCTGTGCCTAAGCAACATGAACATGATAGAGATCCCTAGCAGTGTTGGCAACTTATGGAATCTATTAGAACTAGATTTGAGTGGGAACAATTTTGACTTTCTCCCTCCAAGCATCAAACGGCTCACCAGGTTGATCAGACTGAATTTAAACAATTGCCAGAGACTTCAAGCATTGCCCGATGAGCTTCCACGAGGTCTATTGTATATCTACGCCCATGATTGCATATCCCTAGTTAGTATCTCAGGTTGCTTCAACCAGTATTGCCTGCGCAAACTTGTCGCTAGCAACTGTTACAAATTGGATCAAGCAGCGCAGATTCTCATTCACCGTAACATGAAGTTAGACTCAGCAAAACCAGAACACTCTTATTTTCCTGGAAGAGATGTACCTTCTTGCTTCAATCACCAAGTCATGGGTCCTTCGCTGAGGATACACTTACCCCAGAGTGTATCATTATCATCATCTGACATTCTAGGATTTTCCGCCTGCATCATGATCGGAGTCGATGGACAGTACCCGATAAATGATCTGAAGATACACTGCTCTTGTATTTTAAAAGATGCTGAAGCTTGTGAGCTGGTTGTTATGGATGAAGTATGGTATCCTGATCCAGAAGCTTTCACAAACATGTGTTTTAGATCAGATCACCTTCTCTTGTTCAGCAGAACCTGCATGTCCATGGCAGCTTACAAGGAAGCCCTGTTCGAATTCTCAATCGAGAACACTGAAGGAGATTCTTTTAACTCACTTGGAGAGGTTAAAAAATGTGCGGTGCACCTCATAACGTTTAAAGACATGTTACAGGAGCATAATAGCTCAGCCCCACCACGGTTCTCTAATGACTATGAGAACATTCACAATCCTGATTTGGAGATTTCAGACGCATTACATGAAGCAGGGGTTCCAAAACGAAGACCATATGAAACTGAGCTCATGCATGAGGAGCAGCCAAATCCCAAGAGGATCAAAAATATTCCTGTTCCCTTAACTCGAAAGCGACATTTTAAATTACATCAACCAAATGTTTCATGAGAGTGAAAAGTTGTTGGTCTGTAACTTTGTATACAAAAGTATATTATCAATTGATCCATATAGTTTGATAGCATCAACTCGTCATTAACTTGATCTTTGAACAAGCAAGTTCAACAAAATCTCCACTAAACAAAACAGCAGAAGTTCAAGTGACAAGATTTACTATGATAGAAAGTGAACATAAGGAACCCGAGGAGATACAATACAATCTGAAACCTCCCAGAAAACGCGATACAAACAAAACTTGCCACTACCTCGACTCTACACGTTCCTTTGCTACACAAGATAAAAAATAAATAGAAAACATCTAATCTTTTTCTACCTACAAGTGCTGTGTACAAACAAATTCTTCTTTCGGTATGAATCAGGTGCGATTGTACTTGAGATGTTGCTCGTAGAAGTCAATCAGCTAGCGTCAAAAATACAAAACATGAAAGTTTTTAGAATCTTCCAAATGAGTAAATGCAGAAGAATATTGCACCAAAGCAAAAAAGAAAAGAGTAAATGCAAAAGAAAACTCGAATGATTATCTTTACCAGAAGAGGATTGTGAGCTTTGAGAAATCTGTTGTCTACCATCACTTCCTTCCCATCAGACCTATGAGGAGTAGCCAAATAAGTAAAAAAAAAAAAATTGAATTCAAATGTGAAAAAATTGACCAAAGAGCAAAGAGACAAACCTCAGCGCCGAAAAAGTCACCAACACGTCTTGGACATTGTCTGTTACAGATGCAGAAAACTTCACTGGTTTAAGGATCTTTATGATGGCTAATTCCTCTGTCTTGCTTTTCTGAGATAAACTATTATTTTCCAGCACACCAGGATACTCATTCCCTATCCTCGCTATTCTACCAAAAGAGTCTAATGTAGCCAATTCTGGTGTCACATCCTGATCTGTGGTTGTTGTGTGGTTGTTACTTGTGGATGCGTCTTGTTTGAATCTTTTCACAGAACCAGACTTCCTCCGCTTAGCACCTCTGTTCTTATCAAGCTCCTTAGGATAAACCTTGAGAAGGCCATTTGGTCTTACATTATCACCTTCAGAACCAATGCCCCCTCCTTGAGGACATCCTGCACCGTTACTGTTAACGACTGGTCCTCTTAGCTCGTTGAGTGTCGGATCGTATTCTTTCTCCTCTTCAACCAAACTAACTTGTCGCACCATTCCAACACTCCCGCTGTTAGCTTCGACTTGGTTGGATACATAAGCATTCTTTGCTTCCCTATCTCCTTTTAGTAGACTCGAACCACTGAGGTCGACTGAACCAGGAATATTGGGAAGGCTAGAGTTGTTACGAGATGTAGAAGATTCGGATTTCTCAGCAGCATCATGTGAAGTAGATGCTACACGATGCTGCTTCTTCTTCATCTGAGAATTAGGGCCTCCATATTTGCGCTTCCGCTTCCTACCAGGCTTACCTGGCCTCAAACTTTGAAACAAGAAAGCAAATACATACATTAACAAAAGGAAATATATTCGAAAAAGTATCAGATGACAGCTAAATTAGATGCACTTTACCTTCCTTCAAATGCATCTATAACATCAGCAATGGACTGAAGATTCTCAAAAGGCTCCCATGTGTTGGCAGTTTCCGGCCACCCGCGCCTTTCACAACCGAGTTTACAACTTATGTCAATGGAAAAGTATATGTTTGATCAAGAACGCTAACTTAAATATGAAATGACTAGAATTTGAAAAACTCACCATTTAATTAGATACTGGACCTTGCCCTGTAATCCATCAAAAGCACCATCCAATTTCAATAGAGAAGCAGAACCAGTAACCAAGAGACAGAGTCAATCAATCAATCTCAAAAACAGAAAGACAAAGTTATCAAGCATTAAGGCGACCAAAATCACCATTTTCTTCCTACAACATAACAACTTGAGGATCAAACTCTGCTTACTTATAAACTACTTTTCGATTCCTTTCTCTCCTAGAGTTCAAAGACGCAAATTTTCTGCTCTGTTAGGATTATTATTATTCATAAAGCAGCCAATTTCTCACACCAATGTATAAGAAATGAACAATGTAAAGAATGAAAAGAAGTTACCTACGTGAAGATACTAATCTTAAACCACATTTTCTGAAAAAAAAAACAGAAAAAAGGAGCTTACTTTTCTAACTCTCTTACGACGAATAGCTTCGATTTCGAAATACCCTTCGTCCAGCTTTAGCCTATCCTCTTTCCCTTCATCTCCTCTTTCTTCTTCTTCTTCATCTTCTCCTCCATCGTCTTCATCCTCGTCATCTTCTTCTTCTTCTTCCCCATCCTCCGTACGCCTATCATCACCCATCTCGCGAAGAATCGACTCTCCACTTCCACCTCCACCTCCTCCGCCGTCTTCACTGCCAAACCCACCGTCACCGCTTATTTTCCGGCTATCTCCGGCGATTTCCACCGCCGTATCCGCCTCACCATCGTCGTTCACCACCTGGGTTTTCTTCTTAACACCTGCCCCTTTCATTTTCTGAGTGTTCGAGGCCAAACCTGAACGAGGCAAATCTGTCAGTCGAGTTCTCCTCTTCTTCACCCTCTGGAATCAACGAATTTTGGAGGAAGAATGAGAAAGAAAAAAAGGGAAAAGATTGAAACTTTCCCTATTTCTGAGGTTTATTTTGGAGAAGTTTTGCAGGAAGAAGACCTGACCTGCTGACCTGAAGACCAGTTTTCACTTTCTTGGATTGTCCTTTTTTCATATATATAACAAAACAGCAAGTTTTAAAATTAAACAAGAATTAATAACTAATGATGTTAAAAAAAAAAAATTAATACCTAATATGAAATTATGGAGTATTTTGTTCAGCCGTTTAAAAAAAAATTTGGGTTAATAAATGATATGTTCTCGTTAATTCTGAAAAAAAAATAACTAGAAATTACTTAGAAAACTTTTCTTTCTCACAAATAAAAATGGAATTTTAGTTTGGAAAAATGGAAACTTAGACCAGCAAAACAAAATTCATTGGATTAGACCAAAAATAGTAAAAAGTAAAATATGGAAATAAATATTGTGGAAATGTAAGGGAAAATTTTTAAAAAAAAAAAATCAAAAACTACTTAAAATTGCCAATTTTCTTAAAAAATAATGTTTACATTAAGCGGCGTCGTAAGATGTTCGAGCAGGCAAACACAGAACCGATTTAAGTAGAAGTTCATAAAACTTATGTTTCTGGGCCGGTAAAATTAAAATAAATTTAAGGGTCAATATTTTAAAAAATATATTAGTTTAACTGATTCTGTTGATGGGTTGTTTTTATGGATAATGAATTTCAATATCTTTTAGGGCCAAAATTTTTTTCCTATTTCTGATCTGAAAATTCTTAGACCCGTTTTGGAAAAACAATAACTAAAACTAAGGGAACAGAAAATACAACATTATGTACTCATATTCTGTTTGTTTTAACGTTTATATTTCATTAAGTTTTATAAAATTTGTCAAGGTTAGAAAGAACTATACAATTAAAAAAAACGAAATTGCATGAACATGAGAGAGTATGTTATTCAGTACAATATTACAATAATAATTAAAAAACAACAAATAATTATGAAACTTTTTTAATATGTATTTTATACGTGAAAAGAGAATAACAAATAAACATACTGCAACCAACCTTTGTGGCACTTAGTAAAAAAAAAACCTTTTGTGGCACGTTGGTTTCGACTCGGGACTAAGAGCATCAATTTGGTATAGTCCAAGGTCCGATATAATGTCCACCGTGTGAGTCATTTGGCCACTAGTTTTTGGCTCATTGTTTTATTCGTGGATCGTGGTGGAGATGCGAAAAAAAAAAGTCTTATTAAAGACATCTGCTCAACATCCAATTTAATAAGACGTTTGAGCTTAATTAATACTTGGTGTTTAGGATTTTTATATTTATTAAGAAATAATAAATATATGTTTTTACTAATTATTTTTTGTTTTTTTAATTATTTCACTATTTGCAATAAATATATAACTATTATCCCATTTTCCAATACTATTTCAGAAATTTGATATTCTTATAACCAATGTAAATTAAGTATTTTTTTAATTTACAAAAGAAATAGCATTAAATACTTCTAAAACATCATTTTTGTAGAACAAAATTAAATCTTAAAATATCATCTATTTAAGAACTGAAGGAATATATCGAATGCTAAATGCAACCCAAAAAAAAAGAAACAATGTACCAATATTAAGACAATAGACAGATTCCGTTCACAGGACTACAGGAGTTTTAACATCCTTCAGACGTTATATCAGCTATCACTAAATTATTTAAAAACTAACATATTATTTAAGTGCGGAGTTTTCTCAGGCTATATCAATTACTAAAATCTAAGTACATTTTAGTGATATATAACCATATCAATTTTTTTTTAACATCTTTGCACACACAGGCATATATTCAAAATTTAGATACTACCATTTTTGTTTGGATATTGAGAATGCCAAAACAGAATATGTTAGTAGTGTTAATGAGGACGTTCCATTGTTTTCATTATCTTTATTCTCAGATAGATAGGTTTGTATCTCTTATATACGAAGATGAATATTACCAACCACATGTCTGATAAGAGGATTAGATTGTTGTCTGTGTATTCTACGATCAAGATTCCGATCTGTTGTTTTTCATTGAGACAGATCAGTTGACATTTGCTTTAAACGAACAGTGGGAATTCCTGCGGTTGAAAGTATAGCAGTCTTGATCGTGAGCTAATAATTCTACTTTTCCGGTTTAGTGTATTTGGTTCTATATATACGTCGTCCTAGCGAAATCTGTGTTTTTGTGAAAAATGATGCAAATTTTGAACGTGCTTTCTCGTTGATTTTGGATATAGTTTCTTTTAGGTTTTGAATTGTTATTAGAAGTTTTGGCATTGAGTTTTTTTTTTTTTTTTTTGAACAAAGATTGATACAGTTTCCTTTGTATAGTTGTTTCTACAATTCCAAATAGTGACGAAAGATGAAAAGATGGAAAAGTCTCAAAGTTGTAACTAACATAAATAAATGAGTTTCTTATCAAATGGTAAGCTGATGAAATTATGTGGTAACATATCCTTGAAATATCAAGTATGTATAAGAATTCGTTAAGAAATCCATGATTACAAAACAGTTCAATTTTTCAGCGCGACCAAAATACATATACAATCAAAACTCAATTACATCATAAATTTCAAGCCTCCCAATGATATTAGATAAAATAACAAATTTACTAAGATAATAGAATAAATCCGAATAACAACCTTTTGGAAAAACGAGCTTATTCACCTTTTTCCAGAGTAATAAGAGTTGCATTAACCTAATAATGCAATCTCAACACATATACTTCATTTTCTCAAGCAAACGCGAAAAAAAAAAACACAATACCATATATTCTTCTTTTCAAAAGACCAAAAAGAATATTTTCAAAACTTCTTTAGATGATTTATAAATTAGATAAATGTATGTCACTTCCTCTCTTCATCTCTCGTCGAGATTGTACTCGATTCTACAGAAGGTAACTTTAGGGTCCAGGTTTTCATACGCTCGTTTGTCTTCTTTACCTGTAATTAGATCAGATGTAATTTTTAATATATTGAGTTTTTTTTGACAGCATATATTGAGTTTATATTCAGATTCTTAATTAAGTAAGAATTAAAGTAAATTACCTCCATTTCCCAGTCAGTTTTGTAAATAACATAAGACAATACCAACGTTTGTATACCAACTCCAGCCAACATTCCAGACCAGAGTCCCTGTAATTAAACGCATGCAATTAATATCAGTTAGTTAGATTATCATTCGTTCTATGATGACAAAACTAATGGGAATTAATTAATTGGCGAACATGTTTATGTACCTTAACACCAAAATGGAAAATGTTAATAAGGAGGAAACCGAGAGGAACACCAATTGCATAATACGATGCTAAGTTGACAATTGCTACCATACTCTGCAGCCCTGCCCCAATAGCTACCCCTGTTTGTATTCAAAAATCAAACATTTTGTGGTTAATTATCAGTGAAATATTTTCACAAACTTTGGAGAATTTTTTGTTTTTTATTGTTTCTAACCAGAGAGAATGGGCTGGATGATGTTTAAGAGTATGGATATGCTAAGAACGATGGAGAGATCAGCGACTGCGTTCGAAACTTGGTGGCTATCGGAGAACAAATACGAAATCTGACCACCAAACGCTAGGCAAAGAGCAGAACATATCACACCAATCACAGCTGATACCACAAGCACCACTTTTATGGAGAATCTCACAGCGTCCGCGTCGCCTTTTCCTAATTCGTTCGCTACTCGTACGCTGCATTTGGCCGATTCATAGATTATAGAAAGAGCAAAAAGACACTATAATAATACACAAAACATAGTTAATGAGTGTGTATATATAGTTACATACCATGCTGCACCCAACAAGCCCAAGCTTATGTTCATCTCCCAAGTGTAGATATATTGGCTGCAAAATTAAAAAAATGAGGATTTTAGTTCTCAAAATGGTATTCAAAAAAAAAAAAAAAACATTACATATTTTATTGCATGATTATGTTATACCATATGGAAAATGCTGAAATTGCAATATTTGCATCCTCTGTATATCCAGACATTAAGACGATGATGCTCATATACCAGTACTCTAAGCTGTTCAAAGCAATAAAAGAAAAGGAAAGCAAACACAAGAAGAGTCATTAATAGAACAGGGTGGTCTGCGAGATTAATCGTCATGTTTTTTTCATGCAGAAAAATAACTTTACCAAAGCATGAAGCCAGAGGAAATGGATAACTTGAGCATGGGAATAAGATCAACAAAAGCAGCAGTGCTAAAGCCGGTCCAAGTATGTGGGCACCAACCTCCAAACACATAGACAAACTCGGCTAATACCACTGACCACGAGCTTATATTAAGTCCTAGAAGTGCACCATGGATTCCCATCCCCATCACACTCACGCAGAACCATGTGGCCACAATATCCACGATCAAGGCTAAGGTCGAGAGAACGCCTATCACAGCGTTCCTCATCTGTGCTTGGAGGTACATTTGCATTGTCATGGTGAATACGATGCTGTATAGATAAGGAATGACCCAAGGGTAGATCTCGTCTACGGTCTTGGTGATCTCAATGTTTTGGCCTAGTAACCTAAGAATAGGACCCGCAAAGACGATGAAAGGAACAAAGAGAGTGGCTGTGAAAGTATCTACTATCCAAGAACGTTGTAAATATATCCCCATCATGTGATATTGTTGTGCTCCGTAGGCTTGTCCACATAGCGTCTCCGTCGCGCTTGACATACCAGCCTATAACACAAAAACTATATATATATAACCATGCGATTCAATCATACAATCTTGGCTTCATCATAACAATCATTCATTGTGTACAGGGTTTTTTTATGCTTTAATGTTTCAAAGTTGTGCAACCACATCATTTTAATGTTTGTACTATAAAGTCCTGTGCAAATTGTAAACGCAAACGCTATATGGGATACGTATCATCTATCTAATTATTTGATTTTTCTCTTTTTCCATTTACGTTTTGCTACATATTAGAACACTATTCTTACCTTCAAAATAAAAACTACAACATATATTAATTTACTGTTTTAAAAAAAAAAAAATAATAATCTTTTAAATAATTTTGTTTGTACGTTTTTCATGTGCGTTTAAAATAATTTTATACTAAGAAATGTTTGTAAATACAATATTCTAACATCTAAACACTAAAATATTCATGATGTATGGTGATGATGTCGCTATGTCATCATCGATCACATGGATTCAAACCCCGTAGATTGCATATTGTTGACCAAAGCAATAAAATAAATAAGGTTTGCATATCATGGATGGTAAGGCGCTTACCATGACACCATAGATGAAACGAATGAAAGTGCTTTGAATAAGAGCATAAGCAGCGAGACCAGTTTCGCTGGAGTGGCCAATGAAGGCTTGAGCCACCACTATGCATCCAAACGACATCACTCTGAACAAAGTCGATGGTAAAGCTATTCTCCACATCTTCCTTACTTCACTCCAAATCTTCTTTCTCAAGTAAAGACTCTCTCTCCTCTGTTCTGTCTCTGACCCATTTAGCAATCTCTCTTCCAATTCTCCACCACCTCTACTCATTTTTCCTCCTCTTTAGTTTCTGTAAACCCAAAAAAAAAAAGACAAATTATAATTTTCACTAATTACTTATGTACACATGCCACAAAGATCAATTAATTCAGCTTCAATCAGAATTCCATCCTGGTTTTACCTTGAAAATTAACACTACTATATATACGCGACTGCGATTAGAGAGCTAAGTAGCTAAGTATATCCTGAATCCTGGAAAATTATATATGTCTTGATAATGGCTTATCTTTAAAAGATAATTCATCAGTAAACATCTTCATATATGCATGTATATATGAAGATGTTCATCTTTATTCTAAATGGATTTAATTAAAGTATGAATTGTTCTACTTACCTGTCGAACTTAGTTCAAGTGGAAAGAGTCGGAGAAACCAAGAACAAAAAATAATTACCCAAAAATTCAACAGAAAACAAATAAAGTAGAAGAAGAAGAGAGGCAATCTTGGAAAATAAGTGATATTTTTCTCTCTCTCACGCTCTGGAAAAATGTGGTAAGACTAAAACTAAAACGCTTGGCTATATATAGTGCGAGACCGAGAGACAGTGGGTTGAGTAGATATATACGTGTATATACAGACACCGTTGTATAAAAAAATGCATATACCCTGTGATGTGGAAACGTTTTAGAAACGAAATGCTGTCGTTCTTTTTTTGTTCAAGGAAAACAATAATGTGCAATTTTTAAAACCAACTTGTAAATTCGAACTAGTTGAATCCAAGTTCAGATGACGTTTCACGTAAAGAGAATAATGATTTACGAATAAATTAGTGTTATTAGTCAATCATATTAATTTTATACTGGGAAAGAATATAGAATATATATTTCTACATTTTTTTCGTGTTAAAAAAATTAGAATAGAAAACTTATGTTAAGGTATATATGTGTTATGATTGGTATTTTTGGATGAAATTATGTTTTGAAACATATTTTTGCATTATTGTTATGAATATTAATCATGCAAAAATGATTTATATATAAAATAGAAACAATATTTTGTTAAACAAAAAATCTTATTAATTTCAGAAAACAATCGCTTGTTTTTTTCAAATTACTGAAAATAGTTTTGCCAATATATTCTGTATGGTTACTATAATAATATCGTAGTAGATAAAAAAATATTATATAAAAGAGTGAGAGGTATGACATAGACTTCGAGAGAGCCAATTGAGTGTGGAGGTGTTATCCACGTGCCATAAAAGAAACATCTTCCATGCATCCTCGAATATATCAAAGACTCAAGGTTTTGGAGTAAATGAGCATCAAAGAGATTGAAATTCTCCTTTCTCTCTATTTCTCTTTTCATGAAACTCTCTTCTCTTTCTCTCTTTTCATAGAGAAAGGCCAATACTGAAACAAAGAGCTGGGCTGCATTTGCTTTAGGTTAGGTTTAATAATCATATGCATAAAGATGAAAATAGTGGGGACATACCTTATTTTAAAAGTGCGTTTACTCAACACCTTTAAGTTTTTTTTTTTTTTTTTTTATCAACATCACCTTAGCTTTAAGTGTTTTACTCCTCTCATTTCTTAATAAGTGATGTTTTTTTTAAAAAAATATTAAATAATAGTTTCTCAGTTCTTTAATAAGTAATGTTTTGAGATTTTTTGTTGTTTTTTAATAAGGTGATGGTTTCAGCTACCAATGCAAAATTAATTAGATGTTTAGTGTTTTTAACCATTTGTATATTACATATTGTTTTATCATTAATTAATTATGTGTAAATAAATAATAAATAATTTTAGTATATAAAAAATAAAAAATAATGAATCATTATCTTTAGCACCACTTATAAAAAAACGGATAGAGTACTAGTTATTAAAGATATATAAGAAACTAACTAAAGATAATCTTTTTTGAGCCAAATTTTTAAAAATTTATTTTTTGTAATAATGTTTCTCTAACCTGATTTTTCTTCTAAATTAAAATACGGGAACAAAAAAAAAAGCTAATTCCTGCTAAAAGGCATGTTCATCTCTTATTATTACCCAATAATAATAAATAATAGACAGAAAAAAAAAAAAAGAACGTTGACCCAAAACAAAAAACCTAGAAGAACAACGTCCCATCTCCTAAGAAACACATAAATATTCCGAAATAGCCTTAGTTTCGTAACTAGTAACTATTTCAACTTTAGAGTAACAAACTACGTCCCGTTTCCACAGCATACACTCTACGCGATGTTTTAGAGACACCTTCGACGACTCGATAGGAAAGAGATGACACGTGGGGGACCCATTAACTGCACGTTATGAATAAATTGTGACAATTCATCCTGCCAATGTGTCCACGTTTCAATTGGATACTTCCATCTGTTTTGTTTTGATTTTAATATTGTACATTACTACAAATCCTTGCATTAACTTTCATTATTTTAAATTGATAAAATGCAATTTTTTCAGCTCTCCCTTATTTTAATTATATTTCTCTTTAATTTACCATTACACATTTACACTTATGACTCAGCAATCCAACTTTTGGCCAGAGTATATTTCTTGGTTGTCAAGTATTAAATTTTAGCATGCAGCGACATGTGGGCAGTTTATTTGTTTTGTTCAATTTTTACTAATTTTAGCTAACTTTAGAACTTGCTATGCAAATGATATTAATTTTATGTCATGTGTTATATGCACGAAACGTCTACAATTTATAGAAGGCTTCATAAAATCAAATTTAGAATTTTAACATGGTCCCATGCGAAGGCTATTTCAAACAAAAAAGCATGAGTGTGTTTTAGTCAAAATTAAATCAAATTTGATTTTGTCAACAAAGAGGAATGACAGCGAGGACGATTTTCTTTTGTTCTTCTATAGAGAACCTCGGTTAAAGTTGATACGAAAAGTATTGAATAAATATAATAAAGGAAAAAAATATCCGATATATCAAAAATTATATAATTATCTGACGGTAAAAATAGCGCAGGCATGTGAATGTTATCGTACTACATATATAGATTAGAACCGAAGTCATTTTGTGTTGTATTTTCGCGATCACCGTTCAATGTTCCTATCCTTTATATTTCTTGTTCGTTTTTTTTCTCTTTAAATAAACCACTTGTCCTGCTCCAAAAAAACTTTCTTTCTACATGAAAATAAATGGGTTACCTAACGACTGACAAAGTGACGACGCCCTTTTAAGCTAATAGCCAAAAAACTAGTAACTTTTTCTGTTTCTTGTTGATATATGTATACATATATCAATATAATTAGAAAACTATTCAGGTTATTGACTTATTTCTTCTTTTACTGAACACGCTCAAATAAATATCGAGATTTCCAGTATATAAGAAAATTTACAGACTTGGAGTTAAGCACTTCTTCTCCAGACAAGAGTATAACGCGGGGGCCTGTTAACGTCTACAAAACTTTTAATTCTATATCTGTTTGTACATTATTATGAATACATATGATAAGATTTTATAGTTTCTCGATGTAATGAGGATATAAGATTTCATAGTTTCTCTATATATATAATAACTGTTTTGTTGTGTTAAGGATTGATACGCGCGTCAGTATGTTTGGTATAATTATTAGACTACATCAGTTAATTTAAACTTTTTGTTTTCTATTTTTTTTTAAAAAGTGACTTTTCACATGCAACTAACATTTGATTATTATTGATTATGTCAAATAGATGTGTATTAATATGTTAACAAATTAGTACGTATGAAATGTGATATTTTCAAATATTTTTTGTGAAACGGGATGATATGTTATCGTAAAATATATGACGTATTCAAAAAAAATATATACTATATGCGAAAATTAAGGGGAAGAAATAAGCGATAATACTTCGATAAATGATGAGCATCGAAAGATCAATCTAACATGAAATTGGTCAATTTTGGTGAAAGATGGAAGAACGTCGAGGATTGGTGTGGATGACTGGATGGTGTCCAGTGTCGAAATTATTAGTATTTATTAATTTCATTGATTGTTATTTATTATGAAAATGGTATTTTCTGCTCGTGTCAATAAAAATGGTTGGACCGAGTAGGTGGTTTCATTGAAGAAATGGGCGACCATATATAGCTACGTAGACAACTTCTCAAGCACAGCTTCATATATCCATGTCACCTAGTTTTTCTTTGCTGTTGCAAATAAATACTAACACCTATAAATGTGATTGCGATCAAAATCTTCTTTTTGTCTTTATATAATTGATATTAGATTAACAATTTGATTATCTTATTGGTTTCTCAATGATTAAAAAAGTCCACCTATAAATATTTAACACATAATGATGAAAATAACCTAGATAAAACCTCAAAATTAATTCACTGGCATGGGTATTTGTATCCTGATAATCAATTTCCGTCTTAATCTTGTGATATATTTTTACAAGTAAATGCTCGACCAATTAAAACAATAATGGTCAAATTAACCAGATATGTTATGTTAACTACTCGTATATATGATTGGATTGCTGAAACATTATGGTATCACGTGTATATAATTAAGTACATTTTATTTGAAAACTTTAACAATTATATCCATTAATCAAGTGGAGTCCCTTGCCAATTTTCAAAAGTTTTGAATTTAATAGCGAATATGGCAAATAAATTCTCTCGCGGATAAAACCATTTAATTTACAACAAATTATTGGCAGTCTGAAAATAGAAAATCTGCCATCTGGATGTCTAAAATAAATAAAGTGACAGAAAGATATAGTCGGCAAGCGATCCCGCTCTTATCACTGAAAGGGTGAAATAAAAATGATTTGATTGATGATTTGAAGGTATTCTAACTGCAAGGAAAGTGCATTATTAAAAGTTTCCTTTTTCTTATATACTGGAAAGTATATTAGCCAGAAGCAATTTGTAGGTCATGAACACTATCATAGAGGTTTTTATTTTTCTTTTTGTTCTGAAATTTTGGTTTAAATTCTTCTCCTTAATTAATTATTCTGGTCCAGTTGGGTATTTAATTAAGAACGAATATGAAACGTAGGTTCAGGACCATTTTGCGTAGCCACTGACGACAGTCCTTCGTGCATATTTATGTTTAAGTTGGGTGTATATAAACATACATAATTTAATTAATTATATATATATATATAGTATAGGAGGAGTAGGACCAGTATAAGTAGTCAAAAGATAATATGCATGAATCATGATAAGAATGCGATGTTTTCTGCATGTATCATGATTAATCAATGATGTTAATACACATAATTAGCATAATCACGATTAAGTATCATACAAAATGATATAAAAAAACTTCAAAACCTACTTAATTCCACCTCGCACTGAAATATATTTGCACTCAGATTGAAATTGGATACGTTATATAGGGGATAGTATATATACTACATGAACATGTAAGTATTAATATATGTATACTTGTGGTTTTAAAATATTACTATATCTTTCGAGCATATAAGACTGAGTTTATTCAAATTCAATTTATGGAGAAACTAAGCCGTACCCGATTTGAGTTTATCACGAAATATTTTCACTAACCCAAGAGTCACATAATTATGATGAGAAAATCAATCAATGCTCAGCATAATGTTTTGTTTAACGAAAGTAAAAAGTAAGGGTCATACTAGCACAGGTGTGAACTCAAGACTCTTCTCATTTCGGCAAAATGGTACGGAAAAGTATGAATGTAAATCCGTAATTTGAAATGATTGATGTAGTATATATAGTTTGGCATTAGGTTTTTTTTAGTATAGTTTGAGTTGTCAGTTGCCACTCCAAATATGAAAAAGTAATAAAATCATTTTTGTCGCTAATTTCTTAATTGAAAACTGTTATATATTCTAATGTCAACTACGGTCTCTCTCCATTTTTGTAAGATAATCATAAACTACCTTTCTTCCTTGCACTACTAACGTCGTTTTTGCATTTTAATTTAACTCGCCATTCACACTGCATATGCAAGGCAGTATGATTTGAATTTTCGGATAGTAAATTATTAATAGCACAGAATAATTTATCACTACTTAAAAGTATTGACACTTACGTATTACCAAAAACAAGTAACTGACAAAGAACTACAAAAATTGTTGGAGTGGTTGAAATTTGCACTCGAGAAATTCAATTTAATCATAGTTGATCATTATAATTTGGTTAAGTGATAGAATATGTGCTTTTTCAATAGTTTTCAGAGACTTGCCTGAATTTTTGGTCTGACATTTCGTCGGTAATATTTATAAAAAAATATTTCTCTGAAGAAAAATTGGCTTTAAATTAAAATATACTCTGTCAAAAATGTTTTTTTTTTTTTGTTGTTGGTAATAATCATTGGCCGTCCGTAACTAGTGTTTTGTCGTCCACGTGTTTCACAAGTTTCCCCGCGTGGCATATGGGTTTGCGCACTTGCTGCAGCATTCAGGTGTAAGCATCTTGTCTTGGTTCAAACAAATATGATTCTCCTCGCAAACTGTGAAAGTCACACACACGACACAACTAATACTTACCTCTCTGCTTCTCCACAAACCAATACTACTATTACACTTTTTAACCGATAACCGCTTGCCAATATTGTCTCGGTTCGTTTCTGGTTAACACGTTTCTTTAAAAGGAAAACGGAATTCCCAACCGGGACAGAACTGAAAACCACTTTGGCTAATTTTCTGAACATTGTAATTTCACGTATACATACTATGTAGTATGTACACAACACATGCATTGTCCCAAAAAAAAATATATATATATATATATAGATGGACCGGCATATATGACACAAAGGACACACCACGTATTCCAAAAATTAGGTGATAGTACAAATATATTGGATGTAAATTTATTTCACTATGCAACACAACTTACTCAACATATCCAATTCAAGATACCCAGCACATAGCATTTGGATAGACAGAAAGAACAATACTGGATCATTTTTTTTAAACCCTCTCCTTGACTTATAAGGGGGAGCCGAATTAAGGGCTATTTCGCCTTTCCACCTAAAACTTCATATATGGACTATGACTTGCCTCAAAAGTAAGAACCGGTCTTCACATCTCGCATACTGCATGTTAGCTGACCCCAAAAAAAGAAAAAAGAATCGTGGTATTATTGCTCACAATTTCTGATAGATTCAATTCAATAGGGTTTTTGCCAAAATGGTTTTAAAATCCGGAAGATTACTCATTTTTTGCCTATGAATTATGTGAGTTGAAGACATTCCCTAAGTTTTATGCACTTATGTTCCTTATTGATTTACAAGTACAATAAATGTAATTTTGTGATCAATAACAGATAAATAAAAAACTGCGTCTGTCAGAAAAACAAACAATAATAGATTGAAGTCCCAAAATAACCTAAGTAAAGAATCAAAATAACAAACCTTGAAAACACAATAAGTTCACCCGTGGTACGAAAACTACTGTAAACTGACCCATAGTATTCAAATTATAATGATTTGTATTGAATCTGATCAACATACCCTTTGTATCCACTGATATCAACATTTTGTCTGCATACTTCTAACTTTGCAGCTGAATAAAGAACAAAATCCATCATATTCCGGTATCAAATACTCAAAAATTAAGTATTAATCGAAAAATCTCGTTCTATTTTCTCTAAACTCTGTAGAAATTATATAATTTAAAATGACAATAACAATAATTAATCGTAACCGGACCCTTCTCTCTCTCTCTGTCACACACACAAAACTGCTGTCCTGATTGTCTTTCTAGTTCAAGATGAAGACGCTTCTGCTTCTTCTTCATCTGTGCTACCTTCTGCAGTACCTTCTTCTCCTTCAGCTTCACGAGGCTTCTCTGGTCCAGGTCCAGCTGATACTTTCACCATTGAAGGACGTAAAAGCCTTTCGCCTAGCAAGAAACCTTTCCTGTATTCTTCAAGTACAATACCCTCTTCGTATTCGGCAGAATCCTCTCTCATTATTGCCTCATGAAGCTTTTTACACATCAAAGAGAAAAGCAAAAGGATAAAAAGAGATGTCAGCTGTTAGGAGTTTGGAAAGACCACCAACCAAAGGCATTAGGTAAAGTTAACTACCAACTCACTGAAACCCATCACCCGGTAAAGTCTCTAAAACTTTACAGACTACAGAGATGTATGCTTCGTAGTAGGCACATGAGCCCTTATGTTTCTCAAACTTTGTGGTATAACCAAAAGGCATTACAAGCCTCATAGATTCATTGACCATTTGCATCACAAAATATATCATTCAGGCAATGTTTTCTATCCATCTAGCCATATCTACGTTCTGATCAGATTATTCCAGCAGCACTATACCAAGGAGCTAATCCTAATCCCAAACACTTTTGATTTTAAGATTCACCTCCCTGGTTTAAGATTAACACCAGCAGCAAGCAGAGCAACAAAATTACATTTCTCGATCTCTTGAAAGAAGAAAGATATATTAGTAACTTACCATTGGATCAAACTGCCTGCCGACTGTCTCCACAGTGACAACACCAAGCGAGCCCAGAATTTCTACAAACTGTTTGTATATGCTCTGGTAGCTGTTGGTGACTTTCTCTTCTCCCTCAGTCTCCACCTTAATCTGGGATTTAGCTCTCTCGAAATTATCCAAAACAGCCAAAAGGTTCTCCACAACCTGTCCTTGAGCATTTGAAACAAGGTTTAGCCTTTCCCTCTCCGTCCTCTTCCTGAAGTTGTCGAAATCTGCACTGATCCTAATCAGCCGATCCCTCTCCACCGACATTTCGTTAGTTAAAGAAGCGACTTTCTCCTCAAGCTGAAATTTTTCATCTTCAATGGACTTTAATGATGCTTCTATCTCAGCAATCTTCTCCTCGTTGTTCTCTGCTAAAGCTTCTTTATATGAATTCAGCAATGCTATGGTAACCGCTGCTTCTTCTTCCTCGGCATTTTCACCCTCAACACCAACAGCACCATCCGTCTCCTGCTCCATGATTTCAGAAGGAAAACAAAATTAGAAGAAAAGCAATCCAGTTTACACAGACATCTCATATCAATCACTCATAAGGTGAGACAGGACAGAATCTCAACACACACAATAACAACACAATCTATTGACCTAAACAATCACATTAACACCAAAAGCAGCTTGATGAAATCCTCTGTGACCCCAATAAAGCAACCACATAACCAATTTGATTCCGATAGTACACCATCGTCCCAAATTACGCCATGCCACAAGAATCTGAATCAAATTGACATTCAACATTTTACGCCTGAATACGATTCATAGTCATTGCTCTTATTAACGTGAACGTTCCCTCAGTGTGTAATATAATCAACAAAGCTTAAATTTTTAAGCAAGGAAGCAAATCCTAAATTAGTAAATTTGCGTTTCCCATGTTCTGAAATTCAACAAATATACGCACCAAAAGATTCAAACTTAGTAGATAACTACCCTAATTTCGAAACCCTAAAACCTAATCACCCAATTAACATTTGAAAAAATCTCCACAAACTAAACAGAAAGTGAGCCGAAATCGAAAAACCTGGACTTCGGGTTCGCTAGATTCCACCTCAGTCTCCGTCGTCTCGGCTTCTCCAGAAGCAAACGGTACGAGGTTTAGTAACCGGAGAGGATGGCCACCAGAGATAGACCGGAGAGAAGCTCGGCGAGAGAGTGAGACGCTGGTGTTCCTTCCTCCGGCGAAGGAGACGCAAAAGGGCTTAAAGGGTACAGAAGGTGCATGAAGAAGAGTAGGTGTGAGATGTAACGACGGCGTTTTTAGTAGACCGGCCATTGGAGAGTTCGGAGAAAAGGAGAGAGAGAGAATGGCGGAGAGGGATAAGGAAGAGAGAGAGAGAGGCCAAACAGTTCTTCTTTCTTTTGTTTGGTTTCTCTAACCGTTGGATGTAATTTTCCTATGTTGATCGGACGGTCCTTGTTTAACTGAAGTATGTAGGAGTTTCTTGACTTTTTTAGAGACAGAAACTTCTAGAAGTTTGTACTTAAATCTCTCTCTAAATAGAGAGAAAAAAAAATCTCTCTCTAAAATTATAAAACAGAATAACCATTTTCACAATGTATAATGTTTTTTTTTTTTCTTGCCAACATTTGAACAATGTAACAAAGGTGACGCCCAATAGTTTTGCTCGAGTGGTAGAAGACTCATCAAAAAAAAAAAAAAAAAATTACAATCTCACAAATATAAAATGGTTCATGAACTAATACCAGTGATGAGTGAACACATATTTTGATGGATGAATCATACATATAACAAGACTTGCTCTCTCGTCTCTGGTGTCTATAGCCACTCTCTAGTTTTTAAGGCTTTAGGGAATTTTTAGAAGCAATCCTGTGTTACTATAACTAGTTCTACAATTTGGACTTGCTAAGAGATGTACACGAATATATATATATATATATATATACATATTTGTCTTAAGTGAAAGTTATAGGAGTATATCAGTTTACTGAATGATTTTAATCTAACTTCTGTATATATATAGGAGTAAGCCTGAGTACATAACAATTAGTAAATGTTTCTTTTCTAAGTTTACAACTTTACATCAACAAGTAAACGTCCAAGCCCAGAAAAAGTTACTCGACTTTTTTACTACTCCAAGAGACTTTAAACCTGAACTTGGTTCACTCTCTTTTTTTTTTGATCAAAACAAAACTTGGTTCTCACATGCATGGATTTTGGAGATGGTCGTTGACTTGTTGTAAAAGAAATCGAGGTTTTTCCTCCATCTTCAATCTAGCCATCTAATAATACGATTTAAGTCTTAACTATTCATATGATAGAAATCCGATATTGAGAAATTTTAATAGTATCCATCTTCTCTCTACATATATAGTATATACATATTGGTTTTAGAATCCAAATTAATGGAAGCTTAATTAACGGTACATACAACTAGGCCCCGAATGAAGTTAAGATCCCATGACTTCGTGAACTAAACAAAGATATGCCGATCAGAACAGGGTCTCGATCCGTGGAAATAGTCCTGGCTGGTCTCGCATGTGTAAATGGTAATTAACAATGGGTTATGGGTCTAACCATAAATCCTAGAGCTAATTGTACGTCAATTTTCTTTTGTTTGTAATATCAACCAACTATTTGGCTTTGAAATGCTGGTCATTCACTTTTGGCTAAATGCTGCTTTTTCATCCATATAATGGCTAAGACGCTTCAGGCAGAATTATTAAATAGCATCCTTTTTACAGTTTAGCGCGCTAGTATAAAACCACATACAGTACCAAAAAAAAAAAAAAAAAAAAGAACGAAAAAAAAAATACTTGAGCTACTAAGAAGTTTGATCTTCAAGTCTCCAAAGGACCAAATCAAAAAATTTGGGAAGACACAATTTGTGCCATGCACGCCAAAAATTTGATGATTTCTCTATAGTTTTATATCGCCAGTTGATTGTTTACAGCCATATGTTAAAATAAAGATGTTTTAGTACTAAAAACATTTCTGTTATAATAAATAGATAAACCATTAATTACACCTATTATAGCATTTTTCATGCACATTGACGACAACATGTCTTTATCCAATTACGTTAGACAATACTTTTGTTTTTTCATCTTAAAATTTTATATAAGTCTGATATTAAATGTATACACACGATTTACCCTTTCGACTTCTTATTTCTTTATAAATTTTGAAAACAACAACTTTCTTTTAACCAGAAAACATATACACTAAGACATCTAACAATGATTGTAAGTTTAACGAGTCTATTTTCTTTTTAAAACACTATTCATTTATACAGTACTTTCTATTGTATACTCGCAATTTACAAAGAAGATTATTTCTTGCTACATTGAAATTGGATAAAATATAATTCTCATTATTTTCAACATCAGATGACTTAGATTGAAAAAGGATAGTTAATTTTTTTTCTCTCTTTCAATTCAAATTTGTTATAAAAAATATCGCATTATGTTTTTTAATTTAGCACCATGAGCTTTCCACCTAACTAATAAGGGATTGAAACTTAAAGATATTTAATAGGATTTTTATTGATTAAATAATTTTGTTGTCTTCATGTGATTAACTAATTTTTTAGCAGTCTTCATGTGATCATCTCATACACTAATTTTGTTGCCATCTGAGAAGACTTATTAAAAAAAAAGACTTTTGAACCCAAGAAAACAAAATAAACAAAGACTAAAACTTTCATTGAAAATGATTAATTAGGTAGATCACCAACTTTCAGGCATTAATTTTTTTTTTTTTTTAAAGTTGGTCAAGGTTTTGTTACTTGAAATTTGAAAGAAATTTCGTGAAACTTACAAAATGAAAAATGTATACGGTTTAATTATCAATGTAATAAACACAATCTATTATCCATAATATATACTACAACGAGTAATTAATTAATTTTTAGGGAAAATTCCAAAAAAAATCACTAACTTAATTTTGATAAGCCAATAAATACTCCAATTATTTCAGTACCCAGAATAATACCCCAACAATTTTTTTGTGTCCAGTTTAAATCCTCAACTATAAACCGTGTGATGTGACAAAACCTGTCTCAAGATATGTTTCTTCCTCACTAGAGTCTAGAGTCTTTAGTTACTTCTTTCTCTCCCTCTCTCTCTCTCTAGAGGTCGCTATAATGATTGCTTCGAGTTTCCAAGAAAAATGTATTTCAGTAATCAACGGAGCTCCGACTTGGGCCGTTTTCTTCCTTTTTGACCTTCTCGACGATTTTCTCTGCATCGTTTTCAGATTCCTCGACCTGGTTATGGAAGAAAAATTACAGTCCTGTCACTGTAAAAGCCCTCAAGAGACAACAGATTTTCCGGGACACGAGTTTCTTTCAGACCATCAACACTTGTCGGAAACTCTTTACCGGAGGAGAAACGTTTTCAGACAAGCCGGTTTTCTCCGTTTTGCGAGAAAACTCCCGGAGATCACCAAGAAAATCGGTATCGTTACTTTCTTAAGAAAATTCCTCTTCCCTGACAAAACGAAGAAAGTCCCTCGTGAGTTTGCAAACCGGTGGTCTGATTGTGGTTGCAAGAATTGTGTTTCTTGGACCAACACCGATAAACTTAACGTGATCGTCAAGCAACCTTCAATAACTCAAGGTAAATTAGAAATTGCTTAAACAGTAAATTCAATCATTATGTTACGGTTAACACCTCAATTTTTTCATCTGATCAGATTTGTTGATGAGCAACAAACCGGTGGAGAACGTTATTTTCATACACGGATTCTTAGCATCTTCATCGTATTGGACCAACACAGTGTTCAAATATCTGCCCGAGACCACTGAGAATGCTAAATACAGATTCTTTGCGGTCGATCTTCTAGGATTCGGAGATAGCCCGAAACCGAGAGACAGTCGATATTCGTTAAAGGAACATGTCGAAATGATCGAGAAATCGGTTATTTTACCAAACAATTTGACTTCATTCCATGTTGTAGCACACTCCATGGGATGCATCATTGCAGTGGCCTTAGCTGCCAAATTCTCCGGCAGTGTCAAGTCCGTTGCTTTAGTAGCTCCGGTGAGTTTCCCGTTCATAAAAATCCGAATCCTCTTTATAAAGTTTGTTGTGAAATGTGTTTATTTTTGTTTCCTCTGGGATTTAGCCGTATTTCGCCGATTCGAAAGGAGGAGCAAGCTGTGATGCTCTTGATGTGATCGCCGAGAAGAAACTTTGGCCGCCGACTTCGTTTTTCTCGGCGATGATGGCTTGGTACGAACATATTGGCCGTGGCGTTTGCTTGGTTGTTTGTAGACACCACCGTACATGGGAGATGATCATCAAAATTGTAACTTGGAGAAGGTATATATAAATATAGGCAAAGACTATTGCTTGATTCCCACGGAAACCTGTTTTTGAACATTCTCTGTTTTCTTCGATGTTTAGGAAACTACCGACGGCGATAACAGAATTGACGAAGCACACACATCAATCCGCGTGGCACAGCATGCACAATGTGATATGCGGAGGGGCAAAATTCACGGATAAACACCTTGAAACTTTGATCAATTCCGGTGTTAAAATCAATGTGGTTCAAGGTGATAAAGATGATATTGTACCTATAGATTGTCTATGGAACATGAAAGCCAAGTTCCCGGAGGTTGAAGTCGAGGTTATCGCCGGAACGGATCATAGTACGGTCATAATGAGTAGAAGAGAGGTCTTTGTTGCAAACCTTGTAAGTTTGTGGGCTTCTTCTGGAAAGAAACAAAAATAGTGGGAAATGACTAAAACACTAAAACTATATTAGTGATTTTTTTTTTTTTTTTTTTGGAAGTCTTGGAAGGTCTACCACTCAATGGTTTATATTTATTTCGTTAGTCCATTATCTTTCTAAAAGAAAAGCTGCCAAAGCAGCTCTCTTCAACAACATGGAGGGATGGTTTCTTAGTGAGCCTTTAAAACCACAAACCATGTAAACACCAATATGGGCCAGGCCCAAATTTTCCAAAGGAGAATGATTTTCTTTCCGGGAAAACCAAAACCGGCCCATCCAAAATTTGGGCCATGCCCACACAAATGAAGCTTCGGGGACATTTAAAACTAAACTAATTTCCCCCAAAAAAATCGAATTGTTCCCAAATTTTCTGGGGAAAATTTTCGCTGGTCTCTGCAACCGAAACAGAAAACTGTGAACAATGCTTCCTCTTCCAGCCAAAATTTTTTGCTGCCTGTGCTTAGATGATAACATATGTGATGATGGTGAAGTCGATTGTTGATGCAGCAATTCCTCCTCCACTTCAAAGGTGCATAGTATCCTTTCTACGATCACGATTTAGAGCTCGAATCGAATCTCATTCGACAACAATATCGAAGACAAGCTAATGAGTGGGATAAGAAATCCTTTCTATGATGACGCAATGACATACTTTGGTACGAAGGTTTGTTCTCGGGGAGGAAAGAAAATCAGAGTTACAAGAGAACTAGAATGTAAAAGCCTCAGTTACTTTCTCACACCATGATGCATACTAATTCCAACACTCACCGCTGGGATAAGATGAGGCTGGTTCATCCTTCGACATTCAATATTAGTACAACTTCGAAACTCTTTGATCCATGATATAGATAGATTTGTAATCAGGAAAAAAATTCTAAAAAAAAATAGGTAAAGCATGGAAGAGAGATACTTGCTCTATGGGCCTCCAGGGAACCGGGAAATCCAGCTTCGTCGCCGCGATAGCAAATGGCTTACATTTTAACATATATAATTGGATGAACAAATTTTGCACACACACCTAAGCAACAATATCCATGCTGCAAGATGACCAAAATCCAGTTATACAAATGAGGAATCCACCAAAAACAATTTTAGTTATCAACCTGTAAAAACGAAACGCAAAATGTAAAGATAACAAAAAAAGAAAAAAAAAAAAGAGAAAGCGAGATAGCATTTGCGCGGGTCAATTTTTAGTTTACTAAAGTAGCATAAATGTACACTGAGATCTAGTATATATAAATGAAAACCAAAACAAACAAAATCTATGATAAAATCTAATATCTTGTTAAGAAAAGGCATACGAAACATTATTCAGCTTTGTTTTGAAACAATGTCCATACATCTTCTTAGATCGTGTACTATGTTTCCATTCTAAATATCCCTTTATCATATAATTTAAAAAAAATTTGCCGTTGGTAATTTTTCAGTTGAATTAAAGCCAATATCGTAGAAAACAGTTCAAACAAACAAAATCTTATGATCTTCAATCCTTCATAGTGAAAATCATTCAAATCGATGAAAGTAAATCAAGTTATACTCTCATCTCTCCCTCCACGAGTTTTTTAATCTTCTTCATAGATTCATCATCACACTTCTCTGTCTCTGACCTCTTCCTTTTGAGAACCCTAACCAAACCCTCAAGCGCCGCATCAGCATCTTCATTTTTCATCAGCTCCTCCGCTACTTGAGCAGGAGTCAACACTTGTCCATCAATCAAATGCTTTATTTCCGGGTAGAGATGGTGAGTATCATCATTGTCGTGAGAGAGACCTAAGTAATTAGCCGCCAATGTCTTGAATCCATCAAAACCGCAATGTCCCATGTAGATGTGCATATCCATACGGCCTGGTCTGAGTAACGCCGGATCGAGCCTCTCCTTGTTGTTAGTAGTGAATATTATTATGCGTTCGTTTCCACAACTCGACCATAAGCCATCTATGCAATTTAAAAGTCCTGATAATGTCAATGGTGCTGACCCCTATTCACATACAAACTTTTTAATCAGGATCCATATATATTGGTTGTACAAAATAAATAATATAAGATAAACTCATTTGTCAAGACCAAACCTTGGGAGCACCACGGGTCTTAGGTGCAGGTTGCAACCTTGTAGGCAAATCCACGGAGCAGTCTATATCTTCTACAACAAGAATCGAGCTGTTACGAGTGGTGAGAAGCATCCTCCTTAAATCCGCGTCCCCTTTGACGCTTGCAAGCTGGAGATCATAAATATCGAATTTGAGGTAGTTAGCTATAGCTGCCACTAGACTAGACTTCCCAGTACCTGGTGGCCCGTACAACAAGTAACCCCTCTTCCAAGCTTTTCCAACTCTTTTGTAGAAATTTTTCCTTTTGATGAACCGGTCAAGATCTCCCAGCACAGAACGCTTGAGCTCCTCGTTCATAGCCAACGTGTCGAATGTCGAAGGGTGCTCGAAATTCACGGATTCCCAATAACGACTCAAGGAAGAGTAAGAGTGCATCTTGAGGATTCTCCTCTCGTCATTGATCACCTTTGCCTTGCTCTCCACGTAAGGTACATACGAGTTCAACACCAAGTCTCTGTGTTTCTTGTCGAAGCTGAGAAGGAGGCATTCCGAATTTATGGTAAATTCATCTTCTTCTCCGTCTTCAACGTCGGTGCTCTTCTTTCTGCCAGCTACATACGAAATCTTGAGCTCAACGCCTTGGTAGATATCGGAGACAACCTCTCCTTCGCTGAGGTATAAGTTGACCTTCTTATTCTTAGGGTCTCTAGTCATCTTTAGCTTTGATGCATCGGGGCTTATATTGCTTGAGAGATAATCCTGGAACGCGGAATAGAGCTCGTTGATCGTCCTCATCCCGTTTGTGCCAGTCCCGTTCATATCGTTGATGATGAGCGTGAGAGTCGATGAACGGCAGCCGAACAAAGACTTGATACGAGAGACAATATAGTTTTGTACCTGTTGTGGAATTATTTGTGCCATTGGTTTGATCATCATGACAGATCCTGCAATGGTTGCATATGTTGAGAAAATTGATGCTGGAGAAGGGAGATCTCCAAAGAACATCATCGTTTTGGACTTTAGGGTTTTGGTCTATGTGCTTGCGTCTTGTGGCGTTTGGTTATATTTTGTTTATATAGATAATTGTTTCGGGATGGGGTTTTATTTGAGGAGAGAAGGGTCGCCCTACCTGTACGGACTTTTCTCTCTAGCCGCAATGTACGGACAAGTTGAAGGATGGTTCTGCCTTTGATTTCCCGACAGATCTGTGCTCCCCTTGTCCCCTGCTCCCTTTCTCCCCACCAAATCTCCTAAATCTTCCTAAATCTGCGACCCTTCTGGCTCAGATTTCGTCTTTCGTTCCACCTCTTCTCTTAAAAACCTTTTTCTCTTTATCTTTTCCCTCCGCTACTGTTTCCCTCCTTCTCCTCTGTTTTTTAAAAAAACACGTTCCCTCCTCCGTTTTACTCTCTTGTTCTCTCTGTAACCTGCTCAGGAAGATGAAGCGACTCACTGAAGACGAAGCTAAGCGTTCTCATCCCTCTGATGAAGATGACGAACCGGTGGTGATACCTGCTTTTGACAACTCTGCCTTAATAGCAAGATTTCGCCTCACTCTCATTGGCAGATCTTTTCACATCGGAGGCAGGAGTACTGAAGCTCTCTTGGCGTTCATGCCTCGCGCCGGCATCTGGGACGTCGCCGGTCGCGTCCGCGGTGTGGATCTGGGAAACGGCCGTTTTCACTTCGACTTCGACTCGGAAGAAGACCTCCAGAAGGTGCTCAAGAGACGCCCATGCCATTTCAATAAATGGACTTTTGCTCTGGAAAGGTGGGAACCAAACATCCGGGAAGAGTTCCCGAGCACTGTCACGTTCTGGATTCTTGTTCGAGGTGTTCCTCTCCAGTACTGGGTGGAAGATGCTTTCCGAAGGATTGGTGATGCTCTAGGGTTAGTCAGAGATGTTGACGACAAGGAGGGTAGGGTGCTGGTGACCATTGACGTTACACGTCCTTTGAGATTTAAGAAGAAGGTCAAGTTCGAAAATGGTGATGAAATCACAGTCTCTTTGGAATACGAGAAGCTCTTTCGGTATTGTTTTACCTGTCGCATGATATCTCATGAAGAAAACTCATGTCCTCTTCTCTCTGAGAGCGACCGTCGCCGGAATAGGGAAAACAGAACCCTCTCGCTGCCAAACGTTGAACGCCGCAATAGCGAACGTCGTGAAGAGCCAAGTGGTCCCATCCGTCGCCAAGACAGGGATACCAGATCTGGCCGTAGCTCCTCACGCTTAGAGGGAAACGTCCGAGTTAATGACGTCTCAGGGACGTCTGCAGCAAGGGAACCACACTCCTCTCGAGCCATCGCTTCAAAAACGGTTCGCCGGAGCCTGTACCGTAATGAAGAAAGTGAGCGCTTCGAAGGCAGGAGAGGCTCTGTTTGGCATCGCCTTGATGGAGATCGTGGATTACAACACCACCGCCGTCGGGAAAACTCTCAGCAGTCGTCTTCTCACCCAAGGACTCGGCGTCCCCACGATGCGGGTGTTTCGAGCCACGAGATCCCAAAATCTCCTCCCAGAATCGCTCCAAACCATGTGAGTGACCGATTTCAGAGAAAGCAGAGCTCTGCTAATCGTCACTGGTCTCCTCCCCGTGTTGATCCAAGCTTTGACCATTGGGGAAATCATCGACCTCCACGCCGTCAAACGAGTTTGAGAATCTCTGAACCAAATCCAAATCAAGCTCTTGTGGTGCCTTTTGTGGATGCAAACGACAAAGGGAAAGGAAAAGGGATTGTGGAGGAGGAGGATGATGATAACAGCGATGCTGGGGACTTTGAATCCTCTCCAAAACTTCTGGAATTGGGTTCTGCATCTGGTGTCATACACTCTCCACCGTATGGTGTGTCATCTCCACTTCGTGAGAATCAGACTTTGGAAACCGGTGAAATTATCTTAACAACTGAGAAAGAGTTTAACGTTATTGAAACAGAGTCTGTTCCCACTGATTGGGAAGACAGAGTGGAGGGTGACAAAGATGATTTGGAGTTCACTGAGGAAGACCTCAGAATCTGGGATGAGTGTGAACGGCAAATGATGACGGAGGGTCTCATGGATGATGATGATCTCCTCGGTGAGGATTTGGCTGCAGAGGATTTGGTGGAGAGTTTGGAGCGCACAATCTCTGAGGTCGCAATTCCAATTTCCCACAACGCTGTGGTGGTTCCTGCTACTTCTCAGTCACCAACAAGCAAGAGGGAACGGTCCCCCGATCTCGCCATGGCAAGAAAAGCGGCCAAACCCAATCCGCCGGGCAAGAGCGAGAAGTCAGTGGTGACGAAGAAGAAGATCCCTCGAAGCCCAAAACCGAGCACCGCTGCCTCAAAGAAGCTCAAGCCGTACCAAGGAAAAAGCCCACCAAAGAAGCGACAGACTACGGTGGGTGCTCCACCAACTGACCCGACGGAAAATGCTGCTGCACCTGACTCCCGCAAGAAGACAGTTCCCGCACCAAGAAACAAGACCACAAAGACAAACAAGAAGACCAATGGAGGTTTGGAGGATTCCCGTAATCCTCCCAAACCACCCAAATGAGGATCATCGCATGGAATTGTCAAGGGGTGGGGGCTGAGTTGACTACCCACCGACTGGAAATATTATGTTCAAAATATTCTCCAGGTTTTATGTTTTTATCCGAAACCAAGAATGATCGTTTTTTTCTGCAGAATATGCAAGTTTCTTTAGGATTTGATAACCTTCACACTGTTGACCCAATAGGGAACAGTGGAGGACTTGCTCTTTTTTATTCTAAGGACTTTCCGGTTAAGTTGTTATTTTCAGATGATCGTTTGTTTGATGTTGAGACTCTTATCGATGGCAATAGAGTTTTTATGACTTTTATCTATGGCGATCCTGTTGTTAAAAACCGAGATTATGTTTGGGAAAGACTTAATCGTATTGGCATCTCTCGCTCAGGCCCATGGTTTATTATCGGAGATTTTAACGAAATAATCGGGAACCATGAAAAAAGTGGTGGCAAGAAACGGTCCGAGGCCACTTTCTTACCTTTTCGAGCCATGATTCAAAATTGCGGCTTTGTAGATTTCCCATACCAAGGCAATCCATTCTCGTGGGTTGGCCGCCGAAAAAATGGAGTGATCAAATGCCGCTTGGATAGAGCTATGGGTAACGAAGACTGGCATAACGTTTTCTCCCACACAAATGTGGAGTATCTCAAAATGTGGGGATCGGACCATAGACCACTCTTAGCATCCGTTAGCAACAAACCACCACGACATGTTCACCGTTTCATGTTCGATAAGAGATGGGTTGGGAAACCTGGCCTTGAAGCGGCAGTGAAAGATGGGTGGGGAAAGCCTTTAACTATGTCAAATGGCTCCTTAGCATCTCGCATTCGTAAATGTCGTCGAGCTATATCCGTTTGGAGAAAAAGCTTAGTCACTAATTCTGAAAAACTCATTAAACTCCTCCAAGAGCAAATTGATAAAGCCCAAGAAGATGAGAATATTTCCTCAGAGGCTCTTCGGGATCTGAAATGGCGGTTAGTTGCAGCATATCGGGAAGAGGAATCATATTGGAGACAAAAAAGTAGAGCTCTATGGTTGAAAGAGGGAGATAAGAACACCGGTTTTTTTCATGCTACCACAAAACAACGGAGAGCAAGGAACAAGATCTTGGGTCTGCTCAATCATTTGGGAGAGTGGATTGATACTGAGGAAGGCATTAAAGAATTGGCCGTACAGTATTTCGAGGGCCTTTTTACTTCTTCGTGCCCTCAAGATCCATCCTCGGTACTCCACGGGGTTTCGGCATCGGTTACTGAAGCGATGAATGAAAGTCTCACCCGTGAGATCTCGGAAGAGGAAGTTCGACGAGCTTTATTCTCTCTAAACCCCGGAAAAGCTCCAGGACCCGACGGGTTAACAGCATTATTTTATCAGAAATTTTGGGGTACAATTAAGATGGATCTCCTCCAGACGATTAGAGATTTCTTTTCTTCAGGGAAGTTTGACGCACAACTAAATGAGACAAACATTTGTCTAATCCCGGAAGGAGATAAGCCACGTGAGATGACTGGTTTCCGACCCATAAGCTTGTGCAACGTTAGCTATAAGATTATCTCTAAGATTCTCAGCCTTAGGCTGAAAAAGTTCCTTCCAGATCTTATTTCTGAGACCCAATCAGCTTTTGTAGCTGGAAGATTGATCACGGATAACATCCTTATTGCACAAGAGAATTTCCATGCCCTCCGTTCTAATCCTGCTTGCCGGAAGAAATTCATGGCAGTAAAAACGGACATGAGTAAAGCATATGACAGAGTGGAGTGGTCGTTCCTCCGTGCCTTGATGGAAAAGATGGGATTTTCCCCCCGCTGGATTGAATGGGTGATGTATTGTATCTCGTCAGTATCCTACAAGATCCTCCTAAACGGAGAACCGAGAGGATGTATTAAACCATCTCGAGGAATCAGACAAGGCGACCCCATATCACCGTATCTTTTCATCTTGTGTACCGAAGCCTTAGTCTCTCAACTCCGTTTAGCCGAAGCACAAGAGAAACTACAAGGCCTCCGGATCGCTAGGGCTAGTCCCACCACATCTCACCTTTTATTTGCAGATGATAGTCTCTTCTTCTGTAAGGCTGAACCCGTACAAAGTCGTGAACTTATTGGCATTATCCGCTCCTACGGCGAGGCTTCAGGGCAAAAGATTAATTTTACGAAATCATCTATTATGTTTGGCAACGATGTTCCAACTATCACCCGTCAAGAAGTCAAGACCACTATTGGGATCTACCAAGAAGGAGGCATGGGCACATACCTTGGGCTCCCAGAGAAACTCCACGGTTCCAAAGCACAAGTGTTTGCTTTTGTCCGAGACAGGCTCCAAAACCGGGTTAATTCATGGTCCTCAAAACTCCTCTCTAAAGGGGGCAAAGAAATCTTGATTAAATCCCAAGCTCAAGCGATTCCGACATATGTTATGTCGTGTTTTCTTCTCCCGAAAGCTATTTGCTCCAAACTTAGAAGTGCAATTGCCAATTTTTGGTGGAGCTCCAAGGAGGAAAGCAGAGGTATCCATTGGGTATCTTGGGACTCCCTTTGCACCCATCTCGCAGAGGGAGGTCTCGGGTTCAGGACTTTTGAAGAGTTCAACCTCGCTCTCCTAGCGAAACAGTTGTGGCGCCTCCTCCGGTTCCCTGACTCCCTACTGAACCGGGTCTTAAAAGGAAGATATTACAAATACTGTAGTCCCCTAGAGATTACTGTCTCCAACCGTCCATCATACGGATGGCGAAGCATCTTAGCTGCTAAACCCCTTTTAGCTTCGGGCCTTCGTAAGAACATTGGATCGGGGTTTGAAACGTTGGTGTGGTCAGATCCGTGGATCCCAGACGACCCGCCCCGACCTCCTGAAGGACTACATGTTGAACAAGATCCTCTTCTATTCGTCAACTCCTTGATTGATTTCGAATCAAAACAATGGAAATTAGCCCGACTTCGGGAGCTTTTCCCGCCCAAGGAGATAGCCTTTATCCTAGGGATTCGTCCGAGTCAATATGTCTCGAGAGATGGATACAGCTGGTCCCTCACTAAATCCGGTAATTATACGGTAAAATCAGGCTATTGGATTGCGAGATCCCTATCTCGTCTTGCTTGTGAACCCCCTCTTCAGGGACCTAGTACTACGGTACTGTCGGCGCAAGCTTGGAAGTTAAAAACCACGCGAAAAATTAAACATTTCGTATGGCAATGTATTACGGGTTGTCTGGCGACATGCCAACGTCTAGCTTCCCGCCATATTGGAAGGGATAAAAGATGTCCCCGGTGCGGTGCAGAGGAAGAGTCTATTAACCATGTTATTTTTGAATGCCCACCATCGAAGCAAGTATGGGCTCTCTCACCTATCCCTTCGGCACCAAGCATTTTCCCCCAAGCTTCTATCTTTGGTAATCTTGACTACCTGTTTTGGAGAGCTAAGGAATTTGGAACATCAGAAGAAAATCTACGTATCTTCCCTTGGATCATGTGGTTCTTATGGAAGTCAAGGAACAAAAAAGTCTTCGACAACATAGATGATCCTCCCCCAGATATTCTGGAGCATGCAATACATGAGGAGGAAACTTGGAGGAATGCTAACGAGGTGGACTACACCTTAGAGGTGACAGGAGTTAGAAGAGAGCTTGGAAGTGCGTCTTTGTCGTCCATCACGACCTGTTACTTTGATGGCTCTTGGCACGCTTCAGATCCTCTCAGTGGCCACGGTTGGCTGGTATCGTTGGGAGACAGAATACTCAGAGTTGGACTTAGAAGCTCATCGCGTAGTCTATCGCCCCTCCATGCCGAGCTAGACTCTCTTCTTTGGGCTATGAAGTGCATTCTCTCGACCAACATCCAATGTGAAACTTTTGCGACGGATTGCCTTGACCTCCTAGCTATGACGGATTCCCCAGCTGAGTGGCCTACATTTGCAGCTGAACTTGGGGATTTCAAAGCTATGTTTTCTCAATTTAGATCCTTTAAATTAGTTTATATATCTCGTCTTTGTAACGTCCGTGCGGATAAACTTGCCAAGAGTGCAAGAACACGAGGTTTAAGATTTTCCCATGTAAACTTTTCAGTTCCGGTTTGGCTTTCTCTTGAGGAGAGTCTTTTACCACAAACTTAATAATATGGGGTTTTTGTTGGAAAAAAAAAAAAAGATAATTGTTTCGGGACTTGGGAGATATATTCCTTTGCTAATTCCTTCCTTCTTTTCTTAAAAAAAAATATATTCCTTTTCTTTTGTGGCAATATTTTTTTGTCAGTTTTCTTGTACTGTAAATTCATTTCTTTTTTATTTGATAGATTGTGACAAAGAAAATATAATTTTCAGAACTAAAACCAAAAGAAATCATCCCCGAATCACTTGAGGAATAATAATATGATGATGATTATGAATGGGGTTCGTTTACTTTATAAGGTATCGTACTACTTCAAGGAAACTTTATGTCATTATCTCAATGCAAAAAAAGGAAATAAAAAATAGTTGGTCGACCGATTTTTATAGAGTTCGCATAATGCTATACGCAGTTATATAAGTCTGTAAGAGTATTTGTTACCGGAAACATATAAACAGATTAAGATATCAAACGATTTGCTACTTCCTTGATATAACATTCATTATTATTTTCATAGAGTGATTATGTGCATTGTTTATCATTCTTAGTAATGTACCTCCCATAGACTATCTCAACAATTTCTATGAAGGAAAGAAAAAGAAGATTCCGGATTTCTTAATGGGTCTACAACGGTTCACAACCCTACATAGAAAATATATAAGAAAAAAAAAACTTAACTTATATCATCTCAGAAATTTCCAAACTTGTTTCTTAGGTCTGTCTAATCTTGTTTCCTCATAAATCTTATATCATGGGAGTTTCTAACACACGCCTTTAGGTCCAAAACAGAACAAGTTTCTTAATTCTTTTGCTGTTCTTCCTCGGAGAACCTTCTGTATCACGCTTTAATCCCATCTCCTCCATCCCCAATCCACTCTCCTTCTTGTTCATCACCGGATTCGAGTCATTAGCTTTTAACCTCATCTTCTCCAAAACACTTACCAAACCCTCAAGTGCCACGTCAGTATCCTCGCTCTTCATAAGCTCCTCTGCGACTTGTGCGGGCGTAATAACTTCCCCGTCCATCAATCTCTCGATCTCAGGGTATAGTCTGTGTGGCGTTGTGGCGTCGTTCAAGCCCAAGTAGTTAGAGGCTAAGGTCTTGAATCCTTGGAATGAGCAATGTCCCATGTAAATGTGCATATCCATACGACCCGGACGTAGCAATGCCGGGTCAAGCCTGTCTTTATGGTTTGTCGTGAATATTATAATCCGCTCGTCTCCACAACTTGACCATAACCCGTCTATGAAATTCAGTAGCCCCGATAACGTCAAAGGTCCCTAAACACAAGAAAAATGCCAAAGTTAAGTGTATACTAATTCTCAATACCAATCAGATTCAGTCTGGTTTAGTAAAAAAAAAAAAACCATTTTTTGTTAGGATTTGGTAAATTTGGACCAAACCTGAGATTCGCCACGGTTCTTGCCTTCAACAGGCTGCTCCAATCTGTTGGGCAAATCAACTGCACAATCGATATCTTCAATGACAAGAATCGATCGGTTACGTGTCGCGAGCAAGAGCCTCCTTAGCTCAGAGTCACGCTTCACACTCGCGAGCTGAAGATCATAAACATCAAACTTGAGGTAATTAGCCATGGCTGCGACCAGACTCGACTTCCCTGTTCCAGGCGGTCCGTACAGCAAGTAGCCTCTTTTCCAAGCTTTTCCTACTCTCTTGTAAAACTCTTTCCTCCTTATGAACCGGTCCAGATCGGCGATGACGTCACGCTTGAGCTCATCTTCCATGGCCATTGTCTCGAAGGTCGAAGGGTGCTCGAGGATAACCGATTCCCATCGGTGACTGTTGAGAGAATGCAGCATCAAGATTCTCCTCCCGTCTCTAATCTCTTTAGCTTTGCTCTCGATATGAGGAACGTAAGAGTTTAGGATCAAATCTTTATGCTTTTTGTCGAAACTCAGCTCAAAATACTCGCTTTTACCGTCGTCTTCAATACCGCCTCTTCTTCCTCCTCCTCCTCCTCCTCCTCCGCCGCCGCTTTTCTTGTCGCCGCCGTCTGTGACAAACCTCCATTTGAGCTCGACGTCTTGGAACACATCGTTGACGATTTCTCCGTCGCTGAGATACAGATTGACATGTTTGTCCTTGTGGCCTTTGCTGATTCTGAGCCTGACCGCGTCGGGACTGATCTTGGTGGAGAGATAAGTCTGAGCGGCTCGGTAGATCTCGTTGTTCATGCCCATGTTGTCGTCGTCTATGGTTAGAGTCAGAGTTGAGGAAGAAGAACGGAAGAACAGAGACCGGAGAGAAGAGTAGATGAACTCTTGGATTGGAGCAGGGATCAGTTCGTGAGCCATTGATCGTATCATCATCATGTAACCCGCCATTGATGCGTAAGCTGTGAAAACCGATGTAGGTGAAGGAAGATCCTTTGAGAAAAACATTGTATCTCTCTCTGTTTTCTCTTCTCTCTGTTTTCTCTTCTCTCTGTTTTCTCTACTCTCTGTTTTTTTCTTCTCTCTGTTTCACTGTGTTTCTTGTAGATGGAGAGGAGAGTGAAAGTGAGAGGTGAAATAGATATATAAAGAAGAAAGAGAAGCTTAAGGAAGAAGGTTTCATTTGAGGGTAGAAGACATTATTAGTCTCTTTCTACTGTAATCTCATTGTCTTTATTCAATGGATGATGTGTGTGAAGAAGACCCTTTTTTTTTCCACAATATTATTAGGAAATTTCGAGGATGGAAAGTAAATAAAAAAGTAGAGAGAAGACAAAAGAAACTCATGGGAAATTTTCCACGTCTCCTTCCACGAACAGCATGTCCATTTTATTTTCCAATTTTAACTCTTACGAAACGTCTTATTTTAATATTTATTGCTTGACCAATGAAGACCCGAAAAATATTGATGTTGAACACTAATTTATCAATTTCATGAAGCAGTTCCAGTGTGACAAATTTTGTAATTTTGTTCTCTTGGTCTACATTTGATCAATTCTGTTTTCATGAGAAGATTCTTAATTTTGCTCATATAACGATTCATAATCTTGAAATTAGTTTGGATTTTTTTATATTAAAAAGTAGTTTGAATTTAAGCAACTAATTTGTTTTGTTTCTTGTATCATTTTTTTTTTTTTTGTAAAAAGGGTTATTTCTTGTATCATTACTGATCTTATCTAAAGAATTTTAAAATATTTTACAAACTGTGTATACCGTCAACAACAACACTATCTATCTAATAACACATAAGTGAATAATCTAATCGGCATGCATCATACTTCATACAAGATGACGACAAACTAAAAGTTACAATATACATTGAAAATGAAAATGAATATGATACATACATACATATGGTGTAGATATAAGGTCTGACAAACACGAAAAAAGAAACTTTTCTTATCTATGTTTTTTTTCTTTTTTTTTGTGTGAGTGTACAATATACACTTACATAACGGCTATCATAAACTTGATTTTCCCAAACTCGATTAGCAGAATAACCTAAAAGTTAGTGTCTTTTTAATCACATCTATAAGAACAAGACTCATACTTTTGTCATCGATAACAATTTTAGGAGGTTTTAGTATTGGCGTTTATGTTTATAAGTTTGGTTATTTATTTTAATCACTATTTATGGTTGGAGTTTTAACTATTTTAACTTTAGTACTTATGGTATTTGATGATTGACCAGAAAAGACCAAAAGCAGAAAGATTCGCTATATTGTCGCGATGTGGCATGTGGGACTATTGCGTGTTGTAATTCAACAATAAAGAAAATCAGAGGAGGAGGTACGTGTCAGAAAATCATTGGATGATTTAATTCATAACCAAGAAAAGAAAAGTAAGTGTACTATTAGTCATGGATTCATCGTTCTTTTTGGACCGTGGTGTAATATTAAATCCAAAAGCTTAAATAATATTAAAACCACGCAAGTTCTCCATCGTTCACCAATACTTCAAAAAGTGAATTTATATCAAAAGTTGCCTAAAAATTAGCAATAACAAAGCATTATTTATCCCAATATAAAATAGGGCAAGAAAGCAACTTCTCGTTATTAGTCAAATTACGTCTCAATCTTTAAGGCGGATAAAGAAACTAGAAGAAACAAATTATAGGTAATCAAATAAATTGGTTATTTAGAGCTGCTTTGAACAAAATCCGAGGAAAACAATAGTCCAAGATCTCCGAACTAATGATCTTATCCGATGTGGTCATGTGATGCACATTTTGAAAATAATAGAATTTTAATATTTTATTTGGTAACATGTGATATAGTTGAAGGACGGAATCAATCTACGAATCACAAATAGTTATGAACGATCACTATGATGCAGCTTTGCCTTTGATGTAAAAAAAATACTTTTCTGTCATTTGACAGTTGCACTCTGTTAATCGAACTACTTGGTCGTTTAATTTGTTCCGTTCTTCAGTTCCGCAGATGTCATTTCACTATGACAGGAAAATAAAAAAGATGCGAGGGAGTGACTTTATTTCTTTATCATATAAAGAACTGCCAACTTCATACATTACTAACTTTTTTTGTCGTCCATAAATTACTAACAAAACAACAAAATAACATTATATAATAGAAAGAAAAAAAAAGTTTTCGAAAAGAACAAGCCGACTAACAAAAAGTGATTTTGTAAAATTATAAAAAAAAGTCGATCATTCCACCAATAATCAATTACAATCGGCCTTTTATAGCTATGCTTCTTTAGTGAGTCTTGATTCATGTATAAGAGCCCCAGTAGCCAAATTGATTGCATACATTACCAAAAGAAACAAGGTGGGTCAATGTGGATGTCACTATCAAGCCTTTATATGATACCAGTCCAAACCGGTATACGTAAACCAAATCGTGAACCAATAAATCGAAACTTTCCATTAGGATAACAAACACATAATAATGGACAAGGAGTTATGAAGCTTGCAACAGAAAGACAACTCTCACTCAATTAAGACACAACTATCAAGTTGGGATTGTAACTTCAAATTATTGATCGGAGAAATGAGTTTTTAAACAGTTCCATTCTGGAGCAATCAAAAGTAGATATTGTAATCAGAACTGGAACTGCATCTCTGGAGAGTAGCCCAGAGCTTCAAGGTTTGCAGCCATGGCCTTGTTCATCGGCGGTGGTCCACATCTTAGGATCTGCAATTCAAACATAAACCATAAGAAGATTGAAACACCTTAAAAAGTTCCATTGTTCATCACTCAAAATGACATCTTGTCAAATGTTCCATTCTCTTGTAGTGTTCTTGGTTTTGTATCAAAACATTGACATGTATTGTTTCGAGATTAGATTATGATCGGGTAAGATCAAGAACAGAGGGTTTACTTGAATATCGGATGCTGGAGCAGGGCAATGAGTCTGAATCATTTCCTTTGATACGAATCCAACACCACCATCCCATACCTCCGGTGGCTAACCAAAACGCCAAGAAAAAAGATTATCAAAGAGCGTTCCTTTTTTCTTTTTTTAACAAATGTATTTACTTTAAGAGGAAAGCCAAAACATTTTGGATTTCGTGGCTAACCTGGTTCAAAACATAGAAGATTTTGAATTGCTCTGGGTAATTGGCGGTAAGACTCTCCAGTTCCTCCTGAAGAAAAAGAAAAGTATTGATTCAGATAATAATTAGTGTTTAAAAAAGAGTCTCTAGAAATGCAACATATGTGTTAACTGTCTCATTAAGAATCAGCAGGTGAGAGACATTTTACCCTTAAGAGAATGTCTTCGTAAGTGACATTGGCGTAAATGAGGTGCACCTTTGTCTTGTCTGTTGAGTTTTCTAGAATCGCTCTTGCGACCTTCACAAACGCGATATAAAAACGCGTTTAAAACATATACATTGCCTTCAAAAACGTTATTAAACGCAAATGCATCAGACATACTTGGAACATGGGAGTGATGCCTGAACCTCCAGCAAGCATTCCATATGCCCTAACCTGACCTGGTTGATACTTGAACCTGCCCTGGCAAGTAAAACCAAAACAAACAAAACAAAGTTTTGAGATTCAAGAAAAGTATATAATAGCAATTTTGAAAAAATAAGATCAAGCTGAATGAAAAAAGGTACCTTAGGTCCCTTTACGGCAAGATGGTCTCCAACACGCATCTCCCTGAAATGATGAGACATTCTTCCTTGCGGATACATCTAGTTGGCAACGGAAAATTAAAGCATTCTTAAATTGAATTAGAGAGTAAAAACAGCCGAATCAAAACCCCAAGTTATGTCGAGAAGTGTTTTTAGGCGTATACCTTAATGACAAGCTCGAAGCGTCCAATGTCGGAATCTAACGTTGTCGGAGTGTATGGCTTAATCACATCCTCTCCTTGAGCATCCTTGCCCCTATTGAGAAAGTCACTTTAATAATCACAACATCCATCGAAACTCTCTAAAATGAATTTCGAACACAGAAACCGAACCTAAAGTCTACAAATGAATATGTTCATAGCCATTTGATATAGATTTTGAGTATGAAAGTTCAGAGATGAATCAGGAGAGGATAATAGGAAGCTCAAACCTGCAACTGATGTGTTGTCCAATAGGAAGACCCAACACAGAGGTAGAAGTTGGGAGCTCAAATATGAACTTGGCCACATTGTGACTGAGTTGTTGCTTCTTAACAAGCTTAAACTCCTTGAAATTCTCTGGATCCAAACACCCTATTATCCAACAAATTCACAAGATTCAATCAAATCTTCAAGTAGATCGATTGCAACAAGTACCCACATAAGAATGAACACCAAAAAGGCTCAATTTTAATTCTCTATAGGCTAAATCACAAACCTTTATACAAAACAAAATCATGATTTTGAAAACCAATCTTCTAAGATAATAATAATCAGTCAGCAACGCATTGTGAAATTGAAAACCCAGAAAAGACTTGAGGTAAGGATATCGAAATTCGAGATCGGACCTCTGCGTTTCTTGGAGGAAGAAAGAAAATAAGCAGCACCGGCACCGACGGCGACGAAAGCGACGAAGACACCCAAGAGAATCTGACGATCTAGGGTTCGGAGAAACTCGGTGTCCATGGCTTAGCTTTAACCCAAATGGAAATGAAGGAAGGAAAAAAAATCAATTATGTGCAATGAAAAAGTAAGAATGTAAAGGGAAAGGGAAGAAGAAGAAGAAGTGGGGAATCACTGCAAAAATGGGATCAGTTCTTTTTCGAATGGTCTATTTTCCCTTGTTATCTCCGCCATTAAAACGAGGGGATGGGATCTGGTAGACCTAACCCCATCACGTTGTAGTTGCCTTGTTTACAACATTTTTTAATTATTCCCAATTTCCCATAACCATATTGTTTAATATATCAAAAATAGAATTATACTTTCTAAATTGATTTTTTTTTTCCTTTCAATGACTCAAGTCACTCACAATACCACATTTCTCAATTAATCTATTCATTGTTTTGCGGGAAACCAAAAACGGGATACGATGGAAGTGATGCAATAAGTGTGATTTAAATAGTACAAAATTTTTTCTGAATAATAGAATCACAGTAAGGATTCCTAATTTTATTTTTGTATTTTTTTCATATTTTGTATTAGAAAAAACAATAAAAGCAAATCCACACATTCCACACCGAGCATGTCCACACCGAGCATGTCTACTGGTAAATCTTTTTTAAAAAGTTTATCAGATATTAAATTTTTTTTTTTTAATTCGAAAATTAAAAAAAAATCTTCGCCCAATGATATTTTGCCGATCTTTCTCATATAAGTATTATTTCTTTTTTTTTTTAATTAAAACTGCCTTATGAACTCGAGCCGAACTCTTTCTCCAAACCCCAGACATGCTCTAACAAAGCCCATCTCCAATAAGTAAGGGGTTTAAGAAATTTACGTACGTAGTATTAAAAATTCAATTTAATATAAGGAATATATCCGAAAACTAAATTTCACAGGTAAGAAAATTATAAATATACATTTATATATTTATATTCACATGTGAATATTTATTAATGGAACGTTATATTGGTTTGCTTCAAGAGTTGAGACACGTGAGTGTTTCATCCAAAGTTTCGATTTTTTGAAGGAGAAGTTGAAGTCCTTCTGTGAAATTCTCCCGTGCAAGAACGATTTTGGGAACACTCAAGTCCTGGCCGGTTTCAAAGGAGACCGGCTTACGGAATTGGCAATGCCATAAAACAAAGAAGATTGATATTTGGGTGACCAAGAACAAGATTAATAAGGTCAAGAACAAGATTTATGTCAGTGTCTAACATATGTCAGTGAATAAAGGTCAGGAAGAGGATGTGTATTGGAGCATGTTTATGACGGTTTCGATACCTAATTTCCCGGGATTACAAGACAGTATATACTCTGTCTCTCAGCCAAGTTACTTCATCGACGATAAGGGTCTCATCGTGTGTACTTGTGATAAAATCGGACAAGCTTGCATCTACTTTGTGAGGGGAGATACGTTCAATAAGATTCCGGTTGATTCCTTGCTTGATCCGTGGCCTTATCACCTCGCTTATGTTCCCAGTTTGGCATCCATCCCTTCAGGTCAAAGAGAAGAAACAGAAAAAACAGCGGTTTAGTTTAATTAGATTTTGGATTCATGTTTGGTTTTATAGCAAAATGAATTGACTCATATGCATTGAACCTGTTCTACATGAACTCCAAATGCTCTCCAATTTCTCAGCAAACTCTTGTCTTCTCACGCTTATAACACTCTCATGATCAGCACCTGTCACAATATCAACTTCCACCGCCGGAAAATTAGACTTCATGTCAACGTAGCAATGTGAGGGAACGATATTATCAAGGTCGCCTTGTATCAAGTGAATCTTGACGCTGGCACTGGTTAGGGTTTGGAGATGCTCATCAGAGAATTTGGAGGCACCGCATATCACATTGTGCATACTATGCCATGCTGAGTGATGCGTGTGTCTTGTTATGTCCTTAATCTTCCAAGGAATCTCCCTACCAAAAAAAATGAAAGATCCAACCTTTATGGAGACTTTTGATATTTAAACCGAACCAATAACCAATAACCAAAACCCAGTTCAAATGTTTTACCTTTTACCGATACATAACTTGATGAGCCACTCCCATATCTTGTGATGCTTGCAGACTATGAAACAAACGCATCGACCAATATGTTCATACCAAGACATCACCGCCGTTCCAAACGCCAGAGGCGGCCACAACCGCTTTCCAGCGATTCGGGTCAAGACCGATCCTTCAAGCGATGAAGGAAAGTAAGGCTAAATTGTAAAACACATGCAAACATAAGTTCACATATCGAATCTCTGCGGAATAGACTGAAAAAGATAAGATTATATGCCAAACTAATCTCTCACCGGTGCAACGATAGTTACCGATTTGACGACGGTGGAGTGTTTTGCCGCCAGAGCAAGAGCAATTAAGCAACCCATGGAATGTGCAACCACATGAAATGATTCTATCTGGTACGGATTAATGACAGATCTTTCTATCGTGTCTACATGATCTCTCAATGTATAGAGATTGTCTCTTGGCTTAGGACTCTCCCCAAATCCCAAAAGATCGACCGCGAAGAGCCTATAACGATCTTTCTTAATGTGCTCAAACGCAGTTTCTGTCCAAAAATGTGATGAACCCATAAAGCCGTGTATGAATATTACATTCTCGGACGGTTCTTGAACAGAGTCCTCTGTTTTTTTGCGACATGAAACATTATGCAAGCAATCATTAGCTACCAATATTGAAATAGTAGATTCTTTGACTTCATCAAGTAAAATTAACATTAGTTAATTTACTTTTTAAACATGAAACATTAAAATCAATTGTAAGCAGCGACTACATAAATGGAATCTTGAAATATTTGACCTTGAAAAATGGAATCTTTGACAACAACGTGAAGGTTCCCATCTTCTTTCTTTGTCCACGATATGCAAGATTGGCACCCACAATCTGACCATCTATTCGCCGACTCATGGATCTTAGATTGACTATTTTTCCGGGAAAGCTTGAACTTTCTGGCGAATCCAAGAAACCCCATTTCCCGGAAAACGTTTCTCCTCCGGAATAAAGTCTCCGAAACTTCATTTTCACCGGTAATATGAAGAGCCTCCGTGCAGTAACATCCGCGGGATTTTCCCTCCAAAATCTCGTCGACGAACTCGTAAACGACACAGAGAATCGAGTCAATGAGATCGAAGAAGAAGAAGACGGTTAAAGATAGGACGGCGTGAATGGCTATGCCGGATTTTCTAGCCCATTTCCTCGGGAAAATTGCGAGGAAAGACATTTAGAAGCGGAGAGAATCTAGAGCGCCAGAGAAATTGAGATGAATGGTTAAGCCACGTCGAAAGAGAGAGGTTTTGACTTTTGTCAAAGTATAATATCTTAAACGACGTCGTCTTCAAGTGGTGCATGCATTCTAAATCTTGGGGATGTTAATTGAACTTAGAAGAGAAATTAAGTGCCACAAACCTTATCCCAAATATTCAAATGTTTCATTATTCTAAACTGAGTCATACTCAAATGCAAATGCGCTTCAATAGTTTGGTAAGGATGATTTGGCTTAATCCTTTAGTTGGAATCAAACTAATTACAAGATGCTTTCTTCTAATCTCAGCCTTACTCTTTTTGTTGAAGAAATTCCAATATTTTTGTTTTGTCAAGGAGGAGAAAATATTCAAGAAGCACAACGACTTCTAAAGAATGCTTTCGTCCATTTAGCTATACATTAGAGTTTTACCCTTTTTGCTAACTTATCACCTTATTTACAAGAACACCAAATCCTCTCCAAACTTTCAGCAAACTCTTGTTTTCTCTCGATTATAACACCCAAATGATCAGTGCCAGTGACAATATCAACTTTCACCGCCGGAAATTTAGACTTCATGTCATCGGAGGCATGTGAAGGAACAATATTATCAAGCTCGCCTTGTATCTAATGAATCTTAACGCTGGAACTAGTTAGGGTTTCGAGATGTCTATCAGAGAATTTGGAGGCAACGCCTATCACATTGTGAATAGTATGCCATGCTGAGTGATGCGTGTGTCTTGTTCTGTCCTTAATCTTCCAAGGAATCTCCCTAACAAAAAAAAAATGAAAGACCCAACCTTTATGGAAACCTTTTTATATCTAAACCTAAACCAATAACCAAAACCCAGTTCAAAATGTTTTACCTTTGACCGATACATAACTTGATGAGCCACTCCCATATCTTGTGATGCTTGCAGAATATGAAACAAACGCTTCGACCGATATGTTCATACCAAGACATCACTGCCGTTCCAAACGCCAGAGGCGGCCACAACCGCTTTTCAGCGATTCGGGCCAAGACCGGTCCTTCAAGCGATGAAGGAAAATAAGACTGAAATGTAAAAGCACACAACAAACATAAGTTCACAAATCGAATCTCTGCGTAATATACTGAAAAAGATAAGATTATATAGCAAGCTAATCTCTCACCGGTGCAACAACAGTGACTGATTTGACGACGGTGGAGTGTTTTGCCGCCAGAGCAAGAGCTATTAAGCAACCCATGGAATGTCCAACCACATGAAATGAATCCATTTGGTACGGATTAATTACAGAACTCTCGATCGTCTCTACATGATCTCTCAGTGTATAGAGTTTGTCTCTTGGCTTAGGACTCTCCCCAAATCCCAAAATATCGACCGCGAAGAGTCTATAACGACTTTTCGTGATGTGCTCAAACACATTTTCTGTCCAAAAATGTGATGAACCCCCGAAGCCGTGTATGAATATTACATTCTCGGACGGTTCTTGAACAGAGTCCTCTGTTTTTGTTTTTCAATGTGAAACATTAAAATCAATTGTAAGCAAACAATAATTAGCTAGTCAATAACGCAAATAGTTGAATCTTTGACTTCGGCAAGTAAAATCAACGTTAGTTAATTACTATAATCAAAATGTATTTGACCTTGGGAAATAGAATCTTTGACCACGACGTGAAGATTCCCATCTCCGTTCTCCGTCCACGAAATGCAAGATTGGCACCCACAATCTGACCATCTATTCGCCGACTCACTCATTTTCCGGGAAAGCTTGAACTTTTTCGCGAATCCCAGAAAACCCATTTCCCGGAAAACGTTCGTCCTCCGGAATAAAGTTTCCGAAACCTCATTTTCCCCGGTGGTTGGAGGAGCCGCCGTGCAGTAACAGTCTCTTGATTCCCCCTCCAAAATCTCGTCGGCGAACTCGTAAACGACGCAGAGAATCGCGTCAATGAGATCGAAGAAGAAGAAGACGATAAACGATAGGACGGCGTGAATGGCTATGCCGGATTTTCTCGCCCATTTCGTCGGGAAAGTTGCGAGGGAAGACATTGAACCAGGGAGAGAATCTAGATCGCCAGAGAAATTGAGATGAATGGTTAAGCCAAGTCGAAAGAGACGAGTTGACTTTTGAGAGTTTACGTCTTCAATGCATGCATTCTTAAGCATGCTCTCGTCGCTTTAGATAGACATTACAGTTTTGCCCGTTTTGTTTATAATTTAAAGAAGAGTTCTGAAAAAATGGTATGCTATAAATAGGTGGAAGTGGAACTAAAAAGACAAAAAAAAAGGTATATTGATTACTCTTAAAAAATGGTATGCTACAACTACAAGGTCATCTATCTCCTTTACCGGCTGGATCAGAGTCGGTGATTGGAGGAGAATTTCTCTGCTGGCGTTGAGAAGCTAAACGCCGTTCCAATGGAGTCTTCCTCTTGCTGACAACAAACCTATTCACTCCTTTCCTCATCGGCATTATTGACGGGAAATCTTCGTCCGGGATCTGACTCAGCTCTGATATGTTCTTAATATCAGCCACTCGCTTAAACCATCTCTCCGCTTTTGCTTCCTCCGACATGTCTAACAAGTCAGGCTCCTTCACTAACGAACCCTCCAAACTCTTTCCATTTCTGATCTTCCCTGCCATTGGCTCCGGATTGTTGTTGCTTGAAGGTTCTCTTGTTTCTTCTTGAACCACCTGAGAAGCCTTGTTTGTCGCCGGGGCTGGATAAGTATCTGTTGTTTCCTCTGGCTGTTTGTGTTTGGCGAAATAGCCAGGTGGGAAAGGGACAAAAGGGATAAAGTCTGAATCTTTTGTTTCAATGGACATTCGTCTCTTGTTTACCGGAGAACGGTCTTTCTTCCTGCTCACCACAAACTGATTTTCTCCTTTACGCATTGGCATTTTCTCAGGAGAAATCTCTTCTGGCGTCGCGCTTTCCAGATCTGAAACATTGTGCAGTTCCGTGACTCTCTTGAACCACCTCGCAGATTTCTCCTCTGATTCTTTCTCATCTTTATCAGGTTCATCTGTTTCTTTGCCTAAGAGACTTGCATTTGACTTGTCCTCTTGATAGACATTTCGATTCTCGTCTGTGACACCGTCCGTTTGGTTCTTGCCACCTATATGTGTTTCCTCCTTATTGGGCTTCTTGGCAAACATATCGGACGGTAGTGGCACGAACGGGACAAAATCAGAGTTAACTACCTGAGAAGAAGATTCAAACCTCCTGGAGGAAACATTCTTATCATCAGATCGAGAAGCCAAAGAGGATGTAGAACCGAGAATCTCATTCAAGCTCCTATTCGTTTTAGTTCCCAACGCCTTATCATCGTTCCCATTCGAGTTTCCATCTGTAGATACGCTGGTCTCAACATTAGCCCACCTTCTCTCAAGAGGTGTCTTTCTTGTGCTAACAACAAATCTGTTCACTCCTTTCCTCATAGGCATAATCTCTGGAAAATCTTCATCTGTGTCAACACTGTTTGCATCAGAACCACCCTGTGCTACTTTACTAAACCACCTCTGTGCTTTCTCTTCATTTTCGACCAGTCTTCTCTCAAGTTCAGGATCGTTTGAATAACCAGAGTCGGCTGAATTGAGAGACAAGTCCCCGGGTCTCTTGCAGTCACATCTTAAGCAAGCTACATTCCTCCCATAATTGTAGAAATCGCATCTGATAAATTAAACAAACGAGAAAGAAAGGGACGGTTAAACTCATTATTCACCATCGCATTACCCATAAAGCAGCAGAGAAAACAAAATTAGTTGCTTACTGAGGACACTCCCATTCTCTACCAGTTAGCTGTCTCTTTGGTCTTGCTTCATCACACTGGAAGCATTTGACATTTCTCGCAAAGTTCAAGCCACTGCACCTGTTTCAACAAAGTCACATATCACAAATTGGACTACATGAACAACAACTAGATGAAACAAAGACAATTACAACTTGATAGGATCAAACAAAAGGATACTGAGAAACCAACAAATTCATACCTCGAGCAAATCCAGTCGCCTCGTTTCATCTCAATGTTTTTCTGAAAGGACCCGAATGCTTGTCCATTTCTGACTGAGAACTGATTTTTCATCTCGCCATGAACAGTCGACTCAGGAGTACGGAAGCTAATCTTTGCTATCTCCCTCAAGAGCCTTCGAACCGATGACTCCATAATCTCTTGGCTGTGGTGTTTGCTTCCCTCAGAAGAAGCACAATCCACAACATAACTCAAAAGAAGCCTCATCAAATCCACAGTACTCGCCTTATCCATATCCAGTACCTAATACGGAACACAAGGGATCGTAAACATTAGGAAACAACAATCCAACATTGAACAGAGGTAATATATATATAACTTACAAACTATCTAAGTGAGACTAGGATTCGCCATCGACCATTAAAAGAGTAAGCTTTTGACAGAAAGAACGTACCTTACCAATGCCCTGATGACCACTTCTTAGGTAAAGGCTCATCTTCTTTAGTGAATCTGGGCCTGTCCTGAACAAGAACGGCTTTCCATTCTCCACCACCACTTCGACGTCTCTCCTCGAAAGCATTCTAAAATCCAGAAGCTTTACTTACTCAATCAATGAGAAAAAGAAAACCCACGAAAGAGGGTTTAACGAGATGGAAAACAGCAGCATTACTTACTCAAGTAACTCGGGTCGATCACGAGCAAGAGCTAAGCAAGCGAGAGCTGGACGGAGGAGCTCATCTGGAAAACCGGGGAAAAAATCGTTTTCCGAATCGGAGATTGGAGCAGAATCTGAGAAGTAACCAGCCTCGGAGAGAGATTGGAGAAGCTCAGTCCATTCCGGCAGCCGCTGGTGATGGGAAGGAACGAAATCGGCGGCGGAGACACGGGCTCGGTGAGTATGGAGCCGTGCCAGAGGTATCGTGGGGATACGCGGCGTGAAAGACACGAGTAGAGTGAGAGAACATCGATTGGGCGAGGAAACGGACGAAGGAGCAGACGCCAGGCGGTGGAAACGGCGGAGATTGGTTACGCGGCCGATGAAGAGGCCACGGAGGA